GAGAAGACGTGATAATTTCAGACATGTCCCCTCAAAGGATACTTTTCTTGGTATTTCCTCATTCATAAATATTCATATTATCAAGTACTGCAAATAATAAATGCTTTTGGGAATTAATGCGAGTGCCAAGTCGAACCCTATCTAAACCTGCTTCATGACATTAAAGCAATTGGTGCTACATAATCTTCCTTTTTTTAATGTCACGAATCTGCAAAAAACACAAAGACTGTAGACTCAGTTGTTGCATCAACTTCATGATATATACAACAGCTGTTCGTCTTGTGTGCACGTTTCCGACACTCGAGTCTGTTACGGAGGAAGGGAGGTAACTCCAGCTTACTGTGATCTCCATACAGCCTCAATTCCATCAAGAAGTTCACGTCGTGGATTTTTGTTTCAACAAATTCACACACGAAATCAATTAGTAGCTATCAGCTTACCTTTGATAGCAGGAAAGACATAAACGACACATATCCCTGATTAACGTTCATTTGTCATCCGTCAACTTCAAAGGCACGCCGTCCCGTGAAGGTTCCGGGTTAGAATTGGTCTTCAGCAACCCATGCTTGTCGTAAGAGATGACTAACGGGGTCGGGTGGACAGGCTCGCTGACTTGATTGATGCATGTCATCGAATCGCAACTGTGTAGATCGATGCGCATGATGTCAATCACTGAATTGTCTGGTCCAGACTCGATTATTTACAGACCGCCGTCATACAGCTGGAATATTGCTGATTGTGGCGTTAAACAAGTAAACAAACAAATCTAAGAAAAGCCAATCAAACAATTACATGATTAAGTCTGTCTTGCTAGGTTCAAGTGAAGAAGCTACTCTTTCTGATCAAATCGCTAGTACGCTCTACACTCGGTACTAAAACATGTACATGTAACGCCAAAAACAAGTGTTCAGGAACTGAGAGAAAACACAAAAGAAAGACCACGTTCACATTGGATTCAGCATAATTTAGCTAAATGTGAAATTGTGAAATAAATAGATTGCGTGGGTGGGATATGAGAGAAGGCGTCCCCGGACGTTGCTTCAACACTCCTTTGGTATTAAATATCACGGCTGACGAGTTAGTCTTGACAACGACAGGCGAATTGAAAACTGATGAAGCGGTAGTAAAATATACACTTGCACCCAATGTGCGGGTCTAAAACATCAGTGGGGATAGTGCTTTGATGGGTGGCGCTTGGGAAGTGACACTTTAACACGTAACCTCGTCAGTTGTGTGTTCCATAAGTGTTCTCACTATTAACCATTGGTTTGCGTGTCACAGGCTCAACTTTTCGACGAGCCACCTCGGACTATTTTGCCGGTTGAGGAATCGTGTTGCAAGTGAAGAGGTACATAACAGGGCTGGGACGAGTCCAAATTTACTACCCGGGCACACACCACCCTATTACCCGACCCTTCCCGGGTACCCACTGTAGGTCTCAAGAGATAGGTACAAAATGTCCTATTGGGCATGTTTTTACCATAGCACTGGCAAAACGTATTCAGATACATGTATTAAACAATCTGGTCATGCATACACTAAAGTTGACTCAAGTTATATCTTTATTCAGAAGGAATGGGTGCACAGTCAGAAAGAATTGCGAACATTTGTGACTTGTAGTGTAACCATAGAGTTCTAGATAATTTTTGTCCTTAAACAATATATCACGTGACTAAACACGGGTCCGGGTAGTCCTGTGGGTACCCGGGTCCTACTCAGTACCTCCCCGACCCTGGTACCCGTCCCAGCCCAAGTACATAATATGTACAGTATGTATGTGTGTCATACGTGCGGTGACATTACGCGAAGTGTGGTTGTATTCGTACATTCTGGAATAGAGTCCATGCTTTTGACACAGCCTCTTTTACATCATTTCGTCTGGTACGTACATCACAAAAAAAATTGAAATTCAAACTCACTATTCGAGGTAGATTAACATATAGTCTCCGAAATAATAATGTTATGTATATGGTTAAATATAATAAGTGTATAAAGGATCACTCGAGTATGAAGGAACCTTCAAGTCTCTTGAGCTGAGAAGGGGACGGACACAGGCTGCTAGAGCTGAGAAGGGGACGGACACAGGCTGCTAGAGCTGAGAAGGGGACGGACACAGGCTGCTAGAGCTGAGAAGGGGACGGACACAGACTGCTAGAACGGAGAGGGGGGGGGGGGCACAGGCTGCTAGAGCTGAGAAGGGGACGGACACAGGCTGCTAGAACTGTGAAGGGGACGGACACAGGCTGCTAGAGCTGAGAAGGGGACGGACACAGACTGCTAGAGCTGAGAATGGGACGGACACAGGCTGTTAGAGCTGAGAAGGGGACGGACACAGACTGCTAGAGCTGAGAAGGGGACGGACACAGGCTGCTAGAGCTGAGAAGGGGACGGACACAGGCTGCTAGAGCTAAGAGGGGGGGGGGGGGGGGGGGGGCGGACACAGGCTGCTAGAACTGTGAAGGGGACGGACACAGGCTGCTAGAGCTGAGAAGGGGACGGACACAGACTGCTAGAGCTGAGAAGGGGACGGACACAGGCTGCTAGAGCTGAGAAGGGGACGGACACAGACTGCTAGAGCTGAGAAGGGGACGGACACAGGCTGCTAGAGCTGAGAAGGGGACGGACACAGGCTGCTAGAGCTGAGAAGGGGACGGACACAGGCTGCTAGAGCTGAGAAGGGGACGGACACAGACTGCTAGAGCTGAGAAGGGGACGGACACAGGCTGCTAGAACGGAGAAGGGGACGGAGGGGAGAAGGGGGTCGGGTAGCCTAGTGGTTAAAGCGTTTGCTGTCTCCCGCCGTGATATTGCTGGCCGTGATATTGCTGGAATATTGCTTAAAAGCGGCGTAAAACCATACTCACTCAATTGAAGGTTAGAACCGCCTTTGAAGATGTTGCAAACGTTTCTCGTCGTGTGTTACACTCGATTAAGTAAACAAAGCTTAAACCATGGCTCCTTTGTCTTTGACCGTGGTCTAACTAACTGAATTGTTAGTTAAACACCTGTTGGCAATGACGGAACTTCTTTTTTCCCCTATTTCAGGAAAAACGTTTGTCGCCAGCGGGATTCGAACCCGCGAAGGCCGCACGGAAGGCTAACGAATGTAATTAACAACTAAATATTTACTTACATCAGTACCAATTGCTTATCCCTTTATGAACTGCGAAATGTGTATTATGCAATTTTTATACAGTATGTTACTCTATACATTCTAGTATTTGTACAGTACTTGTGATTTTGAAGGACGAAACGAACAGACAGAAAAGAAATTACTATTATCTTGATCAGGGCTATATTTGCTCATAATAGGCCCATCAACATGGGCAAGTAATATTTAGTTGATTGATAAATGTGCTCGAGTTGGTCCAAAACGAATGGTATACTTGCCCCGGGACATGCAACCCACATCGGCAAAGTGCGAGGTGCACGTGCGAGAGGCTCGGGGAACACATTTCACGTGCTTCACGCAGGGCCGACTAACACAGTGTTCTCCAAAATACATAATGATACCGTGTTCTGACAACCCAGTCGAATTGGATACTGATAACAAGCGATTGAAAAAAGTTTCTGTTAAAGTTCATGTTTTTCGTATACAAGGCAAAACTGCACGAACTAAAGAAAAAGCACGTCCTGCCAATTGAATCCGCGTATTTGCATGATCCGTGCAGAGTATTATGGCAGCAGGGGTGGAAGGTTCTCACGTAGGCCGGGAGGTAACATGAACTCCACGTGCATCGCGGGACACTCCACAACCGACCCGTGTTGAGTGAAAATTGATTCTCGCCCACTGTCCCAAAACGCGGTGTTCACATTTGTTTGGCAGTGTAAAAATTAGGGGTTATTAAATGGCATTTTTTATATCATACGCCACATCAAAGGCCCCCGAGCGTATGTCCGTAAAACATGTTCACCTTATTTGGAAGACAGTGTGACGGGGAAGCTAGCCGAGCAGACGACGCACCAAGGGACGTAACTCTAATTTCTTACCACCCGGGCCGATGTCGATCGCTCATTCGAAATCCATCGACTAGACATATCAGCCCGACAGAAGGTATAATACGGATCTGGTTATTACACCCCTGTAATATGACCGTCTCCATGTTGGCTTTATCGCACATGATGGGTATATGATAACTTGCAATATATCCCTAGACCGTTTAACTCCCAAAACCCCTACATCCCATTTCCCCTACAACCCAGTTCCCCTACAATTAGTTAAAACAACACGCGGCATTTACCTGTCTGGTATTATGAACTCACCTAAAGGAGAGATTAAGGTCTGGAGTAGAGGTAGTAGAAATGAAAGGGGTAGAGCTTTAGGGAATTAGGGGACTTAAAGGAAAGTTAAAAAAAAAATAATTAATGTAAGTGTAATGAAAGATGCCTGTATGATGAGAAGACAATTTTTAGAAATTACAAAAATAACAATAGGAAGAAACAATTATTACACTGAGAAACTGAGATGAGACGATTTACAGTTGAGATGAAAAATGAACATTTTGTTATAATGTTTTATGAATTTTGAAAAATGAACATTTTATTATAATGTATTATGAATTTTGAAAAATGAACATTTTATTATAATGTATTATGAATTTTGAATAATATCGTAATCGTAATTAAATATTTATCTCAATCTATTTGAGTTTCTTGGGTTGTTCCATTGTATGAAATAGGTAACAGACTAGGGATTAGCAGTGCCATGGACCGTGAACTTTGTTGTCTTAAGCTGTAGGGGAAATGGGATGTAGGGGTTTTGGGAGGTTACCCCTAGACCACATGGGCAATAAGCAATTCTAACAAGGATAAACACACTGTAGGATTTTTAACAGGCGTAAACGGAATTACGAAAATTTCAAAAAAAGCTGTCCAACGATTCATATGTAAGGTACGTTAAACTTCGTGGTACCGTTATATTCAAGAAAACATTAAATTCGACATGTATTTAGATACCAGGAGTGACAATAACACCGTACAATAACAACACCGACAACAACTGGAATGAGCTACTTCATCAACAGAAATATATTATTTATTCTCAGCATCGGTTTTATTAACTGTCAAATTTAGTTCACTTTCAAATATACATCGTCATTCACTAAATCAGAATATAACCAAATCCTCAAATTTGACAATTGAAATCTGAAAGAAACTCAAAGTGACCTTTGATAACACATCTGTCATGATCTTAACATTTGATGTCTCGGATTTTTATTTGGTTGCCTTTCAATAAACACGTTGCTGAACAGGTGCGGCCCTTGTATACCATCTTATAATGCGTGCTCTCCCCGTCCTTGACCGTCAAACATTCGTTGTCCTTGGTCTTGCACACTGAAACATGTATGACAGATCACTGCAGTTGATACTCAGTCTGGATGATATATACTCAAGTTAAAAGAAACTAGTGTCATCACAGATTGAATAAGTGTAAGTTGGTCTCAACGCCGCCTTGTATAGCATTTCAGTTATATCACAGCGTGTCAGCTTCTAGTCTCTCTCCCAGACCTGAGAGAATACAACTCAAGCCTGAAATGATTTGGCAAGTCGAGTAAGGATTGTTCTGGGCTCCATTTTGATTTTTTTTTTAATTTTGTAGATATATATTTTTAAATAAAATCAGTTTGTTTCTGGGCCTAAATGTCAGTCAAGTCAGCTTGATGTGGACGTGATAAAGTCTCCACGTTTACCGCTTTGGTGAAACCCACGAGCATGGGTATGGTGCTGACAAACCTAGAAATATAATCGGGGCGAGCCGGGATTCGAACATATAATCATAGGATTCTGGCGTGCCCAAAATTACTTATCAACGTGAGAAAATATGAGAAGAAAGCCAACTCACGAATGCCCACACGGTCGTATATCTTCCCGTAGTGACACATAGACTTGTAGCAGTAGTAGGGACTGGCGGTCTTGTCCCAACTCCCCTCTCCCTGGCCTATGCACTTCCCGTCCTTCTCGCAGCCTGCCCCCAGAAACCAACAGAGGTACCGCTTTGAATATCATTTCAGTGTATCATATGTGTCAGATCAAAGTGACGATTAACATGAGTGTTCTTAAGTAGTTTGTTGACAGACCAAGGATCATAATCGAGGCGAATTGTTATTTTCGAAACCACGACCAGCGGATCCCGGAACAAATAAGGGACGTAAGTCTATGCTCAATTCAAAATATTTTAGATGGGATTTTCTCTCTCCCAAATTCGCATTTAATCAATCCTACATGGCAAATGGTTTCTTATGTTAGAAAATTGGTAAATTAGACAAGCCATGCATATAGTTACGTTTTTGTCTAAATCAATGTGAACATAGTCACTTTTCTTTTAGTACATAAATATTCGATGACGCGGTTTCGACCTTTAGATGTCCTGATGACCAGTCCAGACGAAGGGTCATCCTTCTTCTTGTATTGGCACGTCGCAGTGCCACAGTTGCCGGTGGACATAGGCTTGCCTAACTTGTAGCACTTGTTGTTATAATTGCAATCTAAAAAAACCACATTCATTAATGTTAGTATCCAACATAAAAAAAGTGTCGAACGGTTTCATGTCAGTAAGGTTGCGCCATGTTGACATACTATGTGACGTACGGCTATCTTTAAGCTGAGACCGCCTACGTGGTCTAGTGGTAGAGCGTCCGCCCGGAGAGCGGAAGGTCCGGGGTTCGATCATACCAAAAGACGTTAAAAGATGGTACTTGTTGTTACCCTGTCTGGCGCTCAGCATTAAGGGGCTTAAACAAGGTGTTTATCATAGGTTTGAATTTCAACTGAAAATATCTAAATATATTCGCAATATTATATCCAAAACGTGAACTATGCAGATCAACACTCAAAGAATACTTCTACATGGTTTTATTTTTTTATAATATTATTTAAAAAATTCCACACAAATTCTAAAAATATAAAAATCGCACAATACACAACTGCTAATGGGTATATTAAACATCTTTGTAAAAAAAATAAAGTTCAAAACATATTTACATTTCAAACATGGTTGAAGGGTCATGTGGTTCCAGATTAATTTCTTACCCCAGTCTTCATTAAACCAATTTAGTTTTACACAAATTTACCCAGCCACAGATAACCTTTTTTCAAACTGTTGCAGGAGTGATGACTAAATTGAAAAAAAGTTCATTCAATTTTCAATTACATAAAAACCAAACTTGGTATTCTTTCTTTTGACCCTCAGTTTACAAACGTATTTGTTCAACCTACTTCTAAGATGTTATTTGTCTCAAAATGTATTTCTTTTATAACCAAAAGTCCCATATTCCCGCGACGGCGTGATGACAATGAATCAATTAATTCACATAACACGCACATTAATATCGCCAATTCCAAATATTATATCTACAGATTGCTTTGACTGTCATTTAAACTGTCATTTTTATGCTTGATTACCATATCTTGTGAGATATGTTTAATCTTAATACAGTAAAATACGTTTATAACGAACACGCTTGTAACGAACTGACGGATATTACGAACTTAATTTTTGGTCCCGACCATTTGCTGTATAGATGTTGTATATATGTTTATAACGAACTACGGTTATAACGAACTTAAATTAGTGGTCCATTTGAATTCGTTATAACCGTAGTTTACTGTATAGAGTTTCCTACCCCCAGATTTGAACTTGAAGGGGTTGTTTTTCCCGTTGGGTTGACATACAAAGTCTGAGCAGCCGTGTCGCATGATATCACCCTTCTCCAAACACTTCCTCGTATCTTTGTCTTTGCAGCCTGTAAACAAACAATCATTGAGTGAGGGAGAACGTGAGGGAGGGAGTGAGAGAGGAAAGCCAAGCGTGACGTAGGGTCAAACTCACGTGCATCGAAAGGATGCGGACTGGCAAAGGATGAAAGTCGGAGCCACTTCGAGCCAAGGACCCAAATAAGGTGAGGTGAGGTGAAATTGGGTTTAACGTCACGTCCAAGATTATTGCACTTATATAGCGACGTGCGTGTACGTGTGTGGGTTTGTGTGCCTGCTTGTACTAGTCCGGACTGATGCCGATTTATAGTGCTAGCTCACTGAGATACCATGCCGCAGTTTAACATGAATATCCCACTCAGACACAGTATACTGACTCCGAGCCGACCAGTCCTTGTTTTAGCCCCTTAATGCCGAGCGCCAGACAGGGTAACAAGTACCATCTTTTAACGTCTTTTGGTATGACGCGGCCACTAGACCACGGAGACGGTCTCCCAAATAAGAAGAAAGTGTATTTAATCAATAATGGGACATCATTTGAGAATAGACATGTTGGTTACAGTTTCGCGTAAATCAAGACGCACAAAATCGGTTACAAACTTAATGTCTGGGAGATATAGGAGTGAGTGAGTGAATGTTGTTTGACGCCAGTCACCGAGATTCAAGATTGAAAATCACTCTAGACTGTCTTTGCCTGACAAACCAGTGACTGACAGTATAAGCAATGATTCGCGCCATCAAGATACGATCCGATTGGTCACACCCGATTCCTATATCTATTTATAGCAAGGGGTGCCATGTTTTGATGACAAACATCAGTGTATATACTAATGTTGAAAAATAAGGTAACAAGTAGCATTGGGACCGAAAGACGTTCACTTTTGTGAGAGTTCAATCTTTGGTGTCGCGCGTCGTGATTTGACTGATATTGCAAAGAGCGGCGTAAAAGTCTACTCACTCACTATGTGTTCAATGTATATCTTACATATGGTTTTTTCATTGCCTTGATGAAAAATGCCTGTTATCATGAGGAAGTCTCGTGATATAGCTTGCTTTTCTTTCATTGATAATAGGGGCGGTCGGGTAGCCTAGTGGTTAAAGCGTTCGCTCGTCACGCCGAAGACCCGGGTTTGATTCCCTACATGTGTACAATGTGGGAAACCCATTTCTGGTGTCCCCTGACATGATATTGCTGGAATATTGCAAAAAGCGGCGTAAAACCATACTCAATCAATCATTTATAATATATGACCCCTTAGTTTATTCCATCAGTATATTAAAACTTCTAAGAATTAGTATACAATGTCTAACACACAGTATGGTCATATCTTCCTAAAATTAAAAAAACCCGAACATACAAGAGGATCTCTGAAACGGGGTCGGTGAGACAGTATAATGGAGAAAGTGTTCGCCCGTGACGCTGAAGACGTCGATTCACCATTAGGCGTTATTAAATCAAAGGTAGTCTTGTCGCTATATGTCACAGTGCAACCCAGAGAAGCACATTCTACCTACCAACTTCTATAAGGTAGGAGTGGCAAGACTTCTTGTCCTCGCTGCACTTGTAGGTGTTGCAGTTGCGCTTGTACACGACGCCAGGGTCGATACATTTACCGTCCACCTTGCAGGCTGGCAACGTAAGACGTCATGTTGTACACAGTGAAACCACGTGAACTTAAAAGAACTTAAACTCTATATGGCATTTAAATGGACAATCATCATTAACGTCATCACAATCATCATCATCATCATCATCATAGCATCATCATCGTCGTCGTTATTATAATTATATCATCATCATCATAACGCCATTATTCATTTATTATTATGATTATTATTATTTAATCTCGTTACCTTGAACGCTTACAATAAGATACCAGATGAACGAAATAAACATCCCTAAAACATTATCTCACAAACTGGATTTCCAGAATGACGTCGTTCGGCCTAACGTTTTTCCCCAGCACTGACAATCTGCCACACTCTGGTCGACCTACCTAGCTGGACGTGCTGAATCACTCGATGGGTTGCGTTCACACTGCACCTGTATGTGTTGCAGCCATCTTTAAACTCCTTGTTTGGTGGATAGCATTTCTTCTGCCATGGACATTCTGAAGTGCAATAAACATTGAAGTCAGTGGAATGCATAAGCCTTCTTCTATAAATATACATCATGGTTATGTTAGTTTGTCTTGTTAGAGGGGAGACCGATACCACATGTTTATATAAATTGTCAATGCAAGAGAATAACCATTCTAAATTTTCTCCTGAAACAGATTCCACTTAGCGAAAAGGCAAATTGGTGTTGAAATTATATGAATGGACCTCTGAAAATCAGTGATGACACCAGGTGTTCGCGAAAAGGGTAAACATGTCCTGCCATGAGATAGCACCCGCCATTCATACAATTTGCATAAAAAAGTAAGTCATGTCTTTTCAGAGGGGAGACCAAGGTCATGCTTGTCACGAGGGGCTACTAGTGCTCTCTTGGTCCGTGCTTTCAGAGGGGTGACCGGGACTATGTTATGTTTTCCGAGTACAGAGGTTTTTTATATACTCACCCAGCGATCTTCTCAGCTTCCCACCTAGAGTACAGGTGTACGTTATACACTGCTTGGCATCAGTGATGTTAGACCCGACGTCGTAACACTTCCCCTTGTATGTGCAGCCTGAACAGACAGACATGAATTGCATTGGCTCATATGGAAACAAAGGACACGACCCTGAATACAATCATCAGATGTACTGCAGTAAATAGATTTGTTAATAAACTGCTTGACAATTGCCTGTTCCACAAATCATTCGTTGCTTCGACAATCGCAAGTCTACGTTAAAGCAGGGGAGACATGTAGCTCTACGAGCGCGTGGATCTAAGGAAATGTCAACAGCTTTCTATCATGATGTTAACAACTCACGTCTCGACTAACACCATTAAGTGAATGAGTGTGGTTTTACGCCGCTTTGAGCAATATTCCAGCAATATCATGGCGGGGGACACCAGAAATGGGCTTCACACATGGTAGCCATGTCGGGATCGAACCCGGGTCTTCGGCGTGACAAGCTAACGCTTTAACCGCTAGGCTACCCGACCGCCCCCTAACACCATTAAAGATGAGCTTTTGTGAACAAAATAAGTTTGAAACAAACAATAAACTATCCGTTTTAAAGAAGCTCATGGGAAAAAACGAGCCATTTATGATAAATAATATTAGTTATATTTATAAGATTTTTTTATATATTTGGGAGGACCACTTAAAATGGGTCGTATGGAACGTTCCATGCAGACGTATAGGGACGTTCGACAGATGTACTCAGGTCAGATCGAGAAGCACAATCTTTTATAGGTAGAGCGCCTTTATGGTCTTCGTGTACCTTTGCTTTCCAGGAACAGTTTCCGTGTGCCATTTTCAAACTGGGTACAGTTGTAAGTAGAACAGCCGTGCTTCAGTTTCTCGTTGGGTGGAACACAGCCCAGGTTGGTGTTGCATCCTGATAACATGGATCATGGATATGAATACAGAACATTAGCATCCGCCATGAAATGGGAGAGTGAGTGTGTTGGGTTTAATGCTGCTTTGAACAGTATTTCAGTTATATCACAATGTGTCAGCTTGATGTGGGGTGAAACCCATGAGCACGAGTCTGGTGCAGACAAACCTAGAAACAATCAAAATCAGGGCGAATCTGGGATTCGAACCATCGTAATAGGTTTCTGGCACGTCTTCAGGACGTAACTCTGCACAGTGAACTGGGGCGTCTTATATGACATAACCAGGTGGAAGAAGACCTTGGATGTGTGGATGTGGGTGTGAGTGCTGGTGTGGATGTGGATATGGAATTTGGTGTGAGTGTGGATGTGGGTGTTGATGAAGATGTCGGGGAGTATATGGGGGTGGGGATGGTTCTGGACTGGGTGTGAGTGTCGGTGTTGGGGTGGGGTGTGTGAGTGGGGATGGGTGTTGGGGTTGTTCAGTGACTGGTGTTGGTGATCAAACAGGGTTTATAATAAATCGATTATTCACAGACATCTATAAGGAACAACTCTCTAAACGTTGGTAACGTACCCGCCCACACCGGGTAGAAGCCTGGCCGGTCACCGAAGATGCACTCGTACGTACAACAGCTGGCGTTCAGCCTGTCTCCCGCATTGTAGCATTTACGCTTACTGTCAATACACCCTGAAATAGAAACATAATAATATTACTTCTCCTACCGTATATGTCATTACCATATTCATAACGGATGTGATGCCGGAGTAGAATTAATCCCCATTTATGCTCTACGTGAGACTTAATGCGGCTTAATGGACCGGACATGGCTTTATCATTTATCATATAATATTAACCTGTATATCGTAATAATTAAAATATCAGCTGAAAGTAATATACTCAATAAAGTGTTCATACATTATACACAGTTCCATATCTTTATTAAGAAAAACGACCGGTCAAATATGTACACTCTTATACTACAACAATCAGCACACAGACATAGGTATCATGTTAAGCTCTTGTTCTTGCATGAGGATTGGAACACACGAATACTCGTAACACATCTGAAAGCCTGACCTGCTTGAGTGACTTCTAGCTTCCACTTGATGGACTTGGAGGTCCTGTACTCTTTGCAGGAGTAGTGCATACAGTTCTGTGTGATGTTCACACCCACCTCGAAACACTTGCCACCTCGTGCAGAGCACCCTGCATCACGGAGAGGGATTGAGTGAGTGAGTGCGCTGTTTGTTTTGTCATCCGTGGCAAGTTTCTAACAAGTGTGGGCATCAAGAATTGGATTCCCACATTGGATGCACATGGGGATCTAATAAGGGTCTTGTGTCGGCTTGGGGATGCACGATTTAACCACAAGGCTGCCTAGTCAAGCGACACTATATACAGGGTTGTAGAGGCTCCTTGTGAAACACAATATCCCTTTATAATGAGGTACGCAACGTTTCGGAGTATATACTTACTCCTTCACCGGCTGAAGGAGTAAGTATATCCTCCGAAACGTTGTGTTCCTTATAATAAAGAAGTTGACATCCATAAATTCTCTTCCGTATTTGTAAATGTTATTTAAAGACTTGACAACATCCCTATCTGTATGAGTTCCAAAAACAATTTGCTTTGATATCAGTCGGACCGCCCTGAATGTCCAGGTGAGATTAAATCAGATGTCGACCATTGGATAACAGACGTGTGTATTTTGGGGAGAGTTTAAAAACGATATGGTGTGTCCCAGATAATACTGGCAAAAGATAACTGGGCTTCTGGTTTGAAAATTACACACAAAAAACAACTGTTCGGCTCTTTTTTCCGAGCAAAGTAGTGTAGTGTTGAAGAGTGAATTTGCCTATAAAGCTAACAAAATTCCCAGGGACGGTCCCTCAAACAATATTTGAGTTTAGCTGGAGTGTGCTTGCCAATGTGAAATAGAATGCAGTGTCTATATACATGTAACGTACAGCAGTTCATGTCGTTATTTGTCAATAACAAAAGCATTGTCTACGATGCATCCTGCTCACCTCCTTTGACGACACTGAGTCCGCAGGCAGACCTTGTTCTGTCGCAGTTGAGAGTGATGCACCCCTGGGTGACGTTCTGGCCCTGGGGGATGCAGTGCCCATGACCATCGGAACACCCTGGAACAAACACAACCAGTCTCAGCAACATGTTACAACAACAGGGACCGACACTTCTGTACAAGTGACAGAATGAGTTTTGTTTTACGCCGCTTTTATCAATATTCCAGCATAATCACATCGAGGGACACCAGACACGGGCTTCACTCATTGTTCCCATGTTGGGAATCGAACCCGCCTCTTCGGCGAAACGAGCGAACGCTTTAACCACAAGGCTACCCCACCGCCCCTGTGTACAATGTCTGGATATAACAGGTTCTGTGGGGATAGCGACTACAACAGTTCCATAAGCAAGGTAATAGGACAAGTACAAAGACATGGCATGACATTCAAAACGAGGACATGACATATCATGACAAGTACACCAAATTTTAACATAAAGGACATGGGGACCGTCTGAACAAACTGTAACAATGTTGACATCAGGGAGCGTTTCAATACAACCAACAGCAGAGCTATAAGGGGCCATCAAAACAAAGGGTAACATTGGCGGTGATTTCAGCGACCTGAACAAATAAAAAACAAGTGACCGTCTGGTCAAAAGACATAACTACACGGGGAGTTCCCCGTAACGGAACCATACCATACGACAGACGGGACTGAATTATACGTTAACACAGACCCTGACAATCTGAATCACACATACTAACAGTCTTATATAATGTCTGCTGTAGGAGGGAGTGAGTGAGTATGGCTTTACGCCCCTTTTAGCAATATTCCAGCAATATCACAGGGGGGTACCAGAAATGGGCTTCACCCTTGTATTCATGGAATCGAACCCGGGCTTTCGGCGTGACGAGCTAACGCTTTAACCACGAGGCTCCCCCACCGCCCCTCTGCTATAGGAAACAGGGTGTCCAGTATACTAGAACCACTTAATACTAGGGCCTGAAAGACAATTGGGACCTTCTTCTCACAAACCTTGTTGCAGCGTTGTGTACAAGCACAGTTGAACAGTCACTATGTCCATGAAATTGACATTCCGGCGTACTGTAGGTGGTTTTCGTGACAATAACTCTAAGGCGACCAACCATGACAGTACAAGCTTGAATAATCATTTGAGCAATAAAACTGTGGGATGTTCTCCCCAATATCGAAAAACGCCGCAATACCGAGGTCACAGCGAGAAACACATTGACTATTCTATACATGGCAGCTTGAACAATATAACACAGCGTCATCACGCATCATGCACAGGAACAATATCACTATTTCCACCACACGTTGGGTTTTTCAAACTGAATGAGGGAGCGTCATCGAGTATCATGTTTAGAAATCCGACCAATGAAACCAGTATTGTGTATTTTTACCTGCTCTTATCACCTCGAAGCCGGCAAGTCCCGTGACCTTGTCCTCCTGGCATTGGGATTGGTAACACCCTTTCACCTTGGTGTAGTTCAAGGGCACGCACTGATCTTTGTCTCGACAACCTTAAAATAAATAGAAGTGAGTGAGTGAGTATGGTTTTACGCCGCTTTTAGCAATATTGCAGCAATATCACGGCGAGGGACACCAGAAATGGGCTTCACACATTGTACACATGTCGGGAATCGAACCCGGGTCTTCGGCGTGTCGAGCGAACACTTTAACCACTAGGCTACCCGACGCCCCTGTATAGCGAGATAATCAGATCAGAGTGACCATGATTACGATTCTTGATCATAAGGTTAGATTTTGGTAAACGACATTTCGAGTTCAAGATAACGTGGTTTCTTTAAAACATTCAACATTAAAAGAAACAGCTTGGGATAATTCACAGACACGCCTTGGAAACATGGGCAAGTAACACAGATGCTTCATACCCAAACCCATGTCGGCGATCTCGAAGAAGGCAGTTTGCGTTTTGTTGTCGTAATTCCTGACACACAACTTCATCTTGCACGTCTCCCCCACCATGTCCGTCCACGACTCGTTCTCAAGCCGACACTTCAGGCTCACGTCGTCCATACAGCCTGCAACCACAACGACGGGGAGATATTGAACGATAGAATTTGGTATTTAGTCGAGTAGGAAATAGTTTATAGTTTGATGGCAACCGGTGATAACCTAGGTTAAATGATTTCCGCATAGGATTAACTGTCAGAATGTTAAATGTCATAATGTGCTGACTGGGAGATCTACTGTGTGGCCATGTCAAGGACAAAGCAGGTTTCAAGGGAAGTAAGTATGTTTGAAAAGAACATACTGTTTTATGGGAGTGCTGCCATACGGCTCTAACGGTGCGTTCTTGGTAACCATCCTAACAACCTCGCCCTCCTGCATCCTAATACCCTCTCCATCCTTAAACTGCATCCATCCTAACACCCATAGCAATCATACATCCTCTCCCTCCTCAACCTGCATCCATCCTAACACCCATAGCAATCATACACTCTCTCCATCCTACTTTCCTACCATCCCAACACCCATAGCAACCATACACTCTCTCCATCCTACCCTCCTACCATCCTAACACCGATAGCAACCATACACTCTCTCCATCCTACTTTCCTACCATCCCAACACCCATAGCAATCATACACTCTCTGCATCCTATCCTCCTACCATCCCAACACCCATAGCAACCATACACTCTCTCCATCCTACTTTCCTAACATCCTAACACCCATAGCAACCATACACTCTCTCCATCCTACTCTCCTACCATCCTAACACTCATAGCAACCATACACTCTCTCCATCCTACTCTCCTACCATCCTAACACCCATAGCAACCATACACTCTCTCCATCCTACTCTCCTTCCATCATAACACCCATAGCAACCATACACCCTCTCCATCCTACTTTCCTACCATCCCAACACCCATAGCAATCATACACTCTCTGCATCCTACCCTCCTACCATCCTAACACCCATAGCAACCATACACTCTCTCCATCCTACTTTCCTAACATCCTAACACCCATAGCAACCATACACTCTCTCCATCCTACTCTCCTACCATCCTAACACTCATAGCAACCATACACTCTCTCCATCCTACTCTCCTACCATCCTAACACCCATAGCAACCATACACTCTCTCCATCCTACTCTCCTACCATCATAACACCCATAGCAATCATACACTCTCTCCATCCTACTCTCCTACCATCCTAACACAATAGCAATCATACACCCTCTCCATCCTACTCTCCTACCATCCTAACACCCATAGCAATCATACAACCTCTCCATCCTACTAACCTACCACCCTAACACTCATAGCAATCATACACCCTCTCAATCCTACCCTCCTACCATCATAACACCCATAGCAGTCATACACCCTCTCCATCCTACCCTCCTACCATCCTAACACCCATAGCAACCATACACTCTCTCCATCCTACTTTCCTACCATCCTAACACCCATAGCAATCATACACTCTCTCCATCCTACCATCCTACCATCCCAACACCCATAGCAATCATACACCCTCTCCATCCTACCCTCCTACCATCCCAACACCCATAGCAATCATACACCCTCTCCATTCTACTCTCCTACCACCCTAACACCCATAGCAATCATACAACCTCTCCATCCTACTCTCCTACCACCCTAACACACATAACAATCATACACTCTCTCCATCCTACCCTCCTACCATCCTAACACCCACAGCAATCATACAACCTCTCCATCCTACTTTCCTACCATCCTAACACCCACAGCAATCATACAACCTCTCCACCCTACTTTCCTACCACCCTAACACACATAACAATCATACACCCTCTCCATCCTACCCTCCTACCATCCTAACACCCATAGCAATCATACACTCTCTCCATCCTACTTTCCTACCATCCCAACACCCATAGCAATCATACACTCTCTCCATCCTACCCTCCTACCATCCTAACGCCGATAGCAACCATACACTCTCTCCATCCTACTTTCCTACCATCCCAACACTAAAGCAATCATACACTCTCTCCATCCTACCCTCCTACCATCCTAACACCGATAGCAACCATACACTCTCTCCATCCTACTTTCCTACCATCCCAACACCCATAGCAATCATACACCCTCTGCATCCTACCCTCCTACCATCCCAACACCCATAGCAACCATACACTCTCTCCATCCTACTCTCCTACCATCCTAACACCCATAGCAACCATACACTCTCTCCATCCTACTCTCCTACCATCCTAACACCCATAGCAACCATACACTCTCTCCATCCTACTCTCCTACCATCATAACACCCATAGCAATCATACACTCTCTCCATCCTACTCTCCTACCATCCTAACACCAATAGCAATCATACACCCTCTCCATCCTACTCTCCTACCATCCTAACACCCATAGCAATCATACAACCTCTCCATCCTACTAACCTACCACCCTAACACTCATAGCAATCATACACCCTCTCAATCCTACTCTCCTACCATCATAACACCCATAGCAGTCATACACCCTCTCCATCCTACCCTCCTACCATCCTAACACCCATAGCAACCATACACTCTCTCCATCCTACTTTCCTACCATCCTAACACCCATAGCAATCATACACTCTCTCCATCCTTCCATCCTACCATCCCAACACCCATAGCAATCATACACCCTCTCCATCCTACCCTCCTACCATCCCAACACCCATAGCAATCATACACCCTCTCCATTCTACTCTCCTACCACCCTAACACCCATAGCAACCATACACCCTCTCAATCCTACCCTCCTACCATCATAACACCCATAACAATCATACACCCTCCCCATCCTACCTCCCACCATCCTTACACCCATAACAATCATACAACCTCTCCATCCTACTCTCCTACCATCCTAACACCCATAACAATCATACACCCTCTCCATCCTACCCTCCTACCATCCTAACACCCATAGCAATCATACAACCTCTCCATCCTACTCTCCTACCATCCTAACACACATAGCATTCATACAACCTCTCCATCCTACTTTCCTACCGTCCTAACACCCATTGCAATCATACAACTTCTCCATCCTACTCTCCTACCACCCTAACACTCATAACAATCATACCCTCTCTCCATCCTACCCTCCTACCATCCTAACACCCACAGCAATCATACAACCTCTCCATCCTACTTTCCTACCATCCTAACACCCACAGCAATCATACAACCTCTCCATCCTACTTTCCTACCGTCCTAACACCCATTGCAATCATACAACCTCTCGATCCTACTCTCCTACCACCCTAACACACATAACAATCATACACCCTCTCCATCCTACCCTCCTACCATCCTAACACCCATAACAATCATACACTCTCTCCATCCTACTTTCCTACCATCCCAACACCCATAGCAATCATACACTCTCTCCATCCTACCCTCCTACCATCCTAACGCCGATAGCAACCATACACTCTCTCCATCCTACTTTCCTACCATCCCAACACTAAAGCAATCACACACTCTCTCCATCCTACCCTCCTACCATCCTAACACCGATAGCAACCATACACTCTCTCCATCCTACTTTCCTACCATCCCAACACCCATAGCAATCATACACTCTCTGCATCCTACCCTCCTACCATCCCAACACCCATAGCAACCATACACTCTCTCCATCCTACTTTCCTAACATCCTAACACCCATAGCAACCATACACTCTCTCCATCCTACTCTCCTACCATCCTAACACCCATAGCAACCATACACTCTCTCCATCCTACTCTCCTACCATCCTAACACCCATAGCAACCATACACTCTCTCCATCCTACTCTCCTACCATCATAACACCCATAGCAATCATACACTCTCTCCATCCTACTCTCCTACCATCCTAACACCAATAGCAATCATACACCCTCTCCATCCTACTCTCCTACCATCCTAACACCCATAGCAATCATACAACCTCTCCATCCTACTAACCTACCACCCTAACACTCATAGCAATCATACACCCTCTCAATCCTACCCTCCTACCATCATAACACCCATAGCAGTCATACACCCTCTCCATCCTACCCTCCTACCATCCTAACACCCATAGCAACCATACACTCTCTCCATCCTACTTTCCTACCATCCTAACACCCATAGCAATCATACACTCTCTCCATCCTACCATCCTACCATCCCAACACCCATAGCAATCATACACCCTCTCCATCCTACCCTCCTACCATCCCAACACCCATAGCAATCATACACCCTCTCCATTCTACTCTCCTACCACCCTAACACCCATAGCAACCATACACCTCTCAATCCTACCCTCCTACCATCCTTACACCCATAACAATCATACAACCTCTCCATCCTACTCTCCTACCACCCTAACACCCATAACAATCATACACCCTCTCCATCCTACCCTCCTACCATCCTAACACCCATAGCAATCATACAACCTCTCCATCCTACTCTCCTACCATCCTAACACACATAGCATTCATACAACCTCTCCATCCTACTTTCCTACCATCCTAACACCCACAGCAATCATACAACCTCTCCATCCTACTTTCCTACCGTCCTAACACCCATTGCAATCATACAACCTCTCCATCCTACTCTCCTACCACCCTAACACACATAACAATCATACACCCTCTCCATCCTACCCTCCTACCATCCTAACACCCACAGCAATCATACACTCTCTCGATCCTACTCTCCTACCATCCTACCCCTTCCCATTTTTCGTTTCGAGCGTACATATATGTATAAATGTTAGCATTGCTTTTGAACGTATCTATTCATTGCACATTCGCTAAACCTCAACAAGATAATATTTGACGGAATGGCGTCCGTTTGTAAAACGATATGGGTACTTCAAGATTCTCTTTTTTGACATTTTATGGTGGTCAGGGTACTGAAGGGAACATATTAATATATGTGAAGCAGTGATGGGAAGTTTAGTCTGACAACGTGATGGTTTTAAATCCTTCTAGCACCCTTAGGCAGCATGGTTTGTATACTCCCCAGGGAGTTGAGAATGATAACTGGCATGCGAACGGATCCACTGGTCGGGGAACAAATAAAACCGCATTGGAGCAAATACTAGTTCCTGGATACCTGCGATATATAAATGTATGATATAATAATAATCTTAATATAAGAACATAGATTCCTTGTGACATAATCTGTGGCTATATTTCTGTGTTGTCTGACATGACAAGCCAGCCCTCACCTCCCTCCACCACCACCAGGATGTTGTGGTTGAAGACGTCCCGACACTCCTTCGTCACACACTTCTTAGTGACCCTCTCGCCGACAGCAACAACCTCCTCATCTACATCGGTGCAACCTGGAACACACATGAACATCGATGAACATCCATACCATGGACAGCCTCTCACTGTCATGTATCCAATATAAAACGGCCACTCGTCCTAAGTACAACGAGGAAATAGAATCTACATTTGAGTGAGTATGTTTTTACGCCGCTTTTAGCAATATTCAAGCAATATCACGGCGAGGGGCATCAGAAATGGCTTCACACATTGTCCCCATATCGTGAATCGAACCTAGATCTTCGGTGTGACGAGCGAACGCTTTAACCACTAGGCTACAATTTGCATACCTACCGCAATACCGCTGTTTCATTCCTTCAGATACTTTGGAACCAATACCATCTATTCTTTAAGGAAGGCCCGACGACCACAATTCTCTCAACATTTTAATTAATGATTCATTGTGTTTGTCAGCACCATACGCGTGGTTTTGCCTGACTGGTGAATGTCACTGTGGTCGTGTCACCTACCGCAGCCGATGGGGCTGTAGAAGCAGGAGTTGATGAGGGTGTTGTTGTCCCCGGTCTTGATAAAGGGTAAAGATCCATTCATCTCCCGGAGGACGCCATCATTAACGTCACAGAAGCTCCAGAACTGGATCTTGTGGTTCATTCCTGAAAACAATACATACAACCTTTACCTTCCTAATAGGGGCATGGATGGTGTCCAACTCGATGTGCACAGTTGCGTCCCTTTGGAGAGACAGGAACAAAAGGTCGTGGATTCAAAACCAAAGTTGTAAACTCCTACGACATACGTCGATGTCAAATTTCCTCCCGCATTAAGCGGATACGCCTATATGAAACTAACTTTTCAAAGCAGCGCTTATCAACACTCACTGTTTTAAAGACCCTTTATGTCGAGCAATATTACAGCAGCTCCTGACTTTGGTGTCTACATTTTCAAACTTTTGATGTACAATCGAGCATGCTCTTTCTACAATCTTTTCTGGAGCGTCATACGACCCTTGCTCAAAAGTTGTTTGATCGGGTCTACAACATTCAAAGCTTTAGCTTTCAAAACGTTTTATGGTAGACATGTGGAGGACATTTCCAAATTTGACGCATCAGTTACCAAAATGATGTCTCATGCAATTCCCTATTTTCACTTGTTCGTTAAGGTTTCCGTGTTTTTTCCAAGCGAACAATTGACTTGCCTTTGCATGGGTTTGTGACGGGTGCCATCGGTAAGGCAGGTGACGCTCACCTTTTCGCCAACCCCTCACATCGTCACCATATGATAGATTCATAAAGACATGCTCGTGATATAGTCGGCGGAATTATACAATGGACTCTGCTTTCAGAAGCGATTCCTTGTGAATATGGAAATGTTTATTGTCTCTATTGAATAACCATGCCAAGGTCAACCAAGGGAATGGGTTGTATATGTGAGTTTTCTGCTTATTTAACATTGCCTGTATATTTCAACTTGTCTACATTGATTTGTTATTAAAATAGCTAGCATGCCTCTGAAAGGGATATGTATGTTCAGTACACAACATTAGTAGGTTTACACGTGTCACTATCAAGAGAAGTAAAACAGACTTTTCATAACTAACAACTTCAAATCATTATAAAGAAGGTATATCTGCAAGAAGGTCCTAAAATAATCAAGTGACCTTTACCTCTGACTTGTTGACATTCCGACTCATTGTTAGCCATGAACAACACAAACTGGTGTTTGGCCGGCAGCACGATGGGGCGTTCGATTTCACCATCATATCTGCAGCAGAACTCCATACGGGTGGTAGTGCAGGTGAAGTTACCGTCGGGGAGGGCCCCCACTGTGACGTTGGTGGCGTTGCATACGTGGTTGTTCATCTCCACGAACCCCTCTTCGAAGCCTGGAATATCAGGAAACAGATCTCATCACCATTAAATTTATTCTGTACATTCTCTTTAATTTCAAAACTTTTACTGCTCTCATGCTATTGCTTTTTCGTGCTGGACATCAACAACGAGTCAAAAGTCGCTGTGAAGAGTGATGTCCCTTACGTGTGTCAGGCACCTATGCTCGCGAGTTCGAATACAAGATTCGCGCTCATTATGTTTGTGGGTTTATCAGCATCGTACCGTCAATAGAGTTGACTTACATCACATTAAACTTTCTTTAAACATCAAGATGCTGATGGACCGATGCTGCTGGACAATGCGTATTCGGTTCTTGTGAGCTACTAGTTTGTTGTTTAACGCCGCACTCAGCAATATTCCAGCTATATGACGGCGGTCTGTAAATAATCGACTCTGGACCAGACAATCCAGTGATTGACATCATGAGCATCGATCAACGCAATTGGGATCGATGGCATGCATCAACCAAGTCAGCAAGCCTGACCGCCCGATCCCGTCAGGCGCCTTTTAAGACAAGCATAGTCTCCTTTTACGGCAAGTATGGGTTGCTGAAGACCTATTCTACCCCTGAATCTTAACGGGTCTGTGAGCTACTAACTGTTATATGGCAGTGTAATGTATTGTTAAACAATGATTGTAACTGTATGACATTGTTTCTGTTGAGATTCGGTCCCATTGTATTTTGACAGAGATTAGTTGTCAGGAATGTAGTACTGTTTAATGTAAGCAGTTTTGAGGAAGTTTGAATATTTAGATGCCAGTGTGATGTGTTAACTTCCGGAATAACGTGGTCTGTGATGTTGTTATAGAAACATGTAAAATGTTCTATGTTGTGACGGCACCATGTGGAAATTTCCCGTAGCTAGTTAGACTGTATTTTAGGGGACAAGATTGTGCCTCTCGTATCTCTCACACATTTCATTACATCAAGACCAGCTTATTTGTGAGGATCACTCATCACCCCTGATTCCCTGCCCAGGCCAGCTTGATCACCGTCGCCTCTGGGTGAATAATATATGCATCACTGTATTTTACTGTCACCACTGTCAAATACTGACCACTGCTATCACAGCATATTTTTTCATTAAATAGTTTACTATTACTCTATTGTGTACTGCTATTGTAATTGATGTAATTTGTATTGATTTGTAAACCTAGAGAATTGTTGTAAAACATTTGTTGATTGTATACCATTTGTTGGTTGTTAGTTGGTTTCACACTAAATTATTTTACGTACAGATTTCTCGGTTAACATACCGTATGAATTTAGGAATCGACACGTAACATTAAAAAATATCCCAAATACAGAGCTACAAACATTGAAGTTCGTGTTTCATCTCACAAACGAACAACTCATTTGTGACTACTCCGACGTATGTGAAAGACTACCTACCATCCGGACACGTCCCATTGAACCTGAGGATGCAGTATCGGCCAGCTTCCCAGTATGTCTGGTACAGTGGGATGATGGAGGGGTCGTCCACGTCGTGATGCACGCAGAAGTGGTGGTCCAACTCGAGGGCGGTGTAGTTGCCTTTCAGGAAGAACTCCTGGGACTTGTAGTTGCAGCCGTCCCCGCACTGCTTGTACCAACTCTCACGCCAGAAGTTCTCCCCATAGTTGGGGCATCCTCCCACAGGTTCGGGCAGGGCGTAGTGACCTCGAGGCCACATCATCACATCTGAAGCATCATGTGTAAGGTGAGATGTCGAGGGCGGATCAAACATTTTTAAAACATTTGTAAGTGGTTCAAAATATCAAAATCCTCTCTCAGACAGTTTTACTGACTACAACATAGTACATTTGGTTTTCAAAAAGGGGGAGGGGGCCGTCCGGACCCCCTGGACCCTAACTCTGGATCCGCCTATGAGTGTAACACATGAATCATGCATATGTTATTCCTTCATTAAAGTGAGTGAGTGAGTTGGGTTTAACGCCGCTTTTAACAGTATTCCAGTTATATCACGACGTGTCAGCTTAACGTGGGAGGAAAGCCCGAAGTGATACAGGTCTTAGACGTTTACCACTTCGGTGAAACCCACGAGCACTGGAATGGTGCTGACAAACCTAGAAACATAATTGGGTTGAACCTGGACTCGAACCCACAATCATAGGTTTCTGGCGTGTCCGAGGGACGCAACTCTGCACAGCGAATTGCGGCGCCTTAGACGACTGGGCCACCCGTGCCCGTAATATGTTAATAATGGATAATGTTGACGTTAATATTGTTCCCATTCCTTCACCAACACAATTACATCCCCTCATCTCTCCCGTGTCCACCCCATGGTGTATATATCAGTTCCATGACCAACACTACCCTCATACCTATCCTCTATAAACCATTTTCGAAAAACTTCTAAATGTGTTTTTTATCATGTGTTCAACACACAACAACGCTCAGTTCCTATCTTTAAAAAGCTTGTTTATAAACAAAACACACATTATTTGCTCGTGGTAGGTATGAGCTATTACCACTGACATACAATCTTGTATCAGCATTGAAACATGCATGTGTATTTCACATTCGTGACCAACTCGTGTTATTCCGAGACAAGCCGAATAGCGACTGGTGCGCCTCTTATCGCCATTTTTACGACCGGGTTCCATCTTAGCGCAAACGGGCATACCTAAAACAATTGTCAACTCTTTGCGTTATGGTTCACATATATTTTCCCATATATTATATTTATTTCAGATGCAATTTAAAGCAAATCGGGACATGCGGAATTATACAGTATGATTGAACATATTTAACTTTTTCTTGGGTATATTTTTAGATGCAGGACATATGTAAAATCAAAAATTATTTCTGAGGGATTCTTTGACGAAGAATTTTAATTCATACGCGCATTCTGATTGGTGTGTCGTATTTTCGCACATAACATTCATCGATAGAGGGACGAGTCTTCTTGCAGGTTACGGAAAGGGGCGAGTGGTGACGAATGGTGTATTTCACTGCACGTGTCTCTCTCAGCACGCACCATGGGAATGTGTGAGGATCCTGGCCCTCAACTTGTCCTGCCTTTCACCGGTACACTGGTAGACTGCACACTCGTCCTGCCAGAAGCTCAGCATCGGCTTGCACGGCTTCTCCACGTCATGGGTCAGGCAGCCTGGGGGTAGAAGACAAGTCTCAGGGGGGACATAGTGGATTATACCTTCATGTATCGCCTTCTTGGTTGATAACAATTATATTCGTTTTCGCGTTATATATTTATGATTATTAAGAATATCCATATAACAAATAAGTTGTTTTTCGTACAGTAGTAGTATGCGACCTATATAATGGCAAGCTGTATATAATCGAATCTGGATCCGTTGACAAAACCATCAAGCAAGTCTCCATGCATGACCGCCCGATCCATTTAGTCGCATCGTACGACAATGAGACCTATTTTGTTTGTTTGTTTGTTGTTGAACGCCTAACTCAGCCATGTTCCAGCTATATGATGGTGGCCAGTAAATAATCGAGTCTAGACCAGACAATCCAGTGATTGACATCACGAGCATGGATACATGCAATTGTGATACGATGACATGCATCAACCTAGTCAGCGAGCCTGAACCCCCGATCCCGTTAGTCGCCTCTTACGACAAGCATAGTCGCCTTTTACGGCAAGCATGGGTTGCTGAAGACCTATTCCATACCTGATCTCGACGGGTCGAGACCTTGATCGACCCGGAACCTCCACGCATATGTATATAGAATGGAAGAAACAATATGTGTATTTTCATGGCCACAGTTGCTTGTGGTTATTATTGTAGTCAGAACTGTTTTGACAAGAATAAAAATGGACGTACCTGTCTTGACTTTCTTCATCACATAACAGCCATCATCTATCTGGCATTCAAAGGTGTCACAGTGTTCCACTGCCTTTTGTCCTACCTTGTAGCAGTTGCCGTCCTTCCACACACAGGCTGGGAGACACAGGAGAACATTGCAATACATGTAGACGCTTTCATTGTTGAATTGCATTTGATACCTAACTGATGAAATTGCGTCCTAATGTACCGATGTCAAAGTGACACCGAAATATGTTTTGTTTGTTTTGCTTATTTTATTGTTTGTTGTTTAACGTCTAACTCAGCAATATTCCAGCTATATACGGCGGTCTGTAAATAATCGAGTCTGGAACAGACAATCCAGTGATTGACATCATCAGCATCGATCCACGCAATTGGGATACGATGACATGCATCAGCCAAGTCGGCGAGTCTGACCATCCGATCCCGTTACTCGCCTCTTACGACAAGCATAGTCGCCTCTTACGGCAAGCATGGGTTGCGGGAAACATTCTAACTCGGATCTTCACGGGTCCCGAAATAGGTAGAGGACATGTATGTCCAGTTTATTCACATCACGACAAACCATCAACTAATGGAAACAGTTAAGGGGTATTACAAAGAAGATTATTTATACGAGTTAGTGGGTTGGATATAAAGTCGCTTTGAACAGTACTTCAATTATATCACGGCGTGTCAGCTTAATGTGTGAGGAAAGCCCCAACTGATACAGGTCTTAGATGTTTACCACTTCGGTGAAACCCACGAGCACGGGTATGGTGCTGACAAACCTAGAAACATAATTGGGTCGAACCTGGACTCGAACCCACAATCATAGGTTTCTGGCGTGCCCAAGGGAGGCAACTCTAGACAGCGAACTGCGGTGCCTTATACGACTGGGCCACCCGTGCCTCTATCCCAATACCAGTGAGATGACAACATGATTAACCCGCGTTCGAAGTTAGTTGTCATTGTTGCGTCTATTCAATTCAGATCAACTCAGGCTATTGAATTCAAAGACTTTGACACACATACAATGATACAAATGAATGACATTGCCAATAGTGTTACTCCGTTGAATCAGTTAAGATTCTCAGCAGAACACGATCCTTATAGATGAGTGAGTGAGTGAGTCAGTATGGTTTTACGCCGCTTTTCGCAATATTCCAGCAATATCACGGCGGGGGAACTCTTAATATGAAGGTAATTATGAGTGATTATCATTATGTCACCGGATAGTAGTGTAGACATAGTGTCAGGCACATCATCTGTTTCCTCTTTCTCCGTGTTTAGGAGTTGAACAGGGTGACGCTCTTTTACCTGCTTCTTCTAGCTCATATGTAGAGAAGTCGTTTTCCACGTTACATCGGTACCGGAAACATCCCTCGGCCCACGTGCTGTTCCTTTCCCGACACTCGCCCTTGAAGGAACAACCTGGAAGTACAAATCAGATGTTAAATACAAGAATCTTATAACTTGGGTTTTACACCGCTTAATTATCACATCAGAGGCTTCACACATTACATCCATATCGGGAATCCAACCCGGGCCTTCAGAGTGACGATCGAACGTTTTAACCACTACGCTTCCCTATCGCCCTTCAAAGTATAAGAAATCGAGGACAGAAATGTATTCTTAAAATATTTATTGAACAAAATTAAATAAATACATTCATGGAATACTTCAAATGTAGCTTACAACCATTTTAAATTTAATGTGGATTTGTTTGCTTTGGAGTATTTCAGACATACTTAAGTGAGTGAGTATGGTTTTACGCCGCTTTTAGCAATATTCCAGCAATATCACGACGGGGGACGCCAGAAATGGGCTTCACACATTGTACCCATGTCGGGAATCGAACCCAGGTCTCCAGCGTTGCGGGCGAACGCTTTAACCACAAGGCTACCCCACCACCTCAAGACATACTTTAAGAAACGAGATCCGCATGTTGGCTTTCTTATTTGTGACAGCCATATTTGAAAATTGTTAGCTGAGTTCACTCACCAGCCTTTATAGGGAGAAAGACGCCATTGTCAACACACTGGTACTTGGTGCAGGGGTCACTCTGAGACTCCCACACGTCGCCTTTGTCGTAGTAGACGCCGTAGTAAAAGCAGGAGCAGATCCACGGCACACACCTGTCATCTGTGGGGTAAACATAGCACCCAATGAGTGGTCAGTGTGGCATGTTAAAATTAAGAACGAGCTGTTGAGTGAGTGGTTTGAATATTAACATATCCTTCTAAGTGTCAACAAAACCAGCATCTTCCCGAGGCAAGGGAGTGAACTAACTGTAAAAGTCCAACGGGGTCACTTGCAATGTTTTTATTTAGGAATAAAAACGTGTGTCTAACCTAGCGCTCACCACATGGACAATTGGCATGGTTATATTATTTCTATTAGTAAGTATAAGCACCAAAAGAAGAGTCTCTTGTAAATTTTCTTCTAAATCAATTTTCTGCGTGGGTTGACGTCACTTATGGCGCCTCGACAGTTTCATCAATAGATTTATTGAGTTATTCCAACGTTTTCACCATCTATTGATCAGTACTTTGCTCAATCATTGAAGCGTATTGCCAGCGTGTATATGCAGAACGGGCTATAGGTTGATATAATCAGAAACATTATCTACAATTCGGACGTACCATAGAGATTAGATTGTCCTTTTTTTCACGCAAGAAGTTAAAATGGATGCGGGCGTATCTTCAGGCCATAAGTGTTCCTGTTTTATTATTGTTAACATATGATCATGGAACAGACAAGGCCACAAAAGCAGCGCTGCAAAACGTCAGACGAAATGAATCCTAGTTTAAAACGGTTTATCTATGAACGACGTATTTTGTGTGTGGACAGTGACGTGGGTGTCGTTATCGTTACCGTGAAGTTATGTATTAACGTTGCGAACTATTTCATAAGAGAGGTACAGATGTTGAGATGTTAAATAACAAATCAAACTGTAAATAAAAGCGACAAAATTCATTCACCAATCATAAGAAATGTATTGTACGATTTCAGCTATATCATGAGCATGTGTTCATGAACTACAACCAAATAGTTATGATACCAGGTATTCGCGAAAAGATGACATCCGTCACAAACACATGCAAAGGCAAGGCATCTGTTCACCTGAATAAACATGAGTACATATGGTACAAGTCAAAATAGGGAATATGGACATCATTTTTGTCACTGATGCGTCAAATTTAAAATATCCTCCACATGTCTACCAAAAATCACGTTTCGAAAAAAACTTTATATAACATGTACGTTGCCGAGAGTAATCAGTTCCGGATCAACGGGATCCTGACTGTAGATAACCTTCACATGAAAGTAGATGCTTTACTTAAATGTTTCACAGTTGTGCGGATGTTTGACAGTAGTGCGACCACCCCTTGATGGTAAAAAATACGTTCGCGGGTTAAAGAAACGAATAAAGAAACTACGAATAAAACGATAATTCCTGGAACGAAATCTCAAGAAAATCTAAAAGAATAAACTGCTGGTCCGTTTGGTAAGCTGATATTAGTAATGTGTACGTGACTTGTGTGTGTGCCTATGTAGGTGTAGGAACTATATGGCAATGAGTCACGTGGTGCGTACCGTCACAGGACATTATTTGTAAATCATATCAATTGTTTGTTTGTTGTTTAACGCCGCACTCAGAAATATTCCAACTATGTGACGGTGGTCTGTAAATACTCGAGTCTGGACCAGACAATCAAGTGATTGACATCATGAGCATCGATCTACGCAATTGGGATCGAAGACAAGCATCAAGCAAGTCAGCGAGCCTGACCACCCGATCCCGTTAGTCTCCTCTTACGACAAGCATAGTCGTCTTTTACGGCAAGCATAGTCGCCTTTTTACGGCAAGCATGGGTTGCTGAAGACCTATTATACCTCGGATATTCACGGGTACATATGAACTGAACAAAATCTACATTACACATACTTTCCTCAGACAACACGTGGAGTTATATAAATCCCTTGTCAACGAGAAAGAAAATGTTCAATGAAATCATTTCGTCAACGCTACCCTCCTTCTTATCATTCCGGACACTTATCAAACCACAAACACATGCCTATTTCCATTTCAATACGACATTTGACAGCACGTCATTCAACAGCAAACAGAAATACATTAAATCAAGACACTTTGATCTGCAGTTTGTATTTATTAAACCGGAGACCCTTTATCCCCTGAGATTATGCAAACACGGCCTTGTGTATACTGTATAGTATATTAGCATGTTCTTTCTCCAGCTAACCGGTCGAATATGTATTTATTTGTATCCAGTAAACGTGCTGTATTTATATTCAATATCTACGCCATTAAGGTCGGTTAGGTACTTAATCAGCTTACATATCAACATGTTGGCGCCAGATGGCGCGTGCACAAGGTCCTGGTATAACAGACACCGGTTAAAGAAAATTACGTCAAGTTTCGCCTCTACAAGCTCTAAGGTCTTTAAAAATAAATATCTTTGTCGGGCAGATAGCTACAGATATGGGGTGAGCGGAAGCGATAATTAAGTAATAATCATTGATGAAAGCTATCATTTAAGGAGATGAAGAGAAGAGGTGTTACCACTGCTTCATGGGGATGATGTCCTCTCTTTACAAAAATCATTATTCTGTATATTAAAGACACCACCAGTGTAAACAGATTCAGTAAGGTACATTTGTGTTTGTACATCAATGGGGCTATCACAGGACATATATTATCCTCCTAAAGACATGACCATCACCGTTCTATAAATGTATTTTGAGTGACAGAACGGCTTACGCCGCTTTTAGCAGGACACCAGACGTGGACTTCACACATTGTACCCATGTGAGGAATCGAACCCGGATTTTATGATCAGCGAATGTTTTCACCATTAGGTTATCCAACCGTCCCCGCATTGCACAGATATTCGTCGGGAAATCTCCTGTTTCAAATTGAGGAGGTTTTCAACGTATATTTGAAACCTGGGAATTTCATTTGTAACCGAACTCGACAGGGTTTTCGTTTCTGTAAAATGCATAAGTTTATGCCGCGACAGGATTGATGTCAGACTGAAACAATCATTCAGGAAGGTAACACGCTCTCGGGCGAAAACAATTCGGAGATGCTATTTAACATTAGAAAAACTACTGTGTCTTGAAATTTTTGGTAGTCTAACTGTAGATTAGATAACTGATTTTCATTTTATTTTGGCCAATGAGAAACATGCATTCATTGCCATGCCGGTTGTATGTACTCAATGCGCAAACTAAACTTTGTACTGATATCTGATGCTTCGATACTAACACGAAGGGCATGGGTTGGCTAGCTGTCTATGGCGCAACAATGTCCTGTGTGGAGTTGCGGCCCTGGGGCGTACCGGAAACCGTTAATCGTGGGTTCGAATCCCAGATTCGCCCTGATGAATCTAGGTGTTTCAACATCGTATCCTTGCTCGTTGTAAACCTCTAAGAGCTGCATCAATTAAGTCTTTCCTCCAACATCAAGCTGACACGCCGTGATATAACTGATTTTTTTTTTTAAATCAGCGTTATTCCAAACACACTCACTCATTACTAGCATGTTGACAAATCATATTTCTTAAGCACTCTTCAGAAAACTGTTTCAATTTTTTAAACAGATAATATAACTAAAAAAAGATAAACGAATTCTAAATTTAATCGTATAATAATTATATTATTATATTTTAGAATATGTCTGTGTTTAAGTCAAGCGGTACTACAATAGTAATGTGGAGCGATGTGTCGGTAACGTCCCTCACTAAGCATGACCTCAAATACATTTCGGAGCGGTCGGGTAGCCCAGCAGTAAACGTGTATACTGTATGACGGGGGGCACGTGTGAGTTGTGCAGAGTTGCGTCCCTTAGGCACGCCAGAAACCTATGATCGTGGGTTCGAATCCCGGTTCGCCCAGATTATGTTTCTAGCTTTGTCAGCACCATACCCGTGCTCGTGGGTTTCACCGAAGTGGTAAACGTCTGAGACCTGCATCACTTCGGGCTTTCCTCCCACATTAAGCTGACACGCCGTGATATGACTGGAATACTGTCACTCACTCACTGTACGACGGTGCCACGTCACTAGACCAGGTTTGAATCCTCAAGTTCATGTGCACAAGGTGTGAAGTTAAAAAATAGTGTCCTCGGTCGTGACATGGCAGGAATAACAGTAGTATGGCTCACAGACAATTGTGACACCTGTAACTGGAATTATGACAGTGTTATACGGGATCACAGGGTTTTGTGACGTGAGTAATACTTTTAAAATCATTTGACCGATGCTGACTCAAAGTCAAGGTTCTTGTCATGTCCACAACTTTAGAGCATTATTTATTCCCTGTATGGGCAGAAGACCAATCTATTTATTAATTCAAACTACAAACGCAAACAGTCAATACGGCCCAAAGGCCAGTCCCAGCATGCTTTCCAAGCTGTTGATATATATATATATGTTATCGGTTTCCGTTATATAATTCAGTCCAGCATTTCATAAATAGTTTATTTCTCTTAAAATTGCTTAAGTTGTATATTGTTTGGTTTTAACCAAATATTTTTTATGCCTTACTGGTGCTTTATTTTAAGATTGTAGTTTTGTATGTGTTGTCCTTTTTGTCTGTAGTGTATACCTTCATTCATATTTCCTCTCTCAATCATCACCCACAAGACCCACGTGAAGATCCGTGTCAGATTTGTTCTTCCGCAACACGTGATTGTCGTAAGAGGCGACTAAAGGGACAGGGTGATCAGACGCGTTGACTTGATTGATGCATGCCATCGTATCCCAGTTGCGTAGACGATGCTCATGATGGCAATCACTGGATTGTCAGGACCAGAATCGATTATTTACAGACCGCCGTCATATAGCTGGAATATTGCTGAGAGCGGCGTTAAATAACAAACAAACTGTCCATAAGACTAATAACCATTAATCTTTTCGCCTTTAACTCTCTACCTGTTTCCTGTCAGTTAATGCCATTAATCACTGTTAGGCAAGGGCATTAGTGCTTGTATTTCAAGCAGGATGTCATCACAATAAAATATATACACTGTAGGACAAATATAAGTGAACCTTACCAGTATTTGGGTTTCCGCCATGCGCAGTGACAGTAGCCACATGTACTGTCACCATGAGGCCCACCAACAGGGGGAGCCACCCCGTCAGACCCCCTCCCCTCGGGGTACGGCTGTCAGCCATAACGGTTCGTCTGACTACTCTCGTCCTGAAACATAAAGGGAAGGATTCAATACATTTCTCTGATCGGTCCCCGTACATGGATCTCCGTGGACAAAACTGGTACCTTCCTGTATCCCCTCACATATATAATGGATAGTATTACATTTTTGTATCCTAATATCAGTCAGCGTGTTCAATTCTGTACCAATATGATGGCGATGGGGACGCCTAGCGGTTAAAGTGTTTTTAGTCTCCAACGTGATATTGGAAGAATATTGCTAAAAGTGGTGTAAAAGAATACCCACTCACTATATCAATATAATAATACACTAACTGATTTCCTCATATTAAAACACAATCCACAATCGTCAGAGATTCGCTGTACAAAGCAAAATCGTCATTTCGCCATTTTCACCAACATCGTACTCACTGGAATAATCCATTCAGAGGTTCATGTTTGCTGTCTTTTGTGTTTAGTAGCAATCATGGCATGGCACTTATTTTTATCCTTTCGTAAAAGAAACATCAGTATAAAGCTTTGTATATTGCCTCATTTCTATTGACCACGAGAAAGAGATGCGACCTTAACCCAACGCAACTGTAACTATTGTTTGTTTGTTGTTTTACGCCGCACTCAGCACAATTCCAGTTGGTGGAGTCTACTGGTGTCCACCACTTTACCTAAAATTTTAGTAAAAGATAGGTAAAAGTAATAAGTAATTAGTGTGGGTTTATAATGCTTATAATTATTTCCTTCTACACTATGAGTAAACGAAAACACAATTCGTACGTTTCCTACCCAAACCAGACCCTGAATTATGATGAAAACACTGGCTATGCAACAGTGGAACCATATACAGGGTCAAGTATTTGAAAGGCATTTAGAAGTGATACACAGAAGGATGAGAATTTATGGAAATCAACTTCTTCGGAGTATATGCTTACTCCTTCATCCCCTGAAATAAGCACATACTCCGACACGCTGTGTTCCTCATAATACAGAAGTTGACATCCATAAATTCTCTTCCGCGTGTATAGGATGGTCAATTAATGTTTTAACAATGCTACACTATACGGATTTTTTTCTATTATTTCTCTACTATGTTCGTCGTGTTGGTAAATAATACAATAATTTTAAATCATTTGATTTTCTCTAATTGTTTTACTTACTAAACCTTACTACTGTTCGTTATCCGCATTGTCAGATGACAACTGTCGGAATTACTTTCATCGCCATCGATGCCCCTTGCTGCCACTGAAAGAAGAGTTGATGTACAACGGCCTCTCTGACATCCAGCACACAGACTGCCACACCTTTAACATTTACCTGTACAGTTTATCTGACTGCCTGTTACATGATTTATTTATATCATATAAATATATATTGTTAACAAATAACAATTTATATATTGTTTTCTATATTGACCAGTGCCTAGAATAAAGTCTTTAACATGTCGTTGTGTTAGTCGTTAAGGAGTAGCGCCGTGTGGACAGGCTGTAATTACTCAACTATAGTCAGTACCGCTTTATAGACAAACCTTATGAACATTTGTCTGCATAGCGGCCCATAACCAAAGTGTACTCATGTGTGCAGGGAAACGTGACAGTCACTGCACAAATACCAAATACTCTGCAGCTCGTATTCCCCATACGTTTTTATCGCTGTAGGTATTTATCACTGTAGGCATTAGTCACTGTAGGCATTTATCACTGTAGGCATTAGTCACTGTAGGCATTAGTCACTGTAAGCATTTAGCACTGTAGGTATTTATCACTGTAGACCTTAGTCACTGTAGGCATTAGTCACTGTAGGTATTTATCACTGCAGGCATTTATCACTGTAGGCATCAGTCACTGTAGACATTAGTCACTGTAGGCATTAGTCACTGTAGGTATTTATCACTGTAGGCATTTATAACTGTAGGCATTAGTCACTCTAGGCATTAGTCACTGTGGACATTAGTCACTGTAGACATTAGTCACTGTAGGTATTTATCACTGTAGGCATTAGTCACTGTAGGCATTTATCACTGTAGGCATTTAGCACTGTGGGCATTTAGCACTGTAAACATTTAACACTGAAGGTATTAGTCACTGTAGGCATTAGCCACTGTAGGCATTTAGCACTGTAAGCATTTAGCACTGTTGGCATTAGTCACTGTAGGCATTAGCCACTGTAGGCATTAGTCACTGTAGGCATTTAGTCTACTATTACTCATCCCCATGTAACTTTCTCCAACCAAACACAAATAAAGCATGGCGCCTGGCGCTGTGCAATAACACCGATGTCTGATATCGGAAATAATATCCTAGTAAGTACATAGTCACATGTCGAGAGGAACTGATGCATACCGCTCCATCAATCATTTCGAACTCACTGCACAAGTCAATACTTGTCTACAATATAATGCTTAGAGATGCAGTGTTGTGGCCTTTGAAGTTATTTTTTACCAAATTTTATTTTCTATTCATTCATGGTTTTGTTATATTCTGCTCAACATGAAATTTATAACTTCTTTGAGTGGCATTTAGAAGTTGGAATGATGAAGTAAGACGAGTTCTATGGATGAACAAAAAAGAAGTTGTTCATCCATAGAACTCGTCTTAGTTCATGAAATTTATATTTTATGCTTTACTTCATGGTGAGATTGATCAGGTGTTTGAAGGGCGTATTAGAGTACATCTGTTATTTCACCTTTATGTCGGACAAAGGGACACGGATTGCTAGGTTGTCCAAGACACAACAATTCGCAAGGTAGAGTTACGTCACTTAGACGTTCAGGATTCTATTATCGATGTGTCAAATCCCACATACGGCCTGATTAGGACACCGGTGATCGTGGGTTTCATCAAAACGGTAAACGTCTAGGATCAGCATACATTCTGGACTTAAATCACTGAAACTGAAATATTGTTGAAAGTGGCGTTAAACTCAACTCACTCACTCACGCCGGAGGAAGGCCCACGGTGTAGCAGGTAGAGCTTCTACGGTCGAGGCTGGTACAAGCTGACCCTACGGCAAGTTAAGGCTAATATGTCTCAGAATGTATCCAGTATCTGACATATCATCTTCCCGAGGCGGGGCGGTCGGGTAGCCTAGTGGTTAAAGCGTTCGCTCGTCACGCCGAAGACCCGGGTTCGATTCCCGACATGGGTACAATGTGTGAAGCCTATTTCTGGTGTCTCCCGCCGTGATATTGCTGGAATATTGCTAAAAGCAGCGTAAAACCATACTCACTCACTCACTCTTCCTGGGACAAGCGTGTCAAGATCAAAGTCAAGTTTCTTGAAACAAGATTTTGATGAACAAGACTAGTGTACGCTCTTGCCTCCGGAGGATGCTGACTTATAGAATACACCGGGGATACTTTACAGTTGAACACACACTAAATGTTCCATAATAACATTAGAATAACCATGTATACCTATTGTTATTAGTGCGTCAGTACGGTGGCCCATAAGAGACATGGAGCCTGTTTTTCCATATTTTGATATTTCACTTTATCGTAACCTTTTGCAAATTAACACGATTTGTCATACAAATATGTGATAAATCATGTGTGATAATATTTCCACCGCGGTGGAAATAGTTTTATGTGGTTTCATTTTAGTTTTTGACATTTTCGCTTTTGTTTTTGACATTTTCGTTTTTGTTTTTGACATTTCCATTTTAGTTTTTGACATTTTTGCTTCACATTTCAGCGACTCAATAGCTACTTGAAAGTACATTTTACACGTTTCGGTTGTTTTTATACATGATTTATAACATATTTGTATGAAAAATTGTGTTAATTTACTGAAGGTTACGGTAAAAGTAAGTGAAACATCAAAACATTGAAAAACAGACTCCATGTCCCTTATGGGCCACCGTACGTCAGTATGTATAGTTCTTTCAAACACTCGTTGGAATAGAACCCTACTACCACGGGACTGTATTAGACCAACAATCACTTTGCACACACTCAGCAACCCAGCAACTGTCTTGTCCTGACTTGATGATGTCCACCAGCAGATATTGTTGCAAACAACGTGTGAAACAACCTTTTTTTGTTTTTCTGTTGTATGTAATTATACGGCGGTGATGTGGTTACATCGGTTTGTCATCTTTCCCTGAGAGAATCTGTATCACATCACGTCTACCGCCTTTGTGTAAAGGGGGACATGTCAAGAGATCGCGTGTGGGAGCGTTTAAGTGTGAGAGACTAAAGACGATTGGACAGATCTCGAAATGCCTAAATGCTGTTTTATTTTTATGTTTTAAGTTATATGACAGCCTCCCGTACATGATCGAGCATGGACCTAGCAAACCAGTGGTTAACAATATGAGCACACTGTCGGGGTTCGATGACACACAATCAGGCAGGGCATACGCTGCAACCATACGATCCTTATGCGAGTCTACTCTAATGACAGTCATGGAGTACTAGGGGGGCTATTCCGCCTAGGAAATGATGTAAACTGCCGGGCAGAAGAAAGTATACAATTGAAAATTTGATTTGACCAACACATTACAAACGTTTTCAACCGCCGTCATAAAGCGTTAAACAACAAACAAACAAAAAAAACGTTTTCAAGAAGTTACTTGGCTGAAAACAGTCGCCGAAACACAGTAAATTTAAGGCCCAAAACACCCGTATCAAATACATCTTCATTGAAATACAATTATTATTTTTCATTTTTAGCCACCATCAAAGATGATTGTATACTTTCCTTTCCCCGGCAGTTTAGATAAAATGACAATTTACCGTCCACAACAATATCAATGTTCCACTGTCATATACGAAGTATTATGGTATATATATCCAAAGACGAATTTTATCATACAAGCATATTGATAACTGAACATTCATAATAATTATGATGACGATGTGGTTTTACAGATAGATCAATAATTTAACTGTGTACTCTACAAGGCACTTGTCAAGACGGCCAAGGCTATAGCGGTGCCGTTTACATACGTATTGATGTCCAAATAATGGCACGTGTGTTTATCGCCAAAGCTAAATGAAAAAAAACATGTCACGCAACATGTCTAAGGCAGCACTTTTATTTGAAATTTGAATTTGTTTTAATTCAAAATTTGAAAAAGAATTTTGTATAAAACCCAAAGAGTCCATTTCCGCCCATTGAAAGACCAGAGTTTTAGTTTACTTTTGTATATAAATACATTATTAGGGTTCATTTCCGCTTTGAGTATGTTTTGATAATTAAATATTATGTCCCACCACAAAGACGTTTAATTAAATTCAGTAGCTTACTTCAAATTTCTTTTTTAAAAATATAGATACATCCTTCTTCGTACAAATTACACTTGAATGACGAGAGCTGTTTTACGAATATACAATATAATATACTTAACACAATCCTGTCACACCACCAGAAAACTGTACGTCGCTGACATTTTGACCGCCGCCATGTTAGTAGTACATATACAGATCTACTTGTCACCTACTTGTGATATATACAACCAATATGATAATCAATGACATTACCTTAATCTGTAACGGAAATATTCTCAAATAAAAGTCAACCTACCTGTTGAGGTGTATAGTTTAACAACTCAAAACATTCATTTTAGAGCCAGTTCTCCTGTACACCGAAACCTCAGAATTGAGCCAAAGCCTTTCCGACAAAGTTTGCCGTCTTTTATTTGGCTTCGATCGCTGGAGTATTGTTCGACTCCTGAAGTCGTCACTAGGGCTGGTGACAGCTTGTCTTGTTAATAGATGGCAATGAAGTTGAGGTAAATATTAACTGCCGCCAAATCGATGGTGTCAGGGCACACCTGAAAACCAGCTATGCTGTTATTCAACGTGTTGTTCGATAATCGACGGCCCAGGTGGCAATGAATACATTGAACAATTATAGGCTTTAAGATATATGAGAAGTTTTTCTGAGATTTACTGAGGATATGTGTTAGTTTGTGTACGTGAATTTGGAATCTAAACATTTTAATGTAAATAGGTACGCCAAACAATAATTAATTAAGAAAGAATTTATGGATGAACAACTTCTTTATTACAATTTGGAGCGACTTTTCGGTGTAGATTCTATCACCGTTATCAATCGGGTGATGACAATAATTAGATAAATGATTAAATAACGAATGAAAGGGATAGTGGTTGAATTTGTAAAGAAAGGGGACAAAATAACTTAGGGGCAAAAGAAAGTATACCGAGTTTGATGTTTATTTAATTGAAAATTGAAAGAACTGTTGTTTAATTTGATTATGTCTATTTAACCATCATTCCCGCAACAGTTTGTAAAATGTAATCTGTGGCTGGGTAATTTTGTGTAAAAATGAATTGCTTCAAAGAAACCTGGGGTGTGAATTTGCAGCCATAATGCCCCAACCATGTATGAAATGCAAACTATTGCCGAGTTTTTTTTATTGATTTTCAAAGATAAGTGAGTGAGTGAGTGAGCGAGCGAGCGAGCGAGCGAGTGAGTATGGTTTTACACCGCTTTTACCAATATTCAAGCAATATCACGGAGGTGGACACCAGAAATGGGCTTCACACATTGTTCGGCGTGACGAGCGAACGCTTTAACCACTAGACTACCCGACCGCTCCCATTTCGTTTAAAGCAAATGCAAGTGATATGAGTGGTGGAATCTGATTGGTCAGTAGGAGGGACATAGAAGGGACATAACTCGTAATAGACTCTTGTGGCGCTACGATCGAGCCTAAAGAATTCCAGCCTATTTCGGCACGGGTGAAAACTGGACTTTAACAGTCAGTTAACTCCCTTGCCTCGGGAAGATGTCTTCGTGCGATCTCTAGGACGTCTCGTGGAAATATTTATTCGATGGGGATGTATTTGATACGGGTGTTGTGTTTTTTCCTTAAGTTTGCAATGTTTCGGCAACTGTTTTCAGCCTAGTAATGTTTTGATTGTTCTTAATTGTTTGATCAAATCCAATTTTCAAGTATATACTTTTTTAGCCCAGCTGCATTGAGTGGATTGATAGGACCTAGTACCTCATGCTTGTCGTTAGAACACTTTTATGTGGATCACGTGGTCACAGTGTGTGACCTGGATGGTTGTCATTTTAAACCACGGTTTGACCTGCAGGGCCCAGATTTGATCTCTCCAGGCCGCCGCGATGCAGTGGCGTTGTATTGACCGTATAACCACTTTCACCGTATAATCACTCAGACTGCAGAAACGTAATCAAAATGTTAAACATCTATGTCCTCAGCCAACACGAGCTTTAAAAAAAGATGAGTTGCCAAGGTGGATCATAATTAGATGTTGTTCGAGTTGTTCGTAAAACCCAACTCACTAACTCTGCAAGGTAGCCGAAAATCATTTTACCGCTATAAGATGATTGTGAGTTCACCTTGGTAAGTATAAGAGAGCAAAGCTCCACTGACACGCGCGCGCATACGCACGCACGCACGCACGCACGCACGCACGCACACATACACACACATCCCCGCCTCAACACTTCCCATTGCTGACCTTGACATACTGGTATATGAGTGATGCCATGTGTATTACCACACTAGTAAAATGTACCAAAAATAGGGAGGGACATTAAGGTCTATGGATTATACCATGCGTATAGTCAAGAGGACAATAACGTCTATGGATTATATCATGTGTATAGTCAGAGGGACATCAAGGTCTATGGATTATGCCATGTATATAGTCAGGGGGACTTCGAGGTATATGGATTATACCATGTGTATAGTCAGGAGGACATTCATGACTCTAGATTATACCATGCGTATAGTCAGGAGGACATCAAGGTCTATGGATTAAACCCCATGTATATAGTCAGAGGGACATTAAGGTCTATGGATTATACCATGTGTTTAGTCAGAGGGACATTAAAGTCTATTGATTATACCATGTGTATAGTCAGAGGGACATTAAGGTCTATGGATTATACCATGTGTTTAGTCAGAGGGACATTAAAGTCTATGGATTATTCCATGTGTATAGTTAGGAGGACATTTATGACTATGGATTATACCATGTGTATAGTCATGAGGACATCAAGGTCTATGGATTATACCATGTATATAGTCAGGAGGACTTCGAGGTTTATGGATTATACCATGTATATAGTCAGGAGGACTTCGAGGTATTTGGATTATACCATGTGTATAGTCAGAGGGACATTAAGGTCTATGGATTATATCATGTATATAGTCAGGGGGACATCAAAGTCTATGGATTATACCATGTATATAGTCAGGAGGACTTCGAGGTTTATGGATTATACCATGTATATAGTCAGGAGGACTTCGAGGTATATGGATTATACCATGTGTATAGTCAGAGGGACATTAAGGTCTATGGATTATATCATGTATATAGTCAGGGGGACATTAAGGTCTATGGATTATACCATGTGTATAGTTAGAAGGACATTTATGACTATGGATTATACCATGTATATAGTCAAGAGGACATCAAGGTCTATGGATTATACCATGTGTATAGTCAGGAGGACATTAAGGTCTATGAATTATACCACATGTACAGTCAAGAGGACATCAATGTCAAATAATTTTATCATGTGTAAAGCCAAGAGGACATCACCGCGTATCCTGTCATACGGATTGGCCGAAACTCTGAATACACAATCGATAATATTCCAACAGAAAGTCGCTTGTTTAACTAACCAAAGCCGTGAACGTTCCGGAGCAGAATGTATCCAAGTGCCCAATGTTTGTTGTGAACGAATCACGAGAACTGGGTGTTGACAATGTGTGACCTATCTGATGGTGTGCCATCATGTCTCGGCCCCGTGAAGATCCTGCTTAGAATAGGTCTTCAGCAACCCATGCTTGTCGTAAAAGGCGACTGTACTTGTCTCAAGAGCTAGTTGGTTCGCTCCTATGCATCTTACCTGTGAAGATCCGGGTTACAATAGGTCTTCGGCAACCCATGCTTGTTGTAAGAGGCGACTGACTTGGTTGATGCATGTCATCGTTTCCAAATTGCGTAGAATGATGCTCATGATGTCAGTCACTAGATAGTCTGGTCCAAACTTGATATTATTTACAGACCGCCGTCATGTAGCTGGAATAGTGCTGGGTGCGGCGTTAAACAATAAAACAAATATCATTGCTCACGCTATCAACCACAGGTCTCTCTCCGACGCAGACTCGATTATTAAGAAACCGACGTGATAAGTTCTAAGTGTGGTTTTACCCCGCCGTGCGGAATTAAACTCGTGGACTCGGCGTGACGAGCGAACACTTTAACCACGAGGCCCCTCACTATGATAACACCTATCACAGCATTATACCGTCTCAAATATGCCGCAGCTTGCCATTGACATTTGTGTATATGTCTTCATATTTACAATCAAATGTCACCAAAACCTGACACCGCGCCTGGCGCAAACTATCGACATGTGTGTCCATATCAGTTTCATGTGTTGCAGGGACAGCTGGGTGATGCTCTCATTCCATATGATTAACACACCACAGAGTCACTTTTTTCTATTCTTAACTGATTGTAATAACCTACACCACGTATGTGTGATCTCAGCCGAACACTTGACACGTCTCTACTTCACATGAGAGTGAGTGAGTCAATATTGTTTTTACTACACGACATGAGAGTGAGTCAACATTGTTTTTACTTCACATGAGAGTGAGTGAGGCAATATTGTTTTTACTACACGACATGAGAGTGAGTGAGTCAATATTGTTTTTACTACACGACATGAGAGTGAGCCAGTCTATATTGTTTTTATTTTACGACATAAGAGTGAGTGAGTCAACATTGTTTTTACTTCACATGAGAGTGAGTGAGGCAATATTGTTTTTACTACACGACATGAGAGTGAGTGAGGCAATATTGTTTTTACTACACGACATGAGAGTGAGTCAACATTGTTTTTACTTCACATGAGAGTGAGTGAGGCAATATTGTTTTTACTTCACATGAGAGTGAGTGAGGCAATATTGTTTTTACTACACGACATGAGAGTGAGCCAGTCTATATTGTTTTTATTTTACGACATAAGAGTGAGTGAGTCAACATTGTTTTTACTTCACATGAGAGTGAGTGAGGCAATATTGTTTTTACTACACGACATGAGAGTGAGTGAGTCAATATTGTTTTTACTACACGACATGAGAGTGAGCCAGTCTATATTGTTTTTATTTTACGACATAAGAGTGAGTGAGTCAACATTGTTTTTACTTCACATGAGAGTGAGTGAGTCAATATTGTTTTTACTACACGACATGAGAGTGAGTGGGTCAATATTGTTTTTACTACACGACATGAGAGTGAGCCAGTCTATATTGTTTTTATTTTACGACATAAGAGTGAGTGAGTCAACATTGTTTTTACTTCACATGAGAGTGAGTGAGGCAATATTATTTTTACTACACGACATGAGAGTGAGTGAGTCAATATTGTTTTTACTACACGACATGAGAGTGAGCCAGTCTATATTGTTTTTATTTTACGACATAAGAGTGAGTGAGTCAACATTGTTTTTACTTCACATGAGAGTGAGTGAGTCAATATTGTTTTTACTACACGACATGAGAGTGAGTGAGTCAATATTGTTTTTACTACACGACATGAGAGTGAGCCAGTCTATATTGTTTTTATTTTACGACATAAGAGTGAGTGAGTCAACATTGTTTTTACTTCACATGAGAGTGAGTGAGTCAATATTGTTTTTACTACACGACATGAGAGTGAGTGAGTCAATATTGTTTTTACTACACGACATGAGAGTGAGCCAGTCTATATTGTTTTTATTTTACGACATAAGAGTGAGTGAGTCAACATTGTTTTTACTTCACATGAGAGTGAGTGAGTCAATATTGTTTTTACTACACGACATGAGAGTGAGTGAGTCAATATTGTTTTTACTACACGACATGAGAGTGAGCCAGTCTATATTGTTTTTATTTTACGACATAAGAGTGAGTGAGTCAACATTGTTTTTACTTCACATGAGAGTGAGTCAATATAGTTTTTACTTCACATGAGAGTGAGTCAATATTGTTTTTACTTCACGACATTAGAGTGAGCCAGTCTATATTGTTTTTATTTTACGACATAAGAGTGAGTGAGTCAACATTGTTTTTACTTCACATATGAGAGTGAGTCAATATTGTTTTTACTTCACATGAGAGTGAGGCAATATTGTTTTTACTTCACGACATTAGAGTGAGCCAGTCTATATTGTTTTTATTTTACGACATAAGAGTGAGTGAGTCAACATTGTTTTTACTTCACATGAGAGTGAGTGAGGCAATATTGTTTTTACTACACGACATGAGAGTGAGTGAGTCAATGATTTTACTTCACATGTGAGTGAGTGAGTAAGGAAACATTGTTTAACGCTAAAATCCCCAATACGCCTGCTACATCACTACAGACCCCTGAAGATTCCGGAGTAGAATAGGTCTTCAGCAACCCATACTTGCCGTAAAAGGTGACTATGCTTGTCGTAAAAGGCGACTGACGGGATCGGGTGGTCAGGCTCGCTGACTTGGTTGATACATGTCATCGATCCCAATTGCGTGGATCGATGCTCATCATGTCAATCACTGGATTGTCTGGTCCAGACTCGATTATTTTACAGACCGCCGTCATATAGCTGGAATATTGCTGAGTGCGGCGTTAAACAACAAACGAACAAACAAACGAAACATCACTACAGCCTGTCTAGGGCATATTTTGGGATGAAAAAAGGGAAGAGAAAGGATCTTTCTTTGACTGTTTCTAAAATACACTGTCAATGCACGGTAGCCCACCTAATTATGTGGTCAACGGTTTAAAATGATAAAGACAACAAAGACAGCCACTAAATAAAGATTGCAGTCAGCATGGACCATTTCCGGCATATATACTGAGGAACCCACTAAAACCCTAATGATTTGAAGAAAAAAGTATGTCAGCCAAAAATAAAACAAGGTCGAAATATATAAGATTGTTAAAAGGCGGAATATATGCGTTGAGTCCTACTACTTACAAAACAAATTCCAGATGTCATTATGATTGATAAATTTTCCAATATGGCTACTGTGGCGGCAGTTGTTTTTATATCTAGAGAGAATATATGATGAGTTACGATTGATTCCTGTCATTCAACTTTCACAGTATAAATTATTTAACGTGTCTTGGAAATTTTGGGTTCTATCTAGTTGCTACTGAAAAGTGTGAATCGCCAACAGCTGACATATTTGAAAGTCATATATACTATAAACAAATGTTCTACATTGATTCTAGCTGTATTATGTGCACTTATAATGTAAGTCATGTAAAGGAGTGACATTCAATATACCTCTGTCGGTACAAATGGGACGAACTTAATTTTAAGTTCATTAAGGATCTATCATACATTCTGTATCCTATCCTTTCAGAACAAGGCAGTCATTTTTTAAAGCGAGTATGTGAGTGAGTGAGTGAGTGGGTGGGTGGGTGGGTGAATGAGTGAGTGAGTGAGTGAGTGAGTGAGCCATACAGCGACTAATGTTACATTACACAAGAAAGAATAACTCTTAGGTTTGATCAGAAGTGATATGCTTTCAAGGAACGGCTAACCCAGTACTAAATATTACGTCCCTTGGCAGTGCCAGCATTCAGTTAATTTGATTCAAAACCCAGTTGTCCATCCACATGAAGATGCCACGCTGGAACAAAACGGACATACTGCTTAAAGCGGTGTTAAACACTCACTCACTGACTCTAAGAGGCAATGGAGCCACGCGTCACATTCTCACAATAAATACGCCTAAAAACATACGAGTCTTTTCTCATCTGCTTCTTCATCCCGACTACACAGTTCGCGGTTGCCTCTAAACATCGGATGGATTCCACACAGCTGCAAAGTTCAAGACACCTTCTGACATATAAGAAGAACACGACTGCAATCTAAGATTCCTGGAGGCCGCTTCACGTAGCTCTTGTAGCAGACCATATTTGGAAGCACCATGCCTCTGGTAACGATCGGAAGCAATGTTCTTAGTTGCCCAAACCGCACTGACATAGGGTTCTTCATCCAAAGAATAAAACTTGACATAGTGTAGGTCCCGGCATTTCTTCATCTGTCTCTGCTGCTCCACGAGAAACTCCTCGGCTGTTATCTGGAGCCAAGAGACTGTGTCTTGACCTGTGTTTTGTAAAATGGACGATACGTAGATATCACCATTTAGGACAGATGCTGACTGGCATGTCACTCTCATACCGTTTGCTTGTTTTTCAGATATCATTTTGAGGTACACCTTCGCAGGCACTATAGGCGATATGATTCGCCCTTGGTTATGGCCTGTACTTTCATGAAATAATATACTATGGTGGATTTTGTCATTTGTCGTATACGATTCTATAAGAACTGGTTGACGGTTTCTATGTTCCTCCTGTTCAAGAATTACAGAAAAACCATCATCGTCAACATCAAAATACACCGACCAACGGGTGATGGATTGTCGAAAAATTAAATTAAAATACACATTCGTGTCAACATTGCATGCATTAATCCACGTTAGCATAAAACCAGCTGACTCAGCATCTGCAATCAGTGCCTTGACGTCTGGAAGCGGAACAAGCAGCAGCACCTTCTCCTGCACATCCTGAGAAATGATCTCATGGATGTTCTTGTCCTTATCGGCTTCATAATAGAGCGGATATCCCTTGACGGTACTGAGGGCGTATTTAACAAGTCCGTCTAAGTCCATGTCTCTTGACCAAGCATTCATCAACATGACCCAGCTGAACCCTGATTTATGTTGCATCATTGTTCCACAGGAACCTTCCATAGCTCCAGTGTGTCCAAAAGAGGTGCCACAATCCTGGACATCTAATCCAAGACCATACCACTGTTTACCATCGTCACAACCGGGTCCCGCCAACATCTCAGAGACTGTGAGAGGTTCAAGTACACACTCGTGTTGGATATTATCTGCGGATGTTTCTTCTTTATAGTCTTTCTTTAGATCTCTAGCAGTTTCATCACTCATCCAGGTGTGTCTGTGACACTCAAATTCACAAGGCTTATTTCGGTGAGAATATTCGTCTTGTATTGGAACTCCGAATGATGTGAATGTGTTACATTCCAGACAGCAGTGTGACACCCCATCTTCATCCCGAGACGTACCCACGTCATCCCACGTGCAAATCTCCACCTCGACATAACCAATTACAGGGTGATGTGGTGTGGAAGGTTCCTGTGTGAAACAGCTTTCTTTGACATATTTGTGACAATATTTCATTCTCTTAACATCAGTCTCGTCAAGCATCCCATCTACATCTCTCTTTGCCCCAATCTGTTCACCGAGAGCCTTCTCTCTAGCCTTAGATGTGGGTTGAGGCCCAGTCTGAAGCCTCTCCATACACCCTGGGTGGATCTGGCCGCTCTTTGGGCCTGGGTCTCGGGCCTCTTGGATGCTCTCCACAGCAACCTCGTCTCCACAGCCGCGCTGCAATGAATGCAGTACGGTCAACAGATCTCCCACAGATGCCACCCAGCCCCCGTACGCGCCCGTATTCTCCATACTGAAGGAGCCGTACTGAGGCAGAACATGACCCTCGTTGGCAAAGAGGGACTTCATTACATTTGGATCTCGATTGTTGAAATATTCAACCTGAAACATAGGTACAATTGTTACTGCTTTCACTAATACAGCGCGTTATGCTGTTTGGTACATGCATATCTCGAACATGCACCTACATTTTTCATAAAATCAATACTAGTTTAATATATGACATGATTTAATTCATACTGACTGTATGAACGCTAAGCACTTCTACTCATCCAAATTCATACTGGAATTATTCATAGTTCAGAAGGTGAGTTTCCAAATTAACATATTTTTACTACATGATAAATACTAGTAATACAATATGGTTCATAAATTCATGGTTGAACGCTATGATTTATCATAAAATACGGAGGGAAGATTCTTTGTTTGTTTGTTTGTTGTTTAACGCCGCATTCAGCAATATTCCAGCTATATGACGGCGGTCTGTATAAATAATCGAGTCTGGAACAGACAATCCAGTGATTGATATCATGAGCATCGATCCACGCAATTGGGATATGATGACATGCATCAACCAAGTCAGCGAGCCTGACCACACGATCCTGTTAGTCGCCTCTTATGACAAGCATAGTCGCCTTTTAGGGCAAACATGAGTTTTTGAAGACCTATTCTACCCCGGATCTTCACGAGTCACGGAGAGAAGATGGCAAACATATACTTAGGGTCAAGCTATGTATTAAAGATGTTTAGGAGTAATTAACAGTTAGCACCTCTTCTGTATCACAGAGGATCCGTTTCGTGAAGCCGACTCGTAGCCGAGGTAGACCCATTTTAAGAAAGATCTCCCTCATGAATGTTTCATATTTCATCTGTGTCATTTTCTCCAACACCAACCCAAGAACCAGGAAGCCGAAGTTGGAATAAGCATGGCGCTTACCTAGTGGGACAAAACACCGTGTTAGTCGCATGACGTTAAAATGTATACATTTCACAGTTGACATGTATTCTCAATACATTAGACCTTTCACGGCAAATTCTATTATATGCTCTCACCTGAAACAAACGAATCGATGGTGAAGACGAAAAAAAGATTCGCTGGTGCGATGGTGCAATTTTTCACGAGAACAGAGTATATTTACATATACCCGATAAAAATCTCTTGATGACTGAGACTTAATATATTTTTTACATACATGTGGTTACTGGTACTATTGTTTTCCCTTTGAATATATACATACATCAGTTCACTGTGTGAGTGGGTGAGTGAGTTAGGTTTAGCACAACTTGAACAGTATTCCAGTTATATATTGTGGGAGGCAACCCGAAGTGATGCAGGTCTCGGGCGTTTACCACTTCGGTTAAACCCACGAGTATGGGTATGGTGCTGACAAACATAGAAACATAATCAGAGCGAACCATGATTCAAACCCATAATCATAGGTTTCTGGCGTGCGCAAGGGACACAACTCTACACAGCGAATTACGAAACCTTATACGACGGGGCAATCCCGAAGCCCTTCTGGATTTGAAAAGCCATCTTGCTGTGCGAAAGTCAGCGTATTTAAGAAACATATTCTTATCGGGAAGAATACAGGTTTTTAAGCCATTGCTTCACCTGGTGCAAACTGCAACTTCCTCGTCATCATAAATTTCACCAGTTTGACATTTAACTGGTCACTGATAGGCGAGACAACACCGTGTTTTGCGTCTATGGCGTCGAGATTAAAGAAGACTGGGTCTCCCGCTTGATCCCGGTCCCAGCCGGCCGAGTGACGCAGCAGGTGGCGCACTGTTATCTGTAAAACACGCTTATCTCCCTTGGCGCTTGGTTTAAATTCTTTCAGAATTCCTACAAGAGAAAATGTCATGCTTACCCCACGTTGTTTAGGTATATAAGATATCTCAAGGAAGAAAACAAATAAAGATTAACTTTCAACGCTGACCTTGTCAACAATAATTTAATTAGCTATGAATAACAACAACTTGTATACTTAGTGAAGTTGAAGAGGGCTGCCAACTCATTTTTGGTACGCGGGATTTCCATTTAGACGTTATTCTGGACTTAGCAGTGGGCACGCGGGACGGACATAAGATCGTATTTGATACGCAGATTATACATTTACAAAATAAATAATGGTGTACGCAAACATTTCCTTTATATATTATACGTTTTCGCTATTTTTCAGACATTTAACATAAATCGAACCCTTTTCTCAATGCCTTAAGTATTGGTGAGCAATGAAACTCAGAGTGAAAAATTAGATGGTATACGGGAGGAGGGGCGGGGGTGGGGAGTGGGGAGGACACCCTCTTGAAGTTCCGACAAGTACGAGTCATGTTACACATATCATGGTCGAATTGTGTAGAGACATTAAAATTCTTATTGTGCTTGACTGCAACAGGACAAATTAAAAGATCGCGGCGAATTTACACATGAGTTTGGGTTTTACGTTGCTTTTAGAAATGTTCCAGCAACTTCACCGCGGGAGACACCATGGTCCACCCATGCTCACTTGTGGGTAAATACGGGCCTTCAGAATTACAATGATAAGCGAGCGTTTTAACCACTAGGCTAACCAACCACGCCTACTGTGGTGCCATTAGAGATGACTGATATGAAAATTAAGGATCTTCGAAATTCCATGCCCAGGTCATCCTCTTACATCCGGTGTATGTAATCGCCATTCTATTGTGATGACTTCATTCGCTACTACAGCTCGCTATCATGTCCTATTCGAATGACTAATGGCTGAAAATTACCAGCCAATCAAATCACATTCTAACGTAGCTATGGAAACGAATAGGTCCAGGGAACACACTGAATAAACGAGGATGAGCCCCCAAATGTACTATTTTATTTCTCTTTAACATATACATACATACGTTCACTGTTGAATGTATAACATTTTTGTTCGAGTTCAACTAAGTTCCGGTTTGTGAAATCCTGAGTGAATGAGTGAGTGAGTTGGGTTTAACGCCGCTTTGAACAGTATTCCAGTTATATCACGGAGAGTCAGCTTCATGTGGGAGGAAAGGCCGACGTGATGCAGGTCTCAGACGTTTATCACTTCGGTGAAACCCACGAGCACGGATATCGTGCTGACAAACCTGGATATTATCGGGGCGAACCGGAAATACAACCCACAATCATAGATCTATGGCGTGCCCAAAGGGACGCAACTCTGCATTGATACTCTACGCAGACAGAATATACTGAATCCAAGCCAACAAGTCCTAACTGTATCCTCTTAAAGCCAAGCAACATCTTTTAAAGTCTTTTTTGGTATGTTTGGTTGTTTATCGACGCACCCAGCAATATGCCAGCTATATGACGGAGGACTGCATATAAACGAGTCTGGACCAGACAATCCAGTGATTGACATCATGAGCATCGATCCACGCCATTGTGATACGATGACATGCATCAACGAAGTCCGCGAGCTTGACCACCCGATCCCGTTAGTTGCCTCTTACGACAAGCATAGTCGTTTTTCACGGCAAGCAGGGGTTGCTGAAGACCTTTTTTACCCCAGATTTTCAGGGGTAATTTTTGGTATGAAGCGGCCGACGACCGTACCATGTACCGGGCCGCCATCGTGGTCTAGTGGAAGAGCGTCCGCGCGGATACCAGAAGGTCGGGGTTCGATCGGCATTAAGGGGCTAAAACAAAGACTTGTCGGCTCGGAGTCAGTATACTGTGTCTGGGTAGCCAATGGGGTATTCATTTTAAACTGGGGCATGGTAGATAGCGCTATAAAAACGTTATTACTCCGAACACGCGCGTGCATGCCAGACGCTATATCATTGCAATTATTTTGGACGCGACGTTAAACCCCATTTCACCTCACCTCACCACCATGCACCGACCTTCCGCACTCCGGGTTGTCTCTTTATATCCACTCGGTCACGGAGGCGGTCGGTCCATATTCTAAGGAACATACCTAACGGATTATCATTCCTTCCCATAAGCTTCAAAAGGAGAGGATACACATCTTGTAAAATTGTAGTTTTAATAGAATAGTTCATGGATGAAAGTGAACAAACGCAAAACACTAAGTACTGTAGCCTTACCCTTGGGGCCAAACACTTTATCCTCCAGGGTCAGCTGACCCTGTTCAACCAATCGCATCACGCCTATGGCCGTGAGCGGTTTGCTCATACTTGCGATACGGAACCGAGAGGATGACGTCACCGGCCTGTTGACTCCTGCCATCCCGTAGCCTGAAATACACAGTGGTAGAGGTGAGGTGAAATGGGGATTAACGTCGCGTCCAAGATTATTGCACTTATTTAGCGATGTGCATGCACGTGTGTGTGTGTGGCTGCTTGTACTAGTCCGGACTGATGCCGATTTATAGTGCTAGCTCACTGAGATACCATGCCGGAGTTTAACATGAATACCCCACTCAGACACAGTATACTGACTCCGAGCCGACCAGTCTTTGTTTTAACCCCTTAATGCCGAGCGCCAGACAGGGTAACAACAAGTACCATCTTTTAACGTCTTTTGGTATGACGCGGTCGGGGATCGAACCCCGGACCTTCCGCTCTCCGGGCGGACGCTCTACCACTAGACCACGGAGGCGGTTCACAGTGGCAGACCTCTCATCTGATGTGATGTCGTACTCAAGCTACATTCATTTATAATATACTCAAAAATATCTGATAAAACACGAGTCTTTCATAAACTAATCAGGAGATACTGTAATGGTTATTATTTTCTTATTTAATGCCATAATACATGGCTACATTTGTATTTCATATGGACCGGATGCCTTGGACACAAAAAAATACTTTGATTATGACTATGTATCATAAAGTTATTTATTACCAACGTGGTGATGAGACAGGTGGAAAATATTACATCCGTACGTCACAAATGTGTTTGTTTATTTGTTTGTTTGTTTGTTTGTTTGTTTAACGCCGCACTCAACAATATTCCAGCTGTGTGACTGGGGTCTGTAAATAATCAAGTCTGGACCAGACAATCCGTTTATTGACACCATGCGCATCGATCTACGCCATTGGGATACGATGACATGCATCAACCAAGTCAGCGAGCCTGACCACCCGATCCCGTTAGTCGCCGCTTAGGACAAGCAAAGTCGCCTTTCACGGCAAGCATTGGGTTGCTGAAGACCTGTTCTACCCAGGATCTTCACGGGCGTACGTCACATGTGTGTCGTACAAGGTTGGTCTCGTTCTGTTGATTATGATTGGATAATCGTGACCCTGTTAAGTCACTAACGAAAGGTTACGCCGGAGCGATTTCCTTTCATTCATAAAATCCTCCTCTGTTCTACAGCTTGGAGGGGGCATGGGTGGCCCAGTCGTCTAAGGTGCCACGATTCGCTGTGCAGAGTTGCGTCCCTTGGGCACGACAGAAACCTATGATTGTGGGTTCGAATCCCTGTTCGCCCTGATTATGTTTCTAGGTTTGTCAGCACCATACCCAAGCTCGTGGGTTTCACCGAAGTGGTAAACGTCTGAGACCTGCATCACTTCGGGCTTTCCTCCCACATTAAGCTGACACGCCTCGATATAACTGGAATATTGTTAAAAGCGGCGTTAAACCCAACTCACTCACTCTAAAGCTTGGATGTGCATGCTCATGGCCTACCTTGTGTATATATGACGTTACCATGGTAACTGACTGTCAACGCGAGACCAGGAATTCCTTGATCCTTCATAAATTCAGAAATGACGTCATCGAATTCCTTGAAATCCCTACTTTTGGCCTCGTTTCCATCCTTTGACGCTACAACGACATTATCACAAAAATAAAGGTTGTCTGTCATGAAGGTGGTAATATAGAAATTAGCATGAGGACAATTATATTTGTAGCTTCAGTAAATAGGTGTGACATATATTAATATACCAATGTAATGTATAGACTTTTGGCACCAATCCACTTCTTCCTGGATAGAGTATGTATTCATTAAGTTTCCCCATTGTATACCATACTCTGCCAAATAAGACTGCCTTGAAAATAGCCAAGCTTAAATTGATCTCTATACGTGCGCGTTACCGCCTAACATTCTAAGCAAGTCTTGCAAAACTAGAGTTACGTCCCTTTCTAAGTACGTCCCGTTGTGTGCACCTCATCAAGATATATTATAGATGTCAAAACTGTCTTCGAATCAGCCCAGCATGAACACTGAGAACAGTGCCGACTAACAATACCTGCTTAAAACACAGGATATTGGAGGTTTCAAATTATGCTGTTCGGACACAGGTGACATACATGTGAAAACACAAAGACTTCGTTCATCTGATGACAAGTCTATTGAAACTCTCTCATCGTAAATGTTGTTGGTTTTTACGTAGCTTCCCCAGTGACACATAATTGAGCTTACCAAACAATACACAGTAGCTATGATCGGCAGACATGTTGCCAAACAAGAGACGGTCGCATCGTTGTTTACAATGGCGGAGCTACGTCCGATATGTGGGTCAGCTTCGGCATATTTTATGTGCGCTTCTTTAGGATAGCAGTATTTTCTTCGTAGACCTAAGTCAACAAGACTTATCAGATTAAATAGGTTAGTACCTGTTTGATAAAGGAGATTGCCTCTCTCTCTCTCTCTCTCTCTCTCTCTCTCTCTCTCTCTCTCTCTCTTTCTCTCTCTCTCCAAAAAAGATCAAACATTTGCTATTGAATTAGCATTGACATCTTAATTCAAACATAGTTACGTTTCTTCAGTACATTCAAATGGCTGAGTAACTGATTAACTGATTATACGAGCACGTACACGTATGTCAGTTCTTACATATATTATAAGAAAAAAGGAAACAAAATAAGAAGAAAAAAATTGCCAGTGAATATATACAAGTTAAACAGTGAAAATACAAAATATGTCTGACAGTGTGTGTTTCTTCAAAGGAAAGTTGTCGTAAATGAATTTCCGTCTTTTGCAGTATTTATTCAACACTGTCGTCCTGCCATGTCATTGTTGTTGTTGTTATTTAGATAACACCAGTTTATTCCATGCAATGTATTTCCATGTTTCACAGTCGTGGTCGCCATCTCACGCGAGTTTGTTACCCACAGTCCCAGCTGTGAACTGAGTGAGGGAGTATTGTACGCCGCTTTTATCAATATCCCAGCCATCTCCAGACGGGGGACACCAAGCAACCAAGGATGTCACACGTTGTACCGTGTGGGGAACCGAACTCGGATATTCAGCACTACGAGCGAGCACTTAACCACTAGGCTACCCAAACGTCTCTGTATATACTAGAAACTACATGGCTTGATATTATGTGCCTTGTCTACATGCCGAAGATTTTGGTTTGTTTGTTTGTTTGTTTGTCTGTTGTTTAACGCCGCACTCAACAATATTACATTTATATGACGGCGGTCTGTAAATAATCGAGTCTGGACCAGACAACCAAGTGATTGACTTCATGAGCATCGATCCAAGCAATTGGGATATGATGACATGCATCAACCAAGTCAGGGAGCCTGACCACGCAATCCCGTTAGTCCCCTTTTACGACAAGCATAGTGGACTGTAAGGACAAGAATGGGTTGCTGAAGACTTATTCTACCCCGGATCTTCGTGGGACAGTGATGCTGTTACGTATACATTTTTATTAAAAGGCAAATGTAGCTGTGAATGTTTGAAATTGATCATAAATAGTTTGGAAGCATAAAATACTCTAAATTGTTTTATTTTAGGTTTCTGGTGAAGACACCAGTGGCTTTTTAAAGATATGTTGTAATATCTTTAAAAAATCATATTCCAACTGGGTTTTAAATGTTTGGTTGGGTATCAGTCTTCCTTCACTATCTTACTATACACAATATCCGCTACAGGTACATAACACACAGACATTCGACATATTCATCTGAATATTCACTAGTGGCGAGACAATGGAGAAATTGTATGTTGAGTTACCTCCCTTCGACTGACTTTGAGAAAATGTGGTAAATACTTTTATGTCAAAGAAGTTTGTGTAGAATCATTTATATGCGTGTATGAAACTTAAAATAACAACATTAAACATATGTTTTATTTATCGTATGTACCTTGGAGATTGCATTTCAGAGACAAGCGCGTAACATTGCCTTGCAGCGTCGTGTTCCACTTTTCCACGGGTCATAGTTTTCGTGCACACCGGTCACGCGAGATGAGAAGATGGCGAAATATTGTGCATATTTTACGAAGTAAAAGCCACATGTAATGGCGAGGAAGAAGGTAAATCCGGTAATTATTAATCATCCCTAGCCCCTCGATGTACCTTACTAACTTGACATTGTTTCGGAAGTGTAGGCGAAATCTGTAAATAATGAGGTCACTGTTTTCGCGCACTTGCATGACAACATCATTTAGCATTATCATATTCTGTATTTCTACATATATCTAATGTTTTGTACATGTTTACGAAGATTTATTCAGGGGGAAAATTCAGGGGAAAAACTCCGCCTGCTTCAAACTGAGACACGATTAGGCTTTGATACAACGTGCAACATGACTGTTTGACATATTATTGCATATGTTTGTCCTTTATTTCAACTTGGTGGTTTTTTACCGAAAGGCCGCCTATAGTGGTGAAGGGAATTATTTCCCATAGTTTTAGTAATGGAGGGATACTCAACACCTTAAATTCAAGCTAGTGGACAATAATGTCAGTATTTTATCAATTGATTTTGGGAAGAAACAACTTAGGCCTAATCCTAATAGATTTTCACTTGTCTTGGACTAACAGACTCATATCTATTCCGGTGATGGCATGATTTGTATATTTGGTAATCTTGTTGAGGTATCCCAAAAGGCCATATTAATGCCTGTTTCTATCCTAATCTACTATCAATGGGCATACATACCAGTCCTACATACACTATGTTAGCAAGTTGCCAGTCTTTGTCAGAGTGTAAACACATGACTTCAAGCTCAAGTTTCAAACGCAAGATATAAACCCAACTACCAACACATCATTTGGTAGACATTTTTTTCTCTTTAAATATGTGTTCAAACCTATGATATACAGATTTGGTGTTACTGTTCATTCCACCTTATTGTGCTTATAGTTATATTGAACTTTCATGAATGTATGACCATCATGATAATTAGTGCTTTTTACATTGTCCACTTCAGATGAAAGCATTTCCAAATTACAACGTGGTATTAATCAGTGAGCTAGCTCTATAAATCAGCATCAGTCCGGACTAGTACAAGCAGCCACACACACAGGTGCATGCACATCGCTATATAAGTGCAATAATCATGGACGCGACGTTTAACCAAATTTCACCTCACCTCATAAAATAGTTCCAGATTAGTCAGAAAGCATTCTTCTGTTTTCAGGCCAAAGTTAAGAAGACGTCCGACTCACCAGGGAAGGTGGACAGCAGAACATCCAAGTACAGAAACTACGACCTTCAGGATGTGGAGAATGCTTTCAAGGATGTCATGGAGAACAAGATGTCTATCCGCTCGGCCGCCATCAAGAATGGTGTTCCAGCATCCACCCTCCGAGACCGAGTTCAGGGAAGGATAAAGGTCAACACTGTTCACTCAGGACCACCCCCGTTCATGCCCAAGGAAGATGAAAGGTCTTTTGTGAAACACATGTTGAAGCTTAAGGCAGTTGGATACCGTTATCGGCAGATCGACATCGCTGATGGTGCTGCAGACTATGGACATTACTATGGCAAGAGGGACATTTCTGAAGGACCAATGAGTCGCGGTTGGATAAAGAAGTTTGTGGACAGGCAGAAGAAGAAGATCACTTACATGGAGTATCACTTCCGTGCAAAATGTCCTTTCCCGCCAGTAAGTGTACAGAAGAAATATTATGAAGAACTGGATTCTATTCTGGTCAAGAACAATCTTAAGGACAGGCCACATTTGATATATAATCTGTCTGAAACTGCCCTTACGTTGACCTATGCAGATGAGCCTCACGAGCCTGAAGCTACCATCTTCAGCTGTTTCAACGCCTTAGGACTAAAGCTCCCTCCTTTCTTCATCTTCAAAGGAAAGAAACCAAATGCTAAACTGACCAAAGGGGGTCCCGATGGCCTCGGGGCAGTGATGTCCGAGTCCGGAGCTCCCAACAGTCGAATCATGCAACATTACCTCAAGGACCACTTCCTGAAGAACCTTGAAGCAGATGAAGAAGATGAGAACACCCATGTCCTCCTCCTTTATGATGGACACCGGTCTCGAATCCTCTTCCCTGTCATCCGATGGGCCCTGGAGCATAGGATCATCCTCTTTGTCATCCCACCCCACTGTACATACACTGTTGATCCACACAACCTTGCCAACTTCAACCCCATGGACATATGCTTCCATAAGGAATGTTCCTCCTACCTTCTAAAGCACCAGGATAAGACGGTTGACCGGTTCAATATCTGTAAAATTGCCAGCAAGGCCTATGAGAAAGTGTTCACTACTCCTGCAATAATTGCCTCGTATCATGAGGCAGGGATCTATCCCTACAAACCAAAGATTCTTCATCATCTGCCGACAGCCCGGCATCAAGAAGGCTCTCTTAGGAGGAGAAAGAGGAAACATGCCAGAGAAGTTAAAAAGGAGCCTAAACGAGCGAAGAGGGCAAAGGTGTCCACGGAGGACTATGATGATGAAGATGAAGACAGCTTGTTTGAAGAAGAGTCTAGTGACTTTGAAATGGAGTCAGATGGGGAGGAAGATGTCTCAGGGCACATCTCAAGGGCTGCAGATCGTGATCACAGCTATGGGACATGTAGCAATAATCAGGACAATGATCTTGAAATGGATGGGGAACCAGCATTAGGAAACAGTGGAGTCACTGACAGTGTAGACAGACAAACAGTTCTTGTCAAACCCCCTGATGAAAAAGACTCCACTGCAGGAGTTAGTGTTGTGGCTGTTGGAGAAGTTGGCGATGTTGTAGAGGAGGTTTGCATCCAGAGTGGCGAAGTTTCTGTACCCAGTCAGACACCCGAGTCACTTATGAATGTTAAGGGAGAAGGGACTGCTGATGGTGAACCTAAATCTGACCCGGGGCTGCTATCAGAAGCATCTGTGATGAACGTGGACACGGAGCACAGTGGAGTTCTTGTCACCCCAGCAGGTGGTTCCAAGAAACGGGAATACATGCTCATAAAGCCTAAGGCCAAACATGATACCCAGTTGAACATCTCAACAGAAGTCCATGGATTCATTGATCCAGGGGGACAGTTGATCCCTGTGGTGGACACTCAGCCTGATCAGAAAGCTTCTGTGAATATTGATGGTCAGGACATAGTGGTGACAGTTATCGAAGTGAGTCAGACAATGTATGATCAAGTCCTGGCTGGGGGAGATGTGGTCCTCACAGAGGACACCGTCAGTGAGGAGGTGCTCAAGGAGGACACAGTTGGAGAGGAGATGATCTCGGAGCAATATGTAGAAGGTCTAGTCAGCAAGGACGTCCCTACTGAGGATATAGTCAGCAAGGACGTCCCCACTGAGGACATAGTGTCCAAAGACATCACCAGTGAGGACATGGATGTCTCAAATGTAGACACAGTCAGTAAGAACGCAGAAGCCCCCACTGAGGACACAAGCAGGCAGACGGTGCTCAATGTTAAATTTCAGGAAGATGAAAAACAAAATTCTGCCAGTGCTAGCGTGAAGACTGAACCTGAATTGGTGTAACTTGAGAACCTCTTAGTGTTTATTAACACTCCAGACATGATTGTACAGTCAAGAAGTCAGACATTGTTAATGCAATCTTTGCAGTACTCCGGGGACACTTGGACTGGACCATGTGAGCCCCGATATTGTCTTTGGGAGGTTGTGAAAGATAATAGGGATCTTGCCATCTAATTGTTTGGATTTACATGTTTCTGTACTGCAACAAAAAGTGTCAGGATTTGGAGTATTCTGGGGAAGAGCCTAAATTATAAATTCTCAGTCCTTTACATATGGCAGTCTGCGACTTAAGCCACTAGTCTTTTCTTGGTTTGATAAGCTTACATAGAAACAACAGTAAGTCTCTTTATTAAGACCAAAATCTGCTGTAGACATGGTAAATGATGTCAAGTGTGTATACACGTGCTAACACTCTTTCCTCTGTAAAGATGGTAAGTTTCTAAACAGTATTTTTGCTGTATTTCTTGGTGAAGTAACCTGTGTTATCCGTTTGTTTGTTTATTGTTTAACACAGTAGTATTAGCAGTATTCCAGCTCCATGGCGAATTTCTGTCAGTCACAAACCAGACAATCCAGTGATTGACATAACGAGCATCGATCTACTCAATTGGGATACGATGACATTATGATGCATCAACAACAGGAACTCTATGATAGTGTGTATAGCATAATATATGCATATAGAAAAAAATCACACCTCTCTATACATTTAGACAAGGTGTGACACAAGGAGAGGGTGTGATTATTTTTCTATGTGCATATATTATGCTATACACGCTATCATCGAAGTCCTGTGGCATCAAACAAGTCAGTGAGTCTGACCACCCAATCCTGTTAGTCGCCTCTTACGAGAAGCATGGGCAGCTGAAGACGATTTCTAACACAGATCTTCACCATGAGTGTTATCAGTAGTAAATTACTGATGTTATTTGAATCATGCTTGTATCTTATCACATTAATATCAGATCTATGTTCCCACTACGGCTACACGAAGATTGGAGGACATCCCATTACAGGTCATGTCAGAACGACCTTTTGCAAAATTTGACTGACCAGTGAAATTACTTACAAGAAGTCGACATTAGCAAGTCAGAAAGCAGCTTTATGGCACCAGTTTCAAACTGGCTACTTCCTTTCAAGACTACACTTTGGCAAATATTATGGTCTCATTTTAAAATTTGAAAACTGAACAAAAGAAAAATTTGGAATGTTAAACAGCTAGGTGAGATTGTATGGCAGTGCATCCCACTGGCTATGGAAAGCCTCTCCTACTTATCCCATTGAAGAGAGAGATAGTTGATGAGTTTGATTGAATCACTTGTACAGCCATTTAGTTTAACTGTCATTAAGAATACCCTGTGTTAACCTATTCGAGGTTGCATAATTAGAAAACACTTTTATAGCATGAGCGATATTCGATATTCTGACTGAACAATATTCTGACTGCCACTTTCCCAATCTGGTAGACAATGCTCTGATTGGTTGGATGAAAGGTCGTTCTGATGTGACCCACTATGGGATGTCCTCAGATATTTGTTTAACAGTAAAAAGAGCTAAGGTATTTTATTTAATGAGATTGGTTTGTATCACTAGTAACTGATAACAAGTTGTGTTATCATCTGGTGCACCAGTGACTGATAACCTGTAGCATCATTCGTCTTTTGGCATGCAACAGTGTCAAGATCACAGCACACCTCCTTAGAAGGTCACATCAGATGAACCCTGAGCGATCATTTACCAGCTAATCTAGTCAGAAGATACATCAGTTCTGGTCCAGTCAGATGTATACTGATTTGGCTTTGTTTCTTAGCCACCTCAGGGGCGGTGGGTAGCCTAGTGGTTAAAGCGTTCGCTCGTCACACCGAAGACCCGGGTTCGATTCCCGACATGGGTACAATGTTTGAAGCCCATTTCTGGTGTCCCCCGCTGTGATATTGCTGGAACATTGCTAAAAGTGGCGTAAAACCATACTCACTCACTCACTCTTTACCACCTCAAATCGGAAATTTCAATTTTAACCAAAAAAAACACATAGAATGCTTTATTCCTTTGATGGTACTCTTTGGGTGTGGATGCCATGGTGCTCAGAAACAACAGGGTGTATAACATATCCACAATATCATGGCATGTACGTTCAGTACGGGCTGGTCAACATTGTTGTCAAGATACAGAAATCAGATGTGCTGGTCTGAATGTTTTGCTCATTCATACACAAAATATGAAGGTAATTAGGAAGTTCACATGGGACCTTCTCTAGACAAATGGACCCGTGAAGAGTCTGGGGTAGAACAGGTCTTCAGCAACCCATACGTGTCACTCACACTAGCCGTAAAAGGCGACTAACGGGTGGACAGGCTTGCTGACTTGGTTGATACATGTCATCCATCCATATTGCGTAGATCGATGCTCATGATGTCAATCACTGGATTGTCTGGTCCAGACTTGATTATTTTACAGACCACCGTCATATAGCTGGAATATTGCTGAGTGCGGCATTAAACAACAACAAACAAACAAACTAGACAAATGCAGGATGAATCGAAGTTTCGTATCAGAGTTGTAATGAGATGGTTCTGCAGAGCAATTTTCCTCATCTTTGAATTGGACTACCCATGCCAACCGAGATAAGCTTAGATTTAATTAATCTACCTTATGTATAAACCATGTGTATGCCACTGCCACTATATAAAAACATGTAACAGTGTTTGTTTTCAATGTTGACAGTTTTGTACTTTACAGTTGCATGGTGTCATACTCAGAGACATGGTGAGGAAAATAATGGCAAATTCAATATTTAACATGTTTTTGAACATGATGAAATCGAGAGAACCTTAAAGGTATTTTGAATACGACTGAACAGATATTATTCTGTGATCCAAAATCAACACGTTCATTCCACTAAGGATGCTGAGTACATTGGGTACATGATGTTGAGATGAGATGCCCAAAGTCTGCATGACATGTATGATGAAGGCAAACCGGCTTATCAGCTTATCTGCTCTGTGGTCTAGGGTAATAGATACTAATTATTCAATTTCAAAGTAGGCTAACAAGTAGACGAAGTCTTTGAATTTTTCTCTCTTTTTTCCATATATGCAGAATATTAGCGTGATTAAGAAAGACCTAGATATTTTTAGCATTTAAGCAATGTCAGTTATCTGTGGTAGTCAAATATAGGGTCCATTGGATAACCAGAGACCATGTGTTTTTTAAAAAAAACATTTGTTCATGAATTTCTTTCAGTTAGTGTGAGGCTGACAGTAGTCATGAGCAAAGCAAGGACACTTATTATAGTGCTGCCGGGATGAAGCTCTACATCAGTCTGTTGTGAATGGTGGTGTAACTGTAAAACAGGAAATCAAAAGAATGTGAAGAAACACACCTGTGATGCACAAATCAATGTGTGAATGCTAATATGAATAATGTTAAAATATTGTTTATTTGTTCAGGATGTTTTTTACTGTGGTTAATACTTTTGTACTGTGATGACGCTAATCTTCAGTGGCTAAACAGTTTGATGTCGACATTATTCATGAATAAACACTTAAGTTAAATGAAGACTTGATTGTTTTTTATGCGTTTTCTTGTTTTTTTTTATGAGGTGTTTTCTGGGTCATGTTATGAGGTGCGATTAAGTTTTTGTACTAGCATCCCTATGGGTAGTCCCCAGTACCCCTTGCTTGTCTCAGTTCTGTGATTTCAAGACAGAACAGGTCCCCAGTACCCCATGCATGTCTCCCTGTTGAAATGTCCGAGTGCTGAAATACCAGGGCAGAATAGGTCCGCAGTGTGATTTGTGAACGTTGTTGCAAATATGCCCCCAAAACTGCTGAAAAGTTTTATAGGTGCTTGCAATGAGAGGAATCAAATTTGTGAGGGCATCAAAATATATAAAGTTTTTGTTGTCTGGGAGTTTACATGCTTTAGCCCTGACATGTAATTATAGCCTGTTAACCTTAACTTACAACTGGGGCACGGGTGGCCCAGACGTCTAAGCGATTCGCTGTGCAGAGTTGCATCCCTTGGGCACGCCAGAAACCTATGATTGTGGTTTCGAGTCCATGTTCGACTCGATTATGTTTCTAGGTTTGTCAGCACCATACCCGTGCTCGTGGGTTTCTCCGAAGTGGTAAATGTCTGAGACCTGCATCACTTCGGGCTTTCCTCGCACATTAAGCTGACACACCGCGATATAACTGGAATACTGTTAAATGCGGCGTTAAACCCAACTCACTCACTCATTTACTATCTTACAACTTTTCAGAAAGCATAGTGCCCAGCTAGCTTAAGTTTATGACCTGTCATGACGATGATTGGTTTTAAGTTCATCACAGACATCATGTTCTTGTGGTTGGCACACAACATTAACCAGTGGTAAGAATATTGTTTAAGACATGTTCTTTGTTCGCTAAATATCAGGCTCTGAGTTGCTCCAGGGGGTTTGTGTATGAGTATTTAGATATGAAGTTATAATTAAAGTTTAAATAAGGTCAACCACTAATAGGGGTTCAGCTAATTTTATTTCACAATTTTCACCCACGGGTGGCCAGTATTCTCCATGTTGTCAGGCACCATAACACACAATACAGAGTTGGACCGCAGCTGTACAAGGATCTTCTGGTCCTTGGGGGAAATCCTATTTGCCTCCATTATGATTTTATGTCAACACCACACCCATGACTGCTGGGGATCACTTTGGGCTTTCCTCCTACAGGGATTTATCAATACCTGCTCTGAGAACGACATTCGACCCTAACAAATTACAGTAAAAATTCCCAATTTGAATTATAACTTTCATATTTCCTCTGAATTTATGAAATTTTGAACAAAATTTCTCAACTTTTTCTCAATTTGCCTGGCAAAGGCACTTTAGGTCAGAATCTTAAACAGCTCTGTGTCATACCTCAAGCTGCTTCATTGTGATATAACTGAAATACTGTTCAAAGCAGGGTTAAACCAAACCCACTTACTCATTTTGTTGTAAAAGGCAACTATGCTTGTCGTATTGTAAAGAGGCAACTAAAAGGATCGGGTGGTCTGCCTCGCTGACATGGTTGATGCATGTCATTGTATCCCAATTGCATGGATTGATGCTCATGATGTCAATCACTGGATTGTCTGGTCCAGACTTGATTATTTACAGACGGCGTCATATAGCTGGAATATTGCTGAGTGTGGCGTTAAACAACAAACAAACACTAATGTATTTCTTTATTAGCCTTCATATTTTTACACAATTGTTCCTGTTAATTACCTTGAACAAAACATCTCAATCAATGTCACTGAACTCCAGGTAAAATGTGAAGACTCTCCTCCAATATGGCGACCTTGGCGCGAAGTGCAAGATGGATGTTCCGGAAGCTGAGTGTCCACCAACAGCATGTCCTGGCCTCTGTCCAGTGCCGGTCACTTCACACATGCTACAGGTCACTGGCCAGAGACGTCCAGACCTACAAGACAGAACAACAGCTTCAGAGCAAAGCAGCAGAACATTTCGATGAAATCGCGAGGCTGAGGGAAACCAACAAGCTGTCGTTTGAGATAGCTGTGGATATGTATGTTGCTAAAGAGAGTGTGTACAGACGAGGGCATGTTGAGTTTCTGTACTCGGCCTTGGGTAGGATGAAGGACTTCAAAGTGGTCAATGACCTTGCCACGTACAAGAAGCTGCTGGAGATATTTCCCCCCGAGAAGATGATCCCGAAAAGTTCCTGGCAGGTCGAGTTGATGCACTATCCTCGTCAGCAGCAGTGTGCCATAGACCTCATGGAACAGATGGAGGATAATGGTGAGTGGGGATTATGTGGAGCAGATGGAGGGACATTGTGAGCGTGTATGTGTGGAGGTGATGTGGTTGATGGTGGGGATGTGTAATGTGTAATGTGTAATGTGGAGGTGATGTTGTTGATGGTGGGGATGTGTAACGTGGAAGTGATGCTGGTTGATGGTGGGGATGTGTAACGTGGAAGTGATGCTGGTTGATGGTGGGGATGTGTAATGTGGAAGTGATGTGGTTGATGGTGGGGATGTGTAATGTGGAAGTGATGTGGTTGATGGTGGGGATGTGTAATCTCGAGGTGAAGGTGGGGAGTTAAGTTAAATTTGGGGGGGGCGATTTATTGATATAATATAATCGAAAACTGGCATAACCCAAAATCGTCATGGATGTTCAATGCAGCCTTTGAAATTTACACGAGTCGGCTAGACCAGGACTACAAAATTTTGCTGAGGACAAGTAAAAGTTTTATAATGGTAGTCCTCGTGGACTCGTAGCATTTGAGGGTTATAAATCTGAACCAAGTCTCAATGCTTCAATTTTGCTTCAAATTTGAACTGAATAAACCTGACAGAAAATTTCAGGATACCATATTAGCGTGAATTTAGAAGGCTGTCTACCCAAGTGGACTTTGTTGCAGGTGTAATACCCGACCATGAGTTTGGCAGTATCCTGAAGAAAGTATTTGGTCCCGATGCCCACGCATTCAGGAAGTATCGTCGTATGATGTATTGGCTTCCCAAGTTCAAAAATGCAAATCCCTACCCGGTACCGAAGGAGCTCCCGGAGGATCCATGTCTGCTGGCAGCGCTAGCCCTGAAGCGGATGGCCATTGACAAGGAGAATGTCATTGACATGTGGAAGGTACCCAAAGATCGTAACACAGCTCGTTACAACACGACTTGTTTATTCAAGATCCAGACTCAAACTACCATCCCCACAATCTCTGTTACATCCTCACAACCTAACCAGATATCCTAGCAGCATGTACCAAACATTCATTCACCATTACTTACCAGTTACTTAGCAATATTAGAATTTCCCCACACTAACGGTGTTTACATTTGTTATCGCTTCTGGTATCTAGAGTTATCTCCCTTTGACCGCAAGCGTTTTTCGCTACTTGTACAGTTTTGACAAATGTCAGCAATGTTTGGTATCGAATGAATAATGGTTCTTGGAGTAGCTCAGATAGAACATCAACATTTCTATAGCTAGCAGACCTGTGGGGATTTCGGGGAGGAATGGAGGTCCCCGGCAACCCATGTTTGTCGTAACAGGCGACTACATGGATTGGGTAGCCATAGACTCAGTGGCTTGGTTGATTACATGTCATCATCCCAATGGTGTAGATCGATGCTCATAATGTCAATCACTGGATTTTCTGGTCCAGACTCAATAATTTACTGTCTACCTTCACACAGCTGAAATATTGCTTAGTCTGGCATTGAACAACCAACAGTAACAACAAAACTAACAGCAATGAAGTGGACCAGTCTAGATAGTCAAAGTTTACCAAAACTTAATAATTACTATATTGTTGTTATGGATCGTTAGCCATTAATTCATTCCCATGTCATTGAGATTACAGACTTAAGCATATGTTTAGTCAACTGTCAGTGCAACAAAAGGACAAGTTCAAGGAATAGATACAAAGGTTTGGGAACAGACAGTGATAGATATTGCCTCTCTTGTTTTGATTGCAAAGGTTGTTCTTGCAGATTGAAATGTATTGCACATACTTTACTTAGAGAATAAACCTCTTGAAGGATTACAAGAACCTTCAACAGACTTCACTTACAATCTTTATAATTCATGTGTTTAGTGCTGAAGTAGGAATAAACGCCACTTCATGTTTGTCATTTGTGACACCATTTTGCAATACCCATCCGATCAAACTGAGACTGTCTCTTGAAGTGTTTGGCAATACTTTTCCTCAGAGGGAGACAACTCATGGTGGCCTATTGCTCACCTGACACTCTGTAAAGTGTAGGTTGCTGGTGTTTTGAACTAATTCAACTGTTTGTTCTGTCCACTTCATCATAATGAGAAACAAGTTTCCTGACAACATAGATTATGTTCAAATAACATACAGGGTTCACGGTATTGTGCATGGTATCTCTCTTGTCACTTGTTGTCATGGCAACCATCCGTATCTCTGAGGTCTAGTAGACGGGGCATCTGTGGTTCAATCCCTGGCCACGTCATACCTAAAGACATTTCCTACTTGCTGCAAAGGGCTTTTGCACATTATTAAATGCATGGCATAGACTGGCTAAATATGCTCAAGTAAAATGTATTCATCACTCAGTCATGTCAGTATCTGTAGACTCCAGTACTACAGTGTCAAATTATCATGGTTATCGTACAAGATTTGAGCATGTTTGAAGCAACGGTACTTATTGGTGCCAGTCATCTAAGACGCCACAATTAGGTGTGTAGTTGTCTCCCTTAGGCAGGTCAGGATCTGATGATCATGGTTTAGAATCCCAGAAAGCATCATAACATTGTACACACACAAAGCTGACATGTTGTGATTTAAATGAAATACTAATCAAAGGGACATTAAACCTAAGTGACTCACTCAATATTACTGTAAATCATCATTTTTTCCCCTTCCACACTAGATCGCCCACCCAGAGAGTGGAAGGTCTGGGGTTCGATCGCCGGCCACGTCGTACCTCTTAAGACGTTAAGAGATGGTACTTGTTGTTACCCTGCCTGATGCTTGGCATTAAGGAGCTAAAACAAGGACTGGTTGGCTAGGTGTCAGTATACTGTGTCTCAGTGAGGTATTCATGTTAAACTGCGGCATGATATCTCAGTGGGTTAGCACTATAAAATCTGCAGAAATTAGTCGGGACTAATACAAGCAGCCACCCACACACACACGTCGCTATTCAGGTGCAATAATCCTGTGTACATTTCACGTCACATCACCATCTTTCATGCTAATGAAGGTAAAGAAAACAGGATAAAGACATTTCAGATAAATGTATCAACAAGCTCGTTGAACACCAATATTAAGAATTCTTGATCATGATTCATGTTTCTTGGGATTTGTCTTGTGGACATATTTTTCGCACCCTGCGATGTTTGCATCTTCTGTGTTTGTGCAGACCATTGAAGTGGAGATGGAGCCCCTAGAGGATACATTTGTCGTCTCCGCCCAGAGCCCCGCCCAGCAACAGCACATCAGTGAGCACCCCAGAGACGTCCCCTTGTTTGTTGAGGGGGGATACAAGGTGTGGCTGAGGGGACAGTCACTGACCTACTTCATCCTGCGAGCTGACCCCGCCCTGGGGAGGGTGGTCAAGGAGGAGAAGGTAGAAGAGGGTAAGTTCTGTATCTCTCACACGCTGGGGAGGAGAGTCAGGTGGTTCATAGTGGATCACGTCAGGTGTTCTTTCTTATCAGCCAGTCAGCATCGAGGCTTCCAAATTCTGGAGCATTCAGACCTGCATATCTCATTGCCGAATCTCGAAAACAAATAAGTCTGAATGCGAAAAAATAATGCCTCGCTATTATGTTATTTTTGATATTTCACCCTACATCCTGGTCTTTGTGAGCGCCATCTACACCAAATATGGTGTACTGTTGAGGGTATGCTTGTGTTTGGAGGCAGTTTTATTTACTAAAGATCAAAATTCCAAATGAAGCTGACATATATATCCTCTCTCCATCTCTCCCGTAGGTGTTTTAAGGAGACAGGCGAAATATACCATCTCCCTCCATCTCTCCCGTAGACCTGTTAAGCAGGCAGGCTATATATATCCTCTCTCCATCTCTCCCGTAGATGTTTTAAGCAGACAGGCGAAATATACCATCTCCCTCCATCTCTCCCGTAGACCTGTTAAGCAGGCAGGCTATATATATCCTCTCTCCATCTCTCCCGTAGATGTTTTAAGCAGACAGGCGAAATATACCATCTCCCTCCATCTCTCCCGTAGACCTGTTAAGCAGGCAGGCTATATATATCCTCTCTCCATCTCTCCCGTAGATGTTTTAAGCAGACAGGCGAAATATGCCATCTCCCTCCATCTCTCCTGTAGACCTGTTAAGCAGGCAGGCTATATATATCCTCTCTCCATCTCTCCCGTAGGTGTTTTAAGAAGACAGGCGAAATATACCATCTCCCTCCATCTCTCCCGTAGACCTGTTAAGCAGGCAGGCTATATATATCCTCTCTCCATCTCTCCCGTAGATGTTTTAAGCAGACAGGCGAAATATGCCATCTCCCTCCATCTCTCCCGTAGACCTGTTAAGCAGGCAGGCTATATATATCCTCTCTCCCATAGACCTGTTCAGTAGGTAGGCTATATATATCCTCGCTCTCCATTTCTGCTGTAGACGTGTTCGGCAGGCAGGTTATGTATATATACAATCTCTCTCTCCTGTAGACGTGATCGGCAGGCAGGTTATGTATATATACAATCTCTCTCTCCTGTAGACGTGTTCGGCAGGCAGGTTATGTATATATACAATCTCTCTCTCCGGTAGACGTGTTCGTCAGGCAGGTTATGTATATATACAATCTCTCTCTCCTGTAGACGTGTTCGGCAGGCAGGTTATGTATATATACAATCTCTCTCTCCTGTAGACGTGTTCGGCAGGCAGGTTATGTATATATACAATCTCTCTCTCCGGTAGACGTGTTCGGCAGGCAGGTTATGTATATATACAATCTCTCTCTCCGGTAGACGTGTTCGGCAGGCAGGTTATGTATATATACAATCTCTCTCTCCTGTAGACGTGTTCGGCAGGCAGGTTATGTATATATACAATCTCTCTCTCCTGTAGACGTGTTCGGCAGGCAGGTTATGTATATATACAATCTCCCTCTCCGGTAGACGTGTTCGGCAGGCAGGTTATGTATATATACAATCTCTCTCTCCTGTAGACGTGTTCGGCAGGCAGGTTATGTATATATACAATCTCTCTCTCCTGTAGACGTGTTCGGCAGGCAGGTTATGTATATATACAATCTCTCTCTCCGGTAGACGTGTTCGGCAGGCAGGTTATGTATATATACAATCTCTCTCTCCTGTAGACGTGTTCGGCAGGCAGGTTATGTATATATACAATCTCTCTCTCCGGTAGACGTGTTCGGCAGGCAGGTTATGTATATATACAATCTCTCTCTCCTGTAGACGTGTTCGGCAGGCAGGTTATGTATATATACAATCTCTCTCTCCTGTAGACGTGTTCGGCAGGCAGGTTATGTATATATACAATCTCTCTCTCCTGTAGACGTGTTCGGCAGGCAGGTTATGTATATATACAATCTCTCTCTCCGGTAGACGCGTTCGGCAGGCAGGTTATGTATATATACAATCTCTCTCTCCGGTAGACGTGTTCGGCAGGCAGTTTATGTATATATACAATCTCTCTCTCCTGTAGACGTGTTCGGCAGGCAGTTTATGTATATATACAATCTCTCTCTCCTGTAGACGTGTTCGGCAGGCAGGTTATGTATATATACAATCTCTCTCTCCGGTAGACGTGTTCGGCTGGCAGGTTATGTATATATACAATCTCTCTCTCCTGTAGACGTGTTAGGCAGGCAGGTTATGTATATATACAATCTCTCTCTCCTGTAGACGTGTTCGGCAGGCAGGTTATGTATATATACAATCTCTCTCTCCGGTAGACGTGTTTGGCTGGCAGGTTATGTATATATACAATCTCTCTCTCCTGTAGACGTGTTCGGCAGGCAGGTTATGTATATATACAATCTCTCTCTCCGGTAGACGTGTTCGGCAGGCAGGTTATGTATATATACAATCTCTCTCTCCTGTAGACGTGTTCGGCAGGCAGGTTATGTATATATACAATCTCTCTCTCCGGTAGACGTGTTCGGCAGGCAGGTTATGTATATATACAATCTCTCTCTCCGGTAGACGTGTTCGGCAGGCAGGTTATGTATATATACAATCTCTCTCTCCTGTAGACGTGTTCGGCAGGCAGGTTATGTATATATACAATCTCTCTCTCTCCGGTAGACGTGTTCGGCAGGCAGGTTATGTATATATACAATCTCTCTCTCCTGTAGACGTGTTCGGCAGGCAGGTTATGTATATATACAATCTCTCTCTCCGGTAGACCTGTTCGGCTGGCAGGTTATGTATATATACAATCTCTCTCTCCTGTAGACGTGTTCGGCAGGCAGGTTATGTATATATACAATCTCTCTCTCCTGTAGACGTGTTCGGCAGGCAGGTTATGTATATATACAATCTCTCTCTCCTGTAGACGTGTTCGGCAGGCAGGTTATGTATATATACAATCTCTCTCTCCTGTAGACGTGTTCGGCAGGCAGGTTATGTATATATACAATCTCTCTCTCCTGTAGACGTGTTCGGCAGGCAGGTTATGTATATATACAATCTCTCTCTCCTGTAGACGTGTTCGGCAGGCAGGTTATGTATATATACAATCTCTCTCTCCGGTAGACGTGTTCGGCAGGCAGGTTATGTATATATACAATCTCTCTCTCCTGTAGACGTGTTCGGCAGGCAGGTTATGTATATATACAATCTCTCTCTCCTGTAGACGTGTTCGGCAGGCAGGTTATGTATATATACAATCTCCCTCTCCGGTAGACGTGTTCGGCAGGCAGTTTATGTATATATACAATCTCTCTCTCCGGTAGACGTGTTCGGCAGGCAGGTTATGTATATATACAATCTCTCTCTCCTGTAGACGTGTTCGGCAGGCAGGTTATGTATATATACAATCTCTCTCTCCTGTAGACGTGTTCGGCAGGCAGGTTATGTATATATACAATCTCTCTCTCCGGTAGACGTGTTCGGCAGGCAGGTTATGTATATATACAATCTCTCTCTCCGGTAGACCTGTTTGGCTGGCAGGCGTATGACAGCGAGGAGCGAGACGACCTGATGCCGGCGTGGAGCATGCACCAGCAGGAGGATGGCACAGTGATGGCCATGTGTATCACCGGCTCGGCCAGCAAGGACTCCCTGGTCACGTGGGTGAGGTACCTGCAGAGGAGGAACCCCGTGTTGGAGCACATCCCTGTAGTGTTTAAGCTGAGGACTCCTGATGCGGAACTACAGCCAGTGCCAGGGACGAGGACAGACCTGGCTCAGTCCTAGCTGGGTGGTATCTGTATATAGACATGTGAGGCAGCTACTACTAGAGTGGAGTGTCAAAGGAAGCTATAATAAATGTATCATATCCATAGGACACGGTGTTGTCTTGTCACTGTGCGGAGTTGCTTCCCTTGTCAGGATCCTCTGAACATGGGTTTGAATCCAGTCTCATAATGATCCTTGGTTTGCCAGTACCTTACCCAGGTTAGAAGAAAAATAGTAATTACATAAGTCTCTTTATTGGTAATTGGACCGCCTCCTTGATCTAGTGGTAGACCATTCACCCAGAGAGCAGAAGGTCTGGGGTTCGATCCTGGCTGCATCATACCAAAAGACGTTAAAAGATGGTACTTGTCGTTACCCTGCCTGGTGTTCAGCATTAAGGGGCTAAAACAAGCACTGGTAATCTCAGAGTCAGTATATTGTGTCTGAGTGGGGTATTCATGTTAAACTGAGGTATATCTCAGTGGGCTAGCACTATAAAAGCGGTATTAGTCCGGTCTAGTACAAACAGCCACACTCACACACACACGTGCATGTACGTCACTATGTAAGTGTAATAATATTGGACGCGACGTTCAACCCCATTTGACCTTACCCTCTTGGTAATTGTGAGTACTTCTTCCATCATTTAAAATATACATACTTATTATTTTGATTATTATTTTACTTGACAAGTAAAACATGAAGAAATTTCAATTAACATTCATACAAGTGGTTATTAGTGAATGTTTTCTACCCATAGGTAATGAGTGGTATTTCCTGAGCTTGCTGTGTATCCATCATCTGAGTGTGATAATCCTATGAGTTAATCACAAGTGAGTGAGTTGGGTTTAACGCCGCTTTTAACAGTATTCCAGTTATATCACGGCATGCCAGCTTCATGTGGGAGAAAAGCCTGAAGTGATGCAGGTCTCAGACATTTACCACTTCGGTGAAACCCACGAGCACGGGTATGGTGCTGACAAAGCTAGAAACATAATCGGGGCGAACCGGGATTCGAACCCACAATCATAGGTTTCTGGCCTGCCCAAGGGACGCAACTCTGCACAGCGAGTCGCGGCGCCTTAGACGACTTGGCCACCATTAATCACAAGAGTATATACATGAGTATATGTTCAGAGGTGTCTCCAAAACAAAAGTAGACAAGGGCAAAAGTGAGCGTGGCTCACTAATACCCCTGACCCGCCTAGTGTGTCAGTAGTTTCAAATTAAATAATGGATAGGGTTAGGGTTTGAAAAATTCATAAAAAAATGGAAAATTAATAAAAACAATTTTTTTCTTTTGGCTGCACCCCTCCATATGACACAGGTTATATGTACTAAGTTTGAGATGAATCCATTGAATAGTTTAAGAGAAATCGTGCGGACAAGGTTTCAGACGGACGGACAGAACCTTGGTATAACAAAGTATGAATATTATTCTTGTGTAACTATGGTAACTGAACTACTGTATTAAGGGGTTTTGTTTTCTTCACATCTATCCTTGTGGGAAAACAACGTTAGAATAGGTTCCAAGCAACTTTTGATGGTCATAAGGGGCTCTGTAGCTTGGTTGATTGCGTGCCCAATAAACATGCTAATAAAATTAATCACTGGATTGTCTGGTCTAGACTGGATTTATTTCTTATACAGGCCGCCTTCATACAGCTGCAATATTGCCATTAAACAACAAACAAATCTTCGCAACCACATGTGGCTGATAGATACAATTCCTTTATTATTCCACAGGAGATATATATATATATCCTACCCTGTATAAATCTTTCTGATATCAAGCCCTGCACAGACAAGTCAAAATTAACTGTTTATAATCAACTGATAATGACCATGTTATTCTCACAACGAACTGAAAGTTACCTTCAGTGTTTTAGGTGAGCTAAAAACATTAGTAGACAACCAAGTTGTGCATATAGTAGACCCCTGAAGATCCGGGGTAGAATAGGTCTTCAGCAATCCATGCTTGTCGTAAGAGGCAACAAACGAGATCAGGTGGTCAGGCTCGCTGACTTGGTTGATGTGTATCGATGCTCATGATGCCAATCACTGGATTGTCTGGTCCAGACTCGATTATTTACAGGCCTTCATCATATAGCTGGAATATTGCCAAGTGCAGCATTAAACAAACAAACAAACAAAAACATATTCCATAATGTCATTTATTCAATTTCATGGGACACGTGTCTCAGGGGTGGCTGTTGTCTTCCGACAAGAGTTTGGCACATCCCTGCTCACAGAAACAAACACATCATCATAAATAAGTTAAAAACTCAGTCTTCGGGTAGCACTGTTTTGCTGTAAAGTGAAGACAAAGTTAATGTAACATCAAAGTAGGGACCATGTCAAATCTCTAATATTTACTGTGAATGCAAACATCCAACAGGGGACCATGTCAAAGCCCTAATATTTACAATGAATGCAAACATCAAACTAAACACCGTGTTAAAGCTCTTATATTTACCATGAAAGCAAACATCAAACTACGGACCGTGTTAAGCTCTAATATTTACCATGAAAGCAAACATCAATCTACGGACTGTGTCATATAAGTTGTAGCAGTATCATGAGGGATACATGTGGTTTATGCGTTTCACGGGGGACCTCATAAAGTTCCATGTACTCCGAGTGATGGTGCAACAACGAATTTATCTTACCAACATGTTTTAAAATGAGATTGTAAAAGAATTAAAACAAATTCAAAATTGATAGAAAACAGCTGTTTGAAAGAGCTGAGGTTAACTTGTGCTATTTCACATGACTTTCATTGATTGGAAAAAGCGTGCAGGTTTTTGCTTTGAAGCGTGCATAAGTGATTTATTCTTTCCGTCAGAAATCCACGTGCAGCCTGTCTTATTTGTGGTGGGGTATAAGGGATTTCTTCTTTCCCTCAGAAATCTACGTGCAGCCTGTCTTGTTTGTGGTGGGGTATAAGGGATTTATTCTCCTGCTGAGAAATTTATTTCCCTCCAAAGCGGGATACACAGTATTTTATCAAGATCACGTGGACGAATCAGATCTCATTCTGACATGGAGGTATGATAAAAGCTCTTATACTTATATAAATGTAAACATCATACTCATAGGATATCATCATTCACAAGCTCTGATGTTAATTCTACAGTAAACTTCCTAAAAGAAGCATCTATCTGTAAGTAAATCAAACTAAATGTTTTGACACAATCCCAACATCAAGTATTCATTAGCTAGACAACAGCAAATGGAACCTTGAAGTGTTCAAGGGTTAAATACAAATATCACAGAGTCTAGGTTTCAGCATGTAATATCAGATTCCATTGACACAAATCATGAGGACACAAGTACCTGTGATGTCATGATACAGACATTTTCACAACATGTAAAGCTCACTTATAAATAGGGATGGGTATTTGAGGTTTACCACAATATGTTACGATGCACAAGGGCATATTGTGATACCTGTCATGTTATATTGTATAATTCTAAATTTTGAATTCAGAAGCAATTTGAAACATCGGTGTATGTATTGAAGTTCATATATTGGACAAAACAAGATGCTGGTACAACATGATGTTTACTTATTCAATATGTACACACAGATGTATGCTCTGGGTATTTGGCAAGACGTAGTGTATAACATTGAATGCATGATAAAAAAGAAATATCACTATTTGAAATCACCGAGCATTAAAAATGATATTGTGATACATATGGAAAGAGTGAACGTCAATTTACCGATGTACAAGTAATACGATGCACCCTTACTCATTAGTGATCGTACTTTGATGACGACAATCATAACACTATTGGTCCAGCCATTACAGACACTGCATCAACAGCTGTGACACTATTGGCCCAGCCATTACAGACACTGCATCAACAGCTGTGACACTATTGGTCCAGCCATTACAGACACTGCATCAACAGCTGTGACACTATTGGCCCAGACATTACAGACACTGCATCAACAGCTGTGACACTATTGGCCCAGACATTACAGACACTGCATCAACAGCTGTAACACTATTGGCCCAGACATTACAGACACTGCATCAACAGCTGTGACACTATTGACCCAGACATTACAGACACTGCATCAACAGCTGTGACACTATTGGCCCAGACATTACAGACACTGCATCAACAGCTGTGACACTATTGGCCCAGACACTGCATCAACAGCTGTGATACTATTGGCCCAGCCATTACAGACACTGCATCAACAGCTGTGACACTATTGGCCCAGACATTACAGACACTGCATCAACAACTGTGACACTATTGGCCCAGACATTACAGACACTGCATCAACAGCTGTGACACTATTGACCAAGCCATTACAGACACTGCATCAACAGCTGTGACACTATTGGCCCAGACATTACAGACACTGCATCAACAGCTGTGACACTTAGGAGATAGTTCCAATAATCAGAAGGACTTATTTACTTTTGGTAAATGTTGTAAATACAAAATTCGAAATTCAGGGTGCATTTTGTGATCACAATCCACAATTTGTATTCACCTGATCATATCTAAAGCATCCAATGAAGTGTTTGGTATGCTTAAAACATTTGGTGTGCACACCAGTTTTGTTTACCACATCAGGGCAGAATCCATTAACACAAAATCAACTGTCACGCCATTTACATGCAAGCTCATTCAAATCAGAGCTAAGTTCTCGTTACCGCTAAACAAAGACCTGAGGACATCCCACAACAGGTCACATCAGAACGACCTTCCATACGACCATTCCGAGCATCGTTACCAGATCAACCGGAATGTGTTTTCGAATCATCCAACCTCAAAACCATTAACACAGGGTACCCCGAAAGGCTGTATGAATGATTCTGTCAAAATCATCGTCTATCTCTCACTTCAATGGGACAATCATTTGAAACAGGTGAGAATTTCCATAGCACATGGGAATTACTGCCATACAATCTCGACCATCTATTGGACATTGCAGCATTTTCTTACGTTCACATTTCAAATTTTGAATTAAGACCTTAGTCAAAATATTTTCCCAAGCTTAGTCTGGGATGGAAGTTGCCAGTTTGAAACTAGTCCCGTAAATCTTGAGAAAGCACTTTCTTATTTCTTTTTGTCATTCTATTGGTCAGTGAAAGATCGCAAAAGATCGTTCCGACATGAACTTCATGGGATGTCGTCAGATTTAGGTGAAGTGTTAGAGAGCACTCTGACTTGATTTTAATGAGATTGATTTACAAGAGATATGGCATTCATCTTTAAAGTCACAACACTATGAAATGTAGACACAAGTATGACTTCCTTGGACAGTCGTGTTTGGCTACCACATGCAGGTAAGAAAAAGGACCAATATTTCAAAACAAAATTACAATCAATTGAAACATAATGTTTTGTTATTCCAAGATAAAACTGTTTTGGAAAGACAACTAGTTCTCTATATTCTCGAAAAGTTCAGAAAACAGTATAACATTACAGGTCTCCCAAGCCATCAAACTTTCAGATCTGTAATTGTATATGTGCTAAGAAATCATTGTATAAAGGATCAGGAAGATGGCAAGATTTGACCAGTTTCATATCATGTTTCAAGCCAAGAGAAACTCTTTCAAGAATTATTCAAACCTTTTTCTCAAAATACCCACTTATTCAGAAACAACATTTGGGCAAAGTAAATAGCTTTTTAATTTAGATTTGTCCACAAATTCTGAAATGAGGGCAATGTTTGTCAAACAACAAAGTGTATACATGTATAATAATATGAAATTGTGGACCAGAATTTTCACAAGAATAATTATTCTAGCAACACTATCTGTCTAACTACTCTATGTCGTACTCAGGGTTAGAATGTCACACTAGGCCAATTCTTACAGGTTAGTACAAATTTCCCCATATTTTCACATTACAATGGCATTTTCTCTTTACCAAGGAAAGTAAAGCTTTGAGTTTAGTTCTGACCCTGCTACAGAAACAATAAGCACCAGGTTGTATTCAATAACAAGTCTATATAACATGATATAACAACATAAGACATCAGCTCCATGACATCACATCAACATACAGATAGCACAGTGCATCACACAGACAGATGCATGCACTCTGCCCCCAACCCTGGGGTTGCTGCTGTTGCCGCTGATGTTGATGGTTTACTGCTGAATGAGGTAGATGATCCCGATGGGTCGACTACCATCAGCTGACATAGCAGCATGTGTGGGCACTGAAACCGTACTCCAGTTTCCAGTACATCAGGTGCGAGGTGGAGATGGACCAACCCGACAGCTCTGTGAGGCTTGAAGGCATAGAGCAACCATTTCCATTCTCAGTCAGCCCCAGGAATGGGAAACGACTACCAACAATGGACGCCAAGGTAATGGACATGTCATATCAGCATGCTCAGCTACCTCCTGCTGATTAGGTTCAAGGATTGTCTGTCTTGACGGCCAACCGTGTGGAAATCTCCAGTGTCTGGCTAGGTATCTTCAGTTGACGCTGAAGGATGGGGAGTGGGTGCTACCGATGGCTGCCAGCAGGGGATGGTCACTGGTATCAAACCTGGAGACGACACAAGTTCAATATAGGATTGGTTGGTTGGTTTGTTGTTTATTGCCGCACTCAGTAATATTCCAGCTATAGGACGGCGGTCTGTAAATAATCGAGTCTGGACCAGACAATCCAGTGATTAATATCATGAGCATCGATCCACGCAATTGGGATCGATGACATGCATCAACCAAGTCAGCGACCCTGACCACTCGATCCCGTAAGTCGCTTTTTACGACAAGCATAGTCACCTTTTACGCCAAGCATGGGTTGCTGAAGACCTATTCTACCCCGGAATCTTCACGGGTTGTTAAATATAGGAAGTCATACAATGGGTTAGGGCACACATTTTTTATTCAATGAGTAACAGATTATTTGCTTAAGCTTGGTTTTGTTAAGGCAATATTGATATACAAATAGATTTGTGAACTTCAAAATGTTTTCATTGGCATAAGGTTGTTTGGTGGGGAAAACTAAATGCTTAATCTAGTTAAGGCGCAGGATGTTAATTTGTTTATGGTAGCATATATTTACTTCTGTCAGCTAGCCAGACTACTGCATTTGATTACATATACTACTCAAAAGAAGTTAAAGAACACCCAATATTTCCACATGACTTAAGTTAATTTGTCATGACATGACATGCCCTGAAAGGTTATCTATAGTCAAATAAGTGAGTGAGTGAGTTGGGTTTAACGCTGCTTTTAACAGTATTCCAGTTATAATGCGGCGTGTCAGCTTAATGTGGGAGGAAAGCCTGAAGTGATGCAGGTCTCAGATGTTTACCACTTTGGTGAAACCCACGAGCACGGGTATGTTGCTGACAAACCTAGAAACATAATTGGGGCGAACAGAGATTCGAACCCACAATCATAGGCTTCTGGCGTGCCCAAGGGACGTAACTCTGCACAGCGAATCGCGGCACCTCAGATGACTGGGCCACCCGTGCCCCCTATAGTCAAATGAAAAAATCAGATGTTCTTTAACTTCAGTTGAGTTGGATCTTTTTCACAAACTTAAACACATAGATATTGATAGACTGGTTCTTGTAGATTTTTACATTGCAGATTCAAAGATAGAGCAGCTTGGCAAATAAAAATAACGGAAAACTGTTTATTTGAATTGCTGGTTATGGCTACTGTCTGTTGTGCACCAATGCTGTGGGGCCCATTTCTGCCCCAGAAACATCAAAGGTATGAAAGAAACCCTTCTTCGTCTCAAACATCAACAATGTATCAGGATGAAGGATATGATAAGTATGCCTACCCCAGCATGTGTGCCAGCTCTTTCATGTTCTTGCGGGACGAACCCTTGACATACTCTGACAACATCTGGCTCTTGAAGTAGATTTCCTGCAGACGGTCCTCCACATGCATGAGACACTGAACAGAAGGGACACCTCATTAACTCAGCTACATAACACATCTAGTTAAACAATAGTGCTGATATAAATAGTCAATCATGCACACAAGTGAGTGTTAGTGGTTCACGCTGCTGTGATATGTATGTCTGTTGTTTAACGTCGCACTCTGCAATATTCAAGCTATATGACGGCGGTCTGTAAATAATCGAGTCTGGACCAGACAATCCAGTGATTGGCATCATGATGACATGCATCAACCAAGTCAGCGAGCCTGACCACCTGATCCCGTTAGGCACCTCTTACAACAAGCATTCACCTCTTACGGCACGCATGGGCGGCTGAAGACCTATTCTACCCCGGATCGACATGATGCTATGAACAGTATATCAGTCATATGTCAGCTCAACATGCTTATTGTGGGAGAAAAGCCAACAGCTATATAAGCAGATCAGGCCTAACCCAGTATGTTACTCTGTCAGTCCATAAATAACCAAGGTGAATCGGGGAAAGGAATGAGTGAGATTACTGAAAGCTTCTTTGAACTGTTCTTCTGTAATGTTTCTGTGTTTTCTAGATGAGAGCAGAAAACCCAAAGTGATGTCAACGCTCATGGTGCTGACAGACCAAGTGAGATCAAACTGCAGCCTTTTAGAGCACGAGGCCTTGAGTGGCCCCTGGCCTAGAACCCACAACCTGAGGATCCTTGAAACCAAGGGAGACAACTCTGCAGAGTTTATATTTTCACATACACCATCAATTGAGTAACTCAGTCAACAGTTTTCAAGTATCCTTACATAAGGACAGTGAAACCATCTCAAACAGGTTGTTTGATCAAACTAATGCAGCTAGAGGAATATTAGCTACAGTTTAGAAAGACGAAATATGACTTGGTATAGAAATAAATACTTAAAAAACTGTAAACACACTGCTAAAAAACTATAAAATTCTTAAAATTTCTATTATCCTACTTACAAATTCTGGACTCATTTTCAACTTCCAAAGGCTGAGCACCGATTCAATGAGGTTGCAGACGAGTTGGGAGGTCATCCAGGTCATTGTAGCAGATGGTGACTTCTCTAGCAGACGGCTACTAGCAACCTCAACCGTCCTGTGAAGGAGAGATACAACAGAGTACAGAGAAGGAGTCAACATTGTAAATTTTACATTAAACTGTACATTTAAATACTTATCCTATCTCACACCTTCCTTGGATCCTTATGGTTAGAAACGTGCTTCAACAATTTTTGATAGGTGAGGTAAGGTGAAATTGGGTTTAACGTCGCGTCCAAGTATATTGCACTTATATAGCGACATGCATGCACATGTGTGTGTGTGTGGCTGCCTGACTAGTCCGGACTCATGCCGAATCATAGTGCTATCCCACTGAGATATCATGCTGCAGTTTAACATGAATACCCCACTCAGACACAGTATACTAACTCCGAGCCGACCAGTCCTTGTTTTAGCCGCTTAATGGCGAGCGTCAGACAGGGTAACAACAAGTACCATCTTTCAAAGCCTTTTGGTATGACACGGCCAGGGATCGAACACAAGACCTTCCGCTCTCCGGGCGGACACTCTACCTCTAGACCACGGAGGCAGTAATTTATGATTGGACATTCTTCAATATCATTACCAAATTTGACAAAAACATCTTTAGGACATTTTGGATGAAAATCAGTCAATGTCCTTGAAAATGAACTGATCTCAAACCCTGGATTCGTATCTTCGTCAGGTCCTACAAAGAATACGAACTCGCCTGCCCATGACATTTTGTAGAAAATGTGGAGTTGTGGGCAAATGAAACCATGAGTCTCGTTTGTCTAACGCTGAACCATGCATGCATGGCAGAGTGAAGTCAGACACCAGTTCAAGTGTCACCCAGTTTCACCATCAGAGAATGAGAATGAGTCAGTCCGTCATTGTATTTGTAAAAATGAGGAAGGAAGTACATCACTCATGAAAGGTATCCCCGATCAAGGGCTATAGACCCAGGAAATAGGACTAGTGCTCAAAGTCACATGACTACTGAATCATCCAAATAACCCGCAAGACCTTCAACACACGAAGGAACCAATACATTGTTCACAACATCTTGAAACATGTTTTTTGAGTGTACATGGGATCTTCTTTCCAATCTACATTACTCACCAGTTGTCTGTGTCGGCCACAATACACACAGCCTCTGCAATGGGTTCGTCAAGCACAGAATTCTGAAATAGGAAGCATTTTTGATAACCCACTGCTCTTTGTGTGAGTGAACTGTGTTGATAATAATTGTGTGAGTTTAATGTGTCTGGAAAGCTCAATGTGACACAGGTCATGTACACTTATTACTCTGGGATAGGGTGCTGACAAGCCAATTAACCCGTGAAGATCCAGGGTAGAGTAGGTCTTCAGCAACCCATGTTTGCCGCAATGGCGACGAACAGGATTGGGTGGTCAGGCTCACTGACTTGGTTAATGCATGTCATTGTATCCCAAAGGCGTGGATCGATGCACATGATGCCAATCACTGGATTGTCTGGTCCAGACTCGATTATTTACTGACAGCTGTCATATATAGGGACTATTGCTGAGGGTTGCTTTAAACAACAAATAAACAAACAGACAAAGGATCATAATTATGGTTAACCTGTTAGAATTGTTAAAAGAGTTGTAAAAGACCAAACCGATTGGTTGGTCATACTCGGTGACTTATTTGATAGCATGTCATCATACCCCAAAAAGCGTGGACAGTTGCTCACAATAGCAGTCACTGGATTGTCGGTACAGATTCGATTATTTACACACTGCCATCACACAACTCGAACATTGCGGAGTGCAGTATCAAACAACAAACAAATCTTACAGAAAAACAAATCCTTAACCATGAATCTTACCTGTGATGCCAGCTGAAGGTCGTTGAGCATTTTCTGTCGGAAGTTCTGGTCGGAGGTGCCGTGAAGGACGAAGTCTGACATGTAGTGATCGGAGTAGCCAGCCAGGAGTGACCTTCCGAAGTTTCTGTCAAACGTCTTGATGCTCCACGGTGACACATCGGACGGCAAGCTGAATAGAGCAAATATTTCAATGACAGCAGCAGAAGAAGAAAGTTTCACAAATAAAGTGTATTTGAAAGCAGTTCTTCAAATTAATCCTTATTTTCTACAACTAATCCCTAGACCTACTCAGCATGGTGAACTGAACAGAACAAATAAATGACACAAATCACTGACAGCAACTGACACATCCATGCTTTTTCTCTTTCATATCTGCAGTCCATGAGAAATAATTATTATACTTTGAAGTTTTTCAAATGTCTCGCTATTTTCTTCCATTAAAGTGGGATATATTGATCCCGAGACATACTCAGGCATGGAGAGCTCCTTGCAGTGGCTGATGGGGTCAAAGGGCTCCACCTCGGTGCTGCTGGCGGAGGAGAGATGTCGTCGTCTGCCCAGCTCTGTCGGTGTCACTGATCTGAGGAAACAAGCATCAGCAATATTAAAATAGATGAAATGAGGTTTAACATTATTGAACTTCTGAACATGTGTGTGAATTTTATAAAATGACTCAATTTTTTCATATGACCACAGTTCATCTATCATGGCCAACAATAGTCATATGAAAAAAATCATATGTTCTTTAATTTCTTTTGAGTAGTATATATTCATATCCTGTGTGAACAGTCTAACAAACATGATTAACAAATAGAAAGATAAAGAATATCCTGGGGCCCAAGTTAACAAATTCTGCTTCTCCAACATGTACTAAATTATCACTTACAGTACTGTTATTTGTTAATTTTAATTACAGTAACACCCTTCATCCCCTTAATAAAATCAGTTTGGTATGTTTCTTTTTAACACCAGTCTGGACCAGACAATCCAGTGATTGATAGTTTGAGCAACGATCCATGCTGTTGGGTACTGGCTGCAATCAAGCAAGTCACCGATCCAACAGGTTGCCTCTTGCAACAAGCAGAGGTTGCTTTGGGCCAATTTTAACACGGAATCCCAAAAGGTGCAAACAAGTCAGAAAAGGAAGAGAATTTATGGATGTCAACTTCTTTATTATGAGGAACACAACGTTTCGGAGTACATGCTACGTTGTGTTCCACATAATAAAGAAGTTGACATCCATTAATTCTCTTCCTTATGTGTATCACTTCTAAATGCCTTTCAAAGACAAGGCAGAAAAGGCCAAATTTTCCAACATGACGTCAAAACCAACTCTGAAACAGACTAACCTGCATCTGCCTGGTAGAGTGGTTGGTCGGGTAGAAAGACCAACTTTGTCCATACTGTTCTGCCTCGACATAGACGTCCTCTGCTGCTTCTGCAGCTCCGGTACTACATCCTCCACCACCTTGACACCATCGGCCACTCGGGGTCCATCGGTCGGGCTGGCTAGAGGGTGGTTGACCACTCGCTCATGATCGGCCACATCATCAATAGTCTTTGCCTCTATCCCATCCACGAAATATTCCTCAAACATGCTATTGGAACCTTCCTTCTGATACAAATTTCTCACCTCACTGGTGGTCAGCTTGAGGTCGGACTCCGATCCTGAAGACTGCAATTGCTGGGACAGAACAGACACTACTTTCGCACTAGATCCTTTCGAATCGGACACCCCATCCTTCACAGTCCTGTCACTTATTCCACCATTTTGCAACACTGAAGCACTGTCTTTGCGAACATGATTCACATTTTCCACACGAAGACTTTCCATTACTTTGGCTGTGGATAACCTACATTCCCTTGAGTTCATATTTCCTTCTTTGTCCATTCTAAACACAAGATCCTGCCCGTCAATCACATCACCACTGTCAAACACTTTACCACCATCAATCACATCACCGTTGTCAAACACTTTACCACCATCATTCACATTATGACCGTCAATCACATTCCCGCCATCGATCACATTACCTCCATCTATCACATCACCACCGTCAATCACATTGGCAAGGGGTACGGAACTTCCAATTCCCCTCTCCTTCAGAACAGATCCCACATCATGAGATTTCTTACCACTGATATCAATCAACTCAATACATCCCCCGACCCTGTGATAGCTCTTATCCTGCACCTCAAGCAGCCACTCCTCGGTCCGACTCCGGACCCGCTTCAACCTGTCCACCTTGTCTCTATCACAGTTACACGCCCCTGACACATGCTTCTCGGTCAGCGCGGAACAGCTGTTGTTAGTACTGCCCCCCTCCTCCTCCCCCGGGACCAAGTCCAAGATGGTCTTCTCGCTCTCGGAGGGGGAGGTATCAAAGAACATGTCGTTGATGAAGTCGTCCAGCTGCCCCTGCTCCTTCCGCTCGTGGACGTCGCTGCAGCGGATGAAGTAGCTGAGGACGTACAGGAATTTCTTGACCAGGTCCTGCTTCCGGCCAACCACCACCGTCCTGGCCAGTTTGAGGGGGAAGCCAATAGCACCATACAGATCCCTGCAACCATACACAGTACTCTGTAGTCAGGCACAGGTCTCTCCCTAGCAACTTCAACATTTCACAGGCACATATATTTGTGATAATAAAAACATTACAAGTTCTCAAGAACAACCCACCACTAAATTATATTAATAACATCAATGGTTACTGTTCAACAATTATTGAGGGAACAAAACTCTAACATTCTTCAAATAATCATTATTTACATCCCTATGGCTATATGTGGCCAACAATTGTATCATAACTATCAATCCATCATGTTCAAACAGTGTTCAATAATCTGAATGCTAAAAAACAGGTTGACCACAAAACTAGTTACATTTATACATGACACTTCCCTACAGTCTTATGCCCCCATGGGTATTCTGGGTTCAAGGTTGGTCCCGAGGAACATATGCTGGTCAAAAGAGGTAACGAAATGAACATGGTTGATGGAGTGTCATTGAACCCCAACAGCATTTCTTATGAGCTTGATTATTTACAGGACGCCGACACATAGCCGGGAAATTACTGAGAGTGCCATTAAACAACTAATAAGCACAGTCTAATGTTAAGAACAAACATGACAAAATCAGGCAACTCTCACCCCAACTGAGCCCACAAAGGATTGTAAGGATGTGTCTTTGCCAAAGTGTCCAGCTGCAAATAGAATTAATCATTATTAGTAAAATCTATATATTTTCTACATTTCTAGTAAAATCCTAGATATTTTGTATTTTTGTATACTTATCCTGCATTACCCCTTAATGTATTTACTGCTTACTTTTGACAGAAAACAAAGCTGCGGGGGTCCAGCGGAGAAAGAAGTGCAGGACCCAGCAGATGAGACCACTTGACCAGGATGTGATGACGTCACATAAACACCACATTTCTGCTTGTAACATGTGTAATGCAGGATATGACTGCTTAATTATAACTTAACTCTAGAGGCAAATATCTTGCAGTTCAAACTGTTCTACCAATGAACAATGACACAATGGGCCCCAGTGCCCCAATGGTAACCTAAAAAGGGCATAGTGAGGTAGGTGTCAGGGTTGGTTGTGTCTTTACCCAGTAAGGGTGCACGGTATTACCGGTATACTGAGGTTCACTCTTTCCACGATACGTATCACAAAATCATTTATTAATGCTCGGTTTATTGGGTGATTTCAAAACGCGATTTTTATCAAGTGTTTATTTAAAAAACTTGCCAAATACACATAGCGTGCATCCGTGCATATTTAGTAAATGAGTATTCAGTATTTGGAAAAAAAGATTTTTCGAGTATTCCAGCAATATCACAGCGAGGGACACCAGAAATGGGCTTCACACATGATACCCAAGTCGGGAATCGAACCCAGGTCTTCGGCGTGACGAGCGAACGCTTCAACCACTAGGCTACCCGACCGCCCCTAGGCTTCTATGAACTTCATGGACTTGTGGTCATGTAAACATTTCAGCACCAGTGTTCCGATGGTTACTGGAATGTCAACAAGCTCCGAACATACTTACCCACTTGGCAGAGTGTTTATCCAGGTAAGTTTTGGAGGATGTTCCCCCTGCAGGTGTGACAGTTGGCACCCAGGCCAGGTGGTGGGTGAGGACGGCCGACACCAACGTACTCACAAAACTGCAGCACAGAACATACATGTTTGTCATCATCACAGAACACTGATGACATCACGATTTAACATGTAAACCTTCTAAACATTTCATATAAAGACACAAAATAACGAATCCACATAATTGGGCTACTTCATCATTTATCATCTAAATGGCAACATGTTTGTGCCATTCGCCAACTCATTTACTTGTACATTAAACTACGGTTATAACGAACATGCTTATAACGAACTGACCGATATAACGAACTTATTTTGTAGTCCTGTCTATGTGTTGTATATATGCTGCATATATGCTTATAACGAACAACGGTTATAACAAACTAAAATAAGTGGTCCCTTTGAGTTTGTGATAACCGTAGTTTACTGTATTGGGGTTATAAATCTATCGAGAGTTTAAAATGGTCAAACCATTAAAGTCAGAAACACAATAAATCTGATCAATCATACATCCAAAAGCCAAAGCATGACTATGAACGTTTTCCCAACAATAACTTAATGAATAAATGATTATAATCATGATAATATACAACCAACATAGAACAAATGTCCCTAATTATATTCTCAATTACAAGCATGAGCCCAATGATGCAAACGATACTATTTGTGCAGTACTTCGGGACCAAGAGTTGTCTCCCTTCCCTTGCATCAATCTAAACCATAAACTTACAAATTGGTCGACTTGTTGTCAAACTTGGCAGCCAATGACATGAATTCATTGATGAATTTTTCACAGAAGACATAGCGATGATTACTGAATGACATCATGTTCAACCACACGGGATCTGCCAGTCTGGGGGCCGTGTACAGGTCATGTACATCATCACGGAATCCTTCCAGTGCCTGAAAATGATACAATTTGATGAAACAACTTGAGTTTTCACTAGGGCTGTTACAATTCACTCGCGTATTCGGTGAATCAAACTGTATCCATTCATGAATTGAATTCGTTATTCGTGGCCACAAGAATCAAATATTTATGAATATACAAGCATGTGCATTTACATTAAAAAAATACCCATAAGAACATATTTTATGCATAGATTTCTTCAAAAGACAACACTCTTATACTATTTGATTTGACAGTATTGTGGTCACTGGTCATTGTCACATTTGAGCAGATACTAGTACCTGGATAAATGCGGTATATAAATGAATAATATATTTAATAATATATTAATAATTAACAAACCATGTCAAACAATTTATGTTGTTATTGCTTCACTGAACATAACAAATAATACATCAACTGCTGACTTGTTATTGTATTCGTGAATTAATATTCATATTCGTTACCCTATATTCATGATACTAATCGTATCCGCCCCATAGTGTATTCGTTGCAGCCCTTGTTTTCACAAACCCAAACACCAAGGAATTAACCTGCTTCAAACATGGCCACTAGTTTACTTGTAACTTGGTGGTCTTAACTGGTATCCATGATAATTAACCAAGCTTTGGTTTGTTTGTTGGTTGGTTGGTTGGTTGTTGAACGCCGCACTTAGCAATATTCCAGCTATATGACGGCGGTCTGTAAATAATAATCATCTAAGGACCTGACAATCCAGTGATTGACATCATGAGGATCGATCTACGCAATAAGGATATGATGACATGCATTAACCAAGTCAGCAAGCCTGACCACCCGATCCCGTTAGTCGCCTCTTATAACAAGCTTAGATTTTCACAGAACATGTCTTAAAGCAAAATCCACCTGAGCTTAAGATTTCCCATGGGAGCTGAAAAAAAACCGACCCAAATTTGGTCTCCAAGCCAAATATGTCTGAAGCCGGACCTATCCTTTTCACGGGTGCCTCTTCTCTACTAGGTCATGGCGAAATCTATATTTGAAGAGAATGTTAGTACAAATGCGAGGTGACCCGTGAAGATTCCGGGGTAGAATAGGTAGGTCTTCAGCAACCCATGCTTGCCGTAAAGGGTGACTATACTTGTCGTATAAGGCGACTAACGGGATCGGGTGGTCAGGCTCGCTGACTTGGTTGAATCATGTCATCGATCCCAATTGAGTGGATCGATGCTCATGATATTAATCACTGGATTGTCTGGTCCAGACTCGATTATTTACAGACCGCCGTCATATAGCTGTAATATTGCTGAGTGCAACGTTAAACAACAAACCAATCAACCAACAAAGGCTAGGTCACTTCAACTATTCCAAGAGAATTCTTGATTTAGATTTGGTCCCATGTGTCCTACACTGTTTGTAAAAGGTGATGTATTGATGGGTGATCATGCTTGATGGCATGGTTGACAGGTTGTCATCGTACTGTTACAGCAAGAACCAATACTCACAATTACAATCATTGGATTGTCTGGTCCTATTCAACTATTTATAGGCTGCCGTCATATAGAGTATTGCTGAGTGCAGGGATAAACAACAAGCAAAAGCATAAAAAACAATCAACCCTTTCCTACCTCCATCACCATTGGGATGAATCTCTGTCGATTGAAATAGCATCTCTCCACTAGTGCTGCCAACTTTTCCACATGACCCTCAAACAGAGTGATGTGGGAGAAGAAGAAGTTCTGGAACAACCTAAAATTCAAAATGGCAGTTTAAAACAAGGGACGTAACCCTGCATAATATATATCTTCGATGTGCGAACTCGGTCAACATATTAACTCTGTAATGATGTCAGCAAAATTTCATCCTCGAATCCAATTGAGTTTCTTTAGTTGGACAGACGGAAGGAGGGAAGCCAAATCTATATCACGCCCACATCGTCGTGGTCGGTAAAAAGGCATGCACTCATATAACTCAGAATTCTGTTCCAGATGCATCAGCAAATATATTTTTATCTTTTTGAATAAACATGGTAAAGTAATTTAACTTGTGCTGGGAGCTTCTTTAGAGTTGTTTTTTTTTGTTATCAAAAGATCAACATCTGCTAGTGGTGCCAAAGTCATGTACGAAAACATATGGCAATAAGTCATTTCAACACGCTGCCCTGTTGCTATGAAACAATCTGCCAAAGAAATCCGAGAAACAGAAAATCTGACAAACCTTAAGAAAAACACTCAAAACCAGTCTCCTCTAGTGAGCCCTTGACTAGATCAATCATGGTCAAAGCGCATTTGAGAACATGCCCTATACAAATTCTTAATTTCATTTAATTTTTCCCTTCATGCTAATACTCACTTATCCTCTTCATTTGGACCAAAGAGAATTCCAAGAGCAATCTTGCATTTCCTCTTTCTTGGGAGAGAATTCTGCAATTATAAGTTACAACATATACATTCCACAGATCCTTATTCATAGCTCTCTCGTCATTTTGGTCCTGGTACATTTTTTATGTGTAAAAACTCCATGCTTATGTCAACTCCTCCATGCAACATAAACCAAATTCCTGAATTTCACAGTGTGTGTAATTGTGTGTAATTGATTGACCTCAACTCTTTTTACAATATCAATATTTTTTATTTATTTCCACAAAAACAAACTGTTTGCAGTATTAAGTCTCCAACCTCTTGTTTCTGTAGCTGGTCCATGGCCGCAGTCTTCCTGCTTAAACTCTGCAGCGATGTTGTCTGCGTCCGCATCCACCGTCGATGTAGGCTGTTGTAGCTGCTGGTGCTGTTTCCACTCGGGGACGGCACCGGGGTGTGGAAACTTCCGCTTGATGTAACTGTACACAGACAACAGACGTTCATTACCTAGATACACAGACAGTCACAGCTAGGCTAGAGGCAACAACCAAATTGTCAACGGAATGCCTGGGCTAGAATAAAGCATATGGTTACCATGCCAGACAAATAGGTCTCACTGATGAGAATGAGTGAGAAGGTGCTGTCACAGTCACCAATATTCAAGCTACATCACAACAGCCCGTAAAGCAAGCAAAACTACAGTAAACTACCATCATATCAAGTGAGTGAGTGAGTGAGTGAGTGAGTTGGGTTTAACGCTGCTTTCAACAGTATTACAGTTATATCACGGCGTGTCAACTTTATGTGGGAGGAAAGCCCGAAGTGATGCAGGTCTCAAACGTTTACAACTTCAGTGAAACCCACGAGCACAGGTATGGTGCTGACAAACCTAGAAACATAATCAGGGGCGAACCGGGATTCAAACCCACAATCATAGGTTTCTGGCGTGCCCAAGGGACGCAACTCTGCACAGCGAATGGCGGCGCCTTAGACAACTGGGCCACCCTACCCCCACCATCATAACGAACCAAAAGGGGCTACTAATTTAAGTTAGTTAAAACCGCAGTTCGTTATAATCCTATATACAGCATATGGATGGGACCAAAATACATTTTGTTATATCCATCAGTTCAGTATAAGCATGTTCATTATAAACATAGTTTACTGTAATAGAACCTGGACCAGGCACACCAGTGATCGATAACATGAGCAACTTTTCATGCATTGGGTTCAATAACAGGGCAGATGAAGCTTATTCTGTCCGGACTCTTCACATGGATTATACAAATGTTTCTCTTCACTTACAAGAAGCAAGGCCACTGTCATCATCAACGGAATCGGTAAAGCTGTCATGTGGGGACGGAACTGCCATCGGCATACTCATAGCTGAAACAGTACGAACTGTATTGAAATAATTTCATATTGGCATTGTATGTATAAGTGATCAGGTGATAACGTGTACAAATCTATATCAACATACAAGTAAAGCAATAATCAGTTTAGCTTACAGTGACACCTCTTATAGCATACAATCTGGAATAACCAATCAATTAATTTCCACTGGTTTACACGATATTTCCAACAGTAGTTAAAAGGTATGGTTTCAGGGGTTTTAGGATTCAACTACGAGTGTTTTACTTCATTGTAAAACTACTGACCCACAACTTCATACTGGATCCCGAAAAATACCTGCACTGGGTATAACTCAGCATCTTGATTCAGTGATCTCTCACAACATCCATGTAACAATTGGCCCAAATCTACAGCCATGTCATCATGGTCGTCATCCCCATCTTGACTTACCTATGTTTGTTCCCGAGTTGGTCCTGCTTGAAATACCTCGTGGAAGTGAGAAGTCTCCCGTCTGGCTGTGAAAACTGCTGCACGAGTCGCTGTCCAGCTCACTGGAATAACAGAGTCCGGTTTTGATGTTTAGCACCGTTTTGAGCAGTTTGTTTATTTATTTGTTGTTTAACGCCGCACTAGGCACTATTCAAGCTATATAACGTCAGTCTGTTAATATTCAAGTCTGTCATAAGCATCAATCCACACACTTTGGATACGATGACATGCATCAACCAACTCAGCAAGCTTGACCACCCAATCTCGTTAGTCGCCTCTTACTGACAAACCAAGAAACACAATCAGGGCAAACTGGAATTCAAAACCATAATAGGTTACTTGCATACCAAAGGGAAGCAACTCTGCACAGCAAATAACAGCACCTAAGGCAACTCGGCCACCATGCCTCCTGATTCATGACATAATGTAACAGAAAACATGCATACGTTAAACAAGTTTACAAACTATTTTTATGAGTTACCATGTTCGTTTCAGAGAACTGTTGATAAACTCACCACGATTCTCGTTTTGGTTTTTCTGGATAAAACACTTTGCTCAGCATTATTTGTGGAGGAGACCTATAAAACAGAAATTTACACAATGAATCTAAACAAGCTGAAGATATGAATCATTATTAATGAAATATTTCATTTCCATAGTTTTTTTATTAACAATATTAAAGTTATCCTTTCACACTTTCAAACACATAATTCTACACGTTTTCAAATACATGCCACCTATATAAAAAGTGGTCTGAATTATGTTTTATCAAGTACGATGCAAATTTTTCATTTGCCCACTCCCATCCAGCCCACTTTTTCTCAAATTTCAGGATCTATCCTGGTTTAGAAACAGGATGGGAATATATATATGCATACAAACACAAATGAACAAACTTCACCATAAATTTTATGATAAGCAAGGTAATAAAAAATGAAACATAAACATGATAATTATACAGAAAATAACATCAGTGTTATTATTCTTTATTGCTGTACCTGATAAAATGCACTTTAAGTGTGGAGCCTTTGTAAGCCATTCCCACAGAGCCGAACATCATCTCCTCCAACACCTTGCTGTCACTGCCCAGCTTCGTAAACTAACACAGAAAACATCCTGTCAAAATGGGCACATGCACTGTCATCTTATCGAGGGCTTTCTACATTTTACAGGCTCAAATGGACATAAAAATATCCGATTAATACAGACTTTCACATTCATCTTTTGAAGATACCTGATGATTCAAATACGAATTCAGGACAGTTGGCAGCCATGTACACTGAAGTTTACAGCTCAACAACATTTTTAAGAAGTGACTTCAGACAATGGTTAAACGTGAAGATACCTGATATTTTGGATGACTTTTCTGTGCTGAATGGCTGCTGTCATCTCTCCCGCACAACCTTCTAGACGGCTGCACAAACAGAAAAACACATACAGCTTCGCAGAGTTTTCTGTACCAAATTCACTAAGCATTGCTAAGGATGTTATAATTGATTATTAAAAAGACATTTTAGTGGGAAGTCTTTCTGACATGTATTATGATACACATTGACGTAAAAAATACTTTCAACTTTAATTTCTCTGTCAAACCCATTCAATTGTGTCACCAGCCGTGCATCTGCAGGCAAACACATTTGTTAGGACACCCCGAAATAATACTTGCAACAAGTGTATACCAAGTAGGCTTTGCATATCATGGAAATCATTTGTGATATGCATAGATTCTCAGCTTTCTTAAAAAATGAAGCCTCGACTGCTTGAAATTGCCAGTCTGTAGCGCACCTAATACTGAAATATATCCAGTGGGCCGGGTTAGGAAGTGTGCTCACAATTCTGCAGGCTGAACGTTAATAGAGTTTTCATCACCATATTCACTGGGGATGCCATAATTGCTGATTAAAAAACCTTCCAAATTTATGCGATATCATCACGTCCCCAGAGATACCTGACCAATACAATCTTTGGTTGGTCCCATTATATTACTGACAGTTTCTAATCATGGTATAAGTTTCATAACCATCTCTGTTAGTTTTTGATATTTCGTAAACCGGAAATGATAAATACATTTTCAAGAATAAATGTATTACCTGGACAGGAGGATCATCTAGTTTTGTTATGGAATCTGAATCAAACATGGGTGTCCTTCCCTTGTCGTGGTCGACGTACACCACCAGACGGACCTTGCTACGATCAAGTTTCGGGGCATTCCCCCTGCAATCAGAACAAGAGTGATGAGAATTGTTGATTCTCTAGCATGTTTCAACACAGTGATACATTGATAGACAGGAGAATTGTTGATTCTCTAGCATGTTTCAACACAATGACACATTGATAGACAGGAGAATTGTTGATTCTCTAGCACGTTTCAACACAGTGACAGATTGATAGACAGGAGAATTGTTGATTCTCTAGCATGTTTCAACACAATGACACATTGATAGACAGGAGAATTGTTGATTCTCTAGCACGTTTCAACACAGTGACAGATTGATAGACAGGAGAATTGTTGATTCTCTAGCACGTTTCAACACAATGACACATTGACAGACAGGAGAATTGTTGATTCTCTAGCAAGTTTCAACACAGTGATACATTGATAGACAGGAGAATTGTTGATTCTCTAGCATGTTTCAACACAGTGATACACTGATAGACAGGAGAATTGTTGATTCTCTAGTACATTTCAACACAATGACACATTGACAGACAGGAGAATTGTTGATTCTCTAGCAAGTTTCAACACAGTGATACATTGATAGACAGGAGAATTGTTGATTCTCTAGCACGTTTCAACACAATGACACATTGACAGACAGGAGATTGCAGCGGCTTTGGCAGGAAACTTAACAGTTTCAACAGCCATGAAGCAATATGATGGTCAATGAGACCTAATACTCTAACGAACTGACTTCAAAATGTGTCATGGAGGTATAAACATAAAAAGTTGTGTGCATACTTTGCTTAAATCCATGAATAGAACCAGTGTCCACACTTTGAATAAATCCACTTTACACGGATTTAAACAAAAGTGTGCATACCAGTCTTATGTTTATATGTCCACAAAAACATTTTGAAGTCAATTCTTATCAATAAATATGTAAACAAAAATAACTTAAATATTACCTACCGTATTCGACGTAATAAGCGCCCCGCTCTAATAAGCGCCCACGGCGACATTTGTTAGAAATTGGTTTGTGAACAATCCCAATGAGCACCCTTTCCGATTGATCAATGTACACAACACTTATTTATTCGCGTATAATACGCTCTCGTGTGTTATATGCACCCTTAATCATGGGCATTTAATTCTGGAAAAATATATCTGTCGTACATAAACATTTCAGGCTGTCAGCATAAACCACGAAATGTATCTTTCAACTCTGTTTTTTTCCACCAAAATAACATTTTAATAAGAGCCCCCTATTTCTAATCTTGAGAGCGCCCTGGGCGCTTATTACGTCGAATACGGTATTTAATCATTAACACATAAAAAGTTGTGTCCTTCTATTATCAGTCAATCAGGAAACAGTAGTCCATTATTAGGCTTGATCTAATATTTTTGGATGACACATGAACACAAAGGAAATGGTTATTTCCAATTGGATATCCAATGAAATGCCATAGAACGCATAAAGACATTTCAAGAAGTCCAAAACTCAGACACTGACAGCCCCCAGGATACAATTAGACAAACATACTACTACTAGGGCCAGAGCCAAGTGGGAAGTGAAAGATTGACTATGTACATCATGATGGTCTGCGGGTATCATACAATAGGTCTGGGTCAACCGAGCATGTTGACAACACCAACCTATCATCATCCTGATCCTTGGAAACAAGACCAAATGATGCATGTAACTATTTTAGCAGGGTAGAAACTAACATATTTAGTCCACTAGTCCTTATAATGATAACATATAGCAAAACCCATAAAAATGGCAAATTTCAAGTCCTTATGATACCTTAACTATTGAGCAGTTTGGCAAGGACTACAGGACTAGTACCAATTTCTAATGCTGTTTTAGTCTCCGTTATGCTTTAATCATGTTAACTGAGAGATTTATCCAGGATTCTAAACTAAGGTAAGTGCCCCTGGCAGGAAAATGTAGGAAAAAAAATTGCTACATGGGGATTTTTTTCAAGTTTTTTTATGCTTGTATAAAAATCTCTATATATAAACATGAACTAGGAAATTAATTCCAATTTTTTCATTCGTCATTACATTTTAGCGTTAGAAACAAACAGTTTTAGTCCACTAGTCCTTATAATGATAACACATAGCAAGAGTCTTAAACAGGGCAAATGACCATCCGATCTTGTTAGTTGCCTTTTACGACAAGCATAGTCACCTTTTACGGCAAGCATGGGTTGCTGAAGACCTATTCTATCCCGGAATCTTCATGGGTCAGTTTGGCAAGGACTATAGGACTAGTGCCAGTTTCTAACGCTGATATTTGCTGCAGATTTGGGGCCGAATATCAGTCTGTCAGCATGCCTAGCCAAATCCTTGTACTGGGTACTAAGCTGATATGACAACCTAGCCTACTGCAGGCATAGTCACTCTAAAATAGATCATTTCCTAATAGGGCCACTTGTAAATAGGGTTGTATTTCAACAGTATATTATCAGTAATATTATTATGATATAAACATAATCAATACATATTTATCACAGGATTACCATCTAAAGTTTTGATAAATGGTAATCCTGTGATAACTATGTATTGATTATGTTAATATAACAATAAATATTACTGATAATATACAACTACAATTTACAAACATGACCAGTGACAACAGTTTTATTGGCCACGAAACATTGGCTTGCTCATCCAAAGCTATTACTCGTGCCTTGTTCTGTGGAAACTCAATGTACAGAGCTTTTTGCAGATGAGTTTCGCTAGTACTCACTCCATACAGTGGTGTCAATCACAAATAACTGTTTCATAAAATTAAAATGGTAATTTAAAAACAATTATGCCTGAAATTAGTGTCACTGTCGTAAAATATTAGCTTTACCCTTTGATAATATCTAGATGATTAACATAAATCTAAAGATGATTAGGCCTAACATAAATCTAAAGATGAAGATTGCAGTGCTGAGCATGCTAACAGTACCATAAAATGTACATAAATACTTAATAGTGCCAAGCCATGATGAGGATGACACTGATATTGACAGAAAAGGCTACACCCTGGTATCAATTTGATATTTGATAAATGTTGCATCACATAGATCCCTGTTAACCTAAAATGTTCCATTAACCATCTTAAGATAAGTTGTTGCTATTTGTTGTTTAACCCCACACTCAGCAATATTCCAGTTGTGACGTTGGTCTGTAATTAATCGAGTCTGGACCAGACAATCCAGTGATTGACATCATCATAATTTGGATCTTCATGGGTAATGTTAAGATAAGCACAAAATTTGCACATCAGGATAATGATATATATGTGATGAGTAACGACAGAAAAGTACAATGCATGTACTCACTTCCATTTGTGATGAGTAATGACAGAAAAATACAATACATGCTGATACTCACACTTCCATTTATCATACTGAAGGACACACTTGTTCCAAATGTTTAACATCAACACAAAACATTCACTTTCTGCATGTATGTAATAAGAAATCCACCACAAAAGATAACACCCATATAGGATGTTTGCGTAAATATTTTAACTTAAACGTAATTTAACAAAACTTTAAAATTATAATAAAGATAAATGTAAAATAATCCTTACCGAAACTTCCTGCTAAATGTCATATCATTAAGAAAATTATCCTTCAGAGCTGCAGTGGAAGCTAATATTTCTCCCAGATAATTCTTCATTTCTGATCTCATCTCGCATATACTACCGACTGTATGTAATGTCTCATCTAGACTTTGACAGCGTAGTATAAGGTCACATGCCGCGTGCCATCACGTGAAAGTTCTCTATACCTGCCGAAGGCGTGAAAGTGTTGTACAACCTGAGCTTATCCTGGCTCGAGCTCTCGCGAAGCCACGGTCACTGCACCCAAGTCAGTCATGTGCCTGTCATATGCTCCCAAACGGACAACTGAGTCACTTTCAAATTTCGTACACATTTTGAGTACTGGTATGAAGCAGAGACGTGTCATATTTAACATTACATTCTACAACGTAGTGAGGCTTTTTATCATCGCATGAAGTTTAATCAGTTGATATTTCAGTCAAATCGTAAATGGGACTTTTGAGTGTTTACAAACAGCATGTGACACAACAACTCGTGACTTCCCACGAGGTTGTTCGAGCGAGTTCGAGCACCTGTTACTACGCAAAGGGATGGTGATCGGGCGTCAGTATAATAGTAGGATTTCGGGTACTTACGATACATTTGACTCAGATCCTGACCATCTTGAACCGGAATTCCTACAGAATTTTCTGTGTTGAAATAATCGCTGTAAAAGAGCCATATTGACTCCATTTGGCTAACGTCACGCGCTTCTGAGCCGTAGTAACATGTAAACCGTTATCTGATTGGTTGGTTTGTGGGAATTCCCTTGTTATGATTGGATACAGGATACCTGACAATCTCACGAAGATGACACTTATTCCCGCCAGACAGAATGGGGGAATTCTTTGCTTTGTGTAGATTTGCAAGAAATTGTTTGGCTTTATTTAACAGAATGATGATAGCGCAAAATGCTTGTCCGTAATGCAGTGTCTAGACTGATGTCGTTCGTAAACTGGGTTTAAGTGAATAAATATTTATATGTAGAAAATACAATGGAGAAAATTCATACAGGGTGTGTAGTATACTAATTATATACATGCACGTACATATGTATGGACTTACAGACACCGATAAATATATGACTGTTTGCAAGATCAGAAACCATATACCGATATCGGTATATGGTCTCTGGCAAGATACACAGATTTTGTGTTCTTATTCGAGGACGTACGGCATTAAAGTGTGAACTGATTTGGGCAAGCTAGGGGGTTACGGTCAAAGTAGTATATATATATCCTACCATTTTGCCGTATGCAAACTTCTCAACATTTGGGGGGGGGGGGGGGGGGGGGGGGGATGGAGATGTTGTCATAAGAGTAGGATGGGCAGAATATCCTTATCAAATATTGTATAGTATATAACATCCCCAATGAAGAGCAACACAAGTTATGTCGGACCTAGAATGCACTGCATGCATGTATTGCATAATGCCTGTTACCTACATTCACTGTTCAATATGTGCAAATGATAGATATAGACAGGCGATTAAAGTCATTAATAACCGTTATTTGTTTGAATCATTGAGTATATATATAGGTGTATATATGTCCTGTACTATCAAACACTGATGATATTGCGTAGCATGAAGTATAAACGCTGTACATTGCTAGGGGTTTTATCGGACTGTGTCTCTATATAGATATGACCTTGTAAGTTTCTGCAGTTAGTTCCTTGTATGCGTGTGCAACTGAAATAGTTATCACGCTGTACAAAATGTCAGTATTGTAATGTAATATCGTCCGTTCGGGGCGAGTGAGTGAAACTTGACGCCGAGGTCAGAAACACGTACATTATACACTTATATCAAGACATTTTGTAAATTAAGCCTGCGCATTAACATACGTATAGTGGAAATCTCACAATTTAATCTACCTTCATTTGATTGAAGAATTAAGCATGCGTACAACACATACACGCACGCACGCACGCACGCACGCACGAACGCACGCACGTACACACACACATGTATGTCCGACTTCTGTTTAAAGGTGATCGGTCGTATAAGAGGTCAAGGTATCCTCTAATTTATTTACCTGTCACTTAATTAACTAGCGTCATTTGATCCAAAAGCAGTTAAACAATTGAACAACATATTTGCTTATTTTACCAATACGATAAACGAACACAATTATAGTTTTCAATCCCGTCTGAATAGACTTTTCAACCAATTGAGTATGCATATATTTAGTGCATGGTGTTATGACGTCACGTACTCACTGAATGCATGACCCGCCCTCGCTGTATACCGCGAGCTCCCTTCCTTGTTTTATGACTAGCCTCGCTATTTCACCAACAGATGTACCCGCATAGTGTTACAAAGGGTTTGTCACGTTTGACAGGGCTCTTTTGGCACATGGATGTAGCGTGAGTAGTGTGATTAGGTACCTTGCTCTGAGTCTGGGTTCGAATCCCGGACTCAACCTAAGAAAGTATACGTACTACAATTAATTTGTACTTTACTAAGAGACTGTAATCCCAATTTATATCATTTGTTACATTTGACCACTTTCTAAAAAAAACCCTTTGTATTCGTATTCATATAGCGTGAATTAACACACAAATGGTGTATTTTTCAAGGTGTGTGTGTGTGTGTGCGTGCGTGCGTGCGTGCGTGTGGCCCCTCTCAGGATGCGCCTATGTTTTTTGTGTGGAAAACAAATCAAGTCCATGAAGCAATAAGGCGGCACGCAAGTATACGTTATGTGTAGATATATAGCGTTGACATACTGTCCGACCTGACCCAACCGGGATATATACATGGATACTCACAACTCTGTGTATTTAGAGGTGAGCTGGACCTAAACATTTGTCCCTCATTGCGAAATGTATTCCAGGCCATGAAATTAACAGAGCACACGAAACTATTGAAAACAGGACAGACCCGGAAGCAACTATTTGAAACAGAATTGACAATTGATACTCCCTCTTGTATACTAGTGGGCTGAATATAAATAGCACTTGATCGCTTCGCGAGACATACTATGATCCCCACCCATATCTACATACATATACATAGGTTTATATGTCCGGCAGTTTAGATCAAGAACATTTTTAGGAACGTGAAATGAGGTACCCTTTGACATCAGGTATTTTCAGTTTACTAAATTTCCTGCATTTCATGTTGTCTTTAGCGTTAAATTAAGTATTGTTCTTCGTAAACTTGTCATTTTGCAACCTTGCCACAAGCTGGCATATACTTAATATACTGTTCAGTGTAGAGTTAAACTCAACCCACTCACTCACCCACTTATCCATGCTTACACACTCTCATTTGAGTAAACGTATGACAAATGTGTAGATTTAAAAAATGATTTCGTATGAATTATATACCATTTAAATATATATACAGTAAACTACGGTTATAACGAACTTAAAGGGACCACTAATTTTAGTTACTAATAACCGTAGTTCGTTATAGGCATATATACAGCATTTATACAACAAATGGTCGGGACTAAAAAATAAGTTCGTTATATCGGTCAGTTCGATATAAGCGTGTTCGTTATAAACGTACTTTACTGTATAGCTTCGATATATTTCTCTATATGCTATGGTACGTGTACCATGCAGTGCATTTTTATACGTTACCTTTTAAAATTTAAATACGGAAAACAATAAAACAAATGATGATACATATGCTGAAATCCTACTGAACACGTTAGATATCTCAATATGCTCTAAATATGAAACGTTATTTTTTTACTTTAATGTCTCGTAAACCGGAAATGTGTAGTCATTGTCCATTAGACGTGGCACATGTGACACTAGACATGTATGTTTTTTAAAAGTCATATTTCATAGGAATGGAGTACCGAGAACCAGTCGAGGCATCACGAAGTTCTATAAGTTGTGTTTAAAAGAATAAAATTTAATGACACATATTCATCTCTCATATATAGCTGACAATGCCCAATTCATTATTTTAATCAGGATTCTGAGGATTCCTTGGTAAAGCTGTATATAAACCATTGGTAATGTAATCTAAGTGAACAGTATAATTTCCATGAATAATATTTGATTTATTTTTTTTAAAACGCCAAACAAAATGAATTTTGTCTATACGCGATTGCAAGGAAAAACTAAAACATCGACATTGGGGACATATCTTTTAATTTGGGGGACATTAGTTTTGATTTAAACTGAGATGTGCTGATATCGTTCGGAGATTGAGACTTTTTTCATTTTATTCTCGTGGTGGAAGTAGTTATCAACTGATAGTACAGCAATAATTAGAAACGTTTCTTCAGGTTTTCCTTTCATACAGTGTCTTACTAAGAAAGATCCGTGAAGATCCGGGTCTCCAGAGACCGATGTATGTCTCCCCCGTGAAGATCCGGGTTAGAATTGGTCTACAGCAACTCATGCTTGTCACCCCCGTGAAGGCACGGGTTAGAACTGGCCTACAGCAACCCATGCTCGTCGTAAGGTGTAAATAACGGGATCGGGTGGTTAACTTGATTGATGCTTGTCATCGTTCCCCAAATGCGTAGATCGAAGCTCATAATGTCAATCACTGGATTGTACCCCACGCAGACACAGTATACTGACTCCGAGCCGACCAGTCCTTGTTTAAGCCCCTTATGCCGAGCGCCAGCCATGGTAACAACAAGTACCATCATTTAACAATATCATCAAAATCAGATCTAAGTTCGCTGCCGCTAAACAACGTTTAGCGACAGCGAGAACTAAAATCTGATTTTAACGAGATTAAATCTTTCAACGTCTTTTGGTATGACGCGGCCGGGGATCGAACCCCGGACCTTCCGCTCTTCGGGCGGGAGCTCTACCACAAGAACACGGACACGATCGAAAGAGTTCATGGATATCACTGAATATAAACATATGTAAAACACACATCGCCACACGGAGGAACCAGTTTCATAGGGATAAAACTATTTCTAGATCATTATCCATACTTAGAAATAAACTACATATTGTGCACCCCAATTACCACATTACTTACAGCCTCACAGAAGGGTATCAGATAAAGATGATCAATAACTACTCAGACATTCGGCAGGTCTTTAAATGGTGAGTAAATATTTCACTGGAGTGAGTGATTACACGAGAGAATACAGCAACAGGAGGTCTTCTCCCAACACACGTGACAGTCTCAGTGGTATGGGCGTAGAAAGTACATCATTTTGGTGAGGACTTTGAATAATAACCGATATTTTGCTGATAAATCCCAGTACAAAGATACACACACTTTAAGAAATAACAAATAATAA